GTTACCGGTTGGTTGTTATGGCGCAAACCATAGAGAAAGTTAATAGTTTAGAGAGTGGTGAATCGCGTGGTAAAATGTTGGGAGATTGCGCTTTTGGCGCCCTCTACTTGGCTACAGGAACGAACTATGAAAGAGCGGGAGATTTAAATTATTATATTATACTTATTATTTTTAAGGCAATTAAAACTAAGAGTGCCCTTAAACAAAAACAGTGAAATAAATGGAGATACCTACTCAAATTTTATATTATCATGATATTAAAGGATATAAATACAGCATTATAATCCTTTTACACCTTTTTATTCAAAGTCTTACATGCTAATATAAAATTTGACTATCTCCATTTATTTCACTATTTTTGGTTAAGGGCACTCTTAATTTTAATTTTCCTTTTTTTTTTATGGGAAAACGATTAAATGGGAAGAATTGAATGGGAATGGAAAGAATGACCAATTGTTGTATTTTGTATTAATTTATAATACCCCTATTCTACTAAATATCTAGCTACATTGTACTTACAGTTAAATAGCTACATTGTACTAGTTATATACATATTTACAGTTTTATGATGGCTATTATTTCTTTTCAACGTGCTATCAATTGATTCGCTCCGACTTGAGTACTATACCTCGAGATGGCTCCAAGAATTATTTATCTTTACAGGCCTAGAATATGAAGATTCACAGTAGAATTTTTGGTTTTACTGCCTATTAGAAACAAACCTACCCCCCTACATCAAGGGACATACAATTATGCCTTGTTCTCGGCCATGATATTCCTTCCATTCTATATCCAACATCCAACTGAGCAGACCTTCTGGTTCACAACAGGGCCTAGACTGGCCGGATGATATTTTAACAGAATAGCCCTTGATATCTCTTTCACACTTTCATTTAATAATTAAATAGGAGGGCTGGATGGTAAATTTCTAGAAAGAATTGCCTGTGAAATAAAAACTTCTGCATGGACATTACCTTTCTTACCTTTGTCTGCTATTTTTTAATAAAAAACAACTGTTTAGTTTGCACAAAAATAAAATTAACAATCAAAAATATCTTAAAAAATGATCAAGCCTTGTACTACGCCGCGTGCCGGTTTTTGAACAAACAACAAACAAAAGAATGAGGTTAGCGGCGTTGCCAATGTCAATTTTCTAAACTACCCAAAAATCTAAATTAAATTCTCCAATTTGGGGAGAAAAATGTCCCGATTCACCAAAAATTCCCCATGTGATTATTTTATCAAAAAAAAAATAATTTTAATAAAAATACAATATTTATTATATATGTTAGAGGGATTAAACTGTAAATTACCTCCTTGTTTTTTAATCCCTTCCCTAATAGTCATTAAATAATTTGAGGTCATTAAATGTTCTTTCAACTGAAGCATTTGCAAAGGGAAGCACAAGTAAAAAGCAGATAATAATTTCTAAGTTGGGAAAGATATATCGTCCCGCTCCGTTTTTAAAGCTAAAAATTTTACGCCATTTTCAATCAGCAATAAATTGTTGAAACTCCTCTTATTTTCGCCGCCTATTGCTAATCCCAACAAAATTCCCAATCGGCTCCGGATTCCCCAAAATTTGGGGAATTCCCAAAAATTGGCAACGCTGGAGGTTCTTTCTGAATATGCTAAGACTAACGGACTAGTGTCGAAACACAGATAGCTAGATGGACGTATTTCCGCACTTGCGTCGATGCGCTACAGGAACATTTGCCTGCGCGTCGTATGTCTTCTGGCAGTCTTTTAATTTTTCTGTTTGTCTATGGCGCAAACCATAGACAAACAAATAAAAAGAGACTGACAAATCTCATGGTAAAGAGTGGGACCGCGTTCCCGTAGCGCAACTCAGAATAACAATTTTGAAACCAATTAGCAGGACAATGGCAGGACGTACGTCTTTATTGCTATCTTTCTTTATTATGTGTGCTTTTTATATGAAAAAGAAAGAGATAGGTATAAAACGCATCATAAGACATTATCGCACATTCTGGCTGGCGGAAAATTTAAATTAGCCATTATTAGTAGTATTCTTTCATTCTGAAACTGAAGATTTTCACTTAAACTGATTTATTCCCTATACCACGTAAAGGGAACGTGCTGTAGAAAATAAATCAGTTTAAGTGAAAATTTGCAGTTTTTTTTCAGAACGAATACTACTATTATAAGGGAAATTATAAAAAAAGCAAAAATTGTACTGTTTTATTAACATATTTATACATAAAAATAAATATTCTTTTTATAATATAATAACAAAAAATAACAGTGTTTATTCCACCCACCTACCAATTTTAAATGCAGAAGAACTGACCGTTGCAGGAAACGATCGGCCAATTTTTTTAAAGGGCATTAAAAATCTCATTTTCGAAAAAAACTGCCTAATTGCAATAACAAAGTGAATATCCAAGCAAAGATGACTTTACGAGAATCATGATCCTGAACCATTTTCAAGTCCAGTTTTAATCCTAAAACAAAAGTAAAATAGGTATATTAATAAAGTTTCTGGTTACTATAAACCAGCTATAAACTACCTACCCAAAAAATGAAAAAAATTAATTGTATTAACTTATGTTAAGAGAGGTTCAAAATATTTTTGACACTACTACTTCTACTTTTTTCTTAATAAGATGATAAATATAACTACTTACTTGTATTTTACCGGGTGTCTTTAACATATCTATCAGAAAAAGGGGACACCAATACATATAAAAAATAGATGATACTGGCTTCTGTAGCAAATAAAATAACAAATAGTATAACCAAATGTTCTTTGGTATAACTGAAAATTATAAGTAACAAAATATAAATACCTATGTGGGATAAAGAAATTTGTTCCCTATCCATATTCACAAGTCAATAAAATGGAGAGTGTAGAAAAAAAGGTAGATCACCAAAAGAAAAATTAACAAACATCATACAAACATGACGAATTGTCATGATGTTGTCATCTTGGTTGTCATGATGACGAAAACGAAAGGCGATTGTTCTAATTTCTATTTAGAAATTACGTTTTATATAGCTGCTTCTTTCTCTCTTGTTATATTAGAATGAGATAGTGGGCCCAATAGACGCAATGCGCAGATCAACATATATAGAACGAAATTTTGCGTTCTGAATTGCGCTACGGAAACGTTGTCCCTCTCTTTGCCATTTAATTTGCCACTCTCTTTTTTATTTGTTTGTCTATGCCATAGATAAATGCAACAAGTTTAGATTGGAAAGCCCGTAAAAATTTTAGGTCGCGAAATTATTTTGGGTCGCGACCGTTATACGCGATCTGGCGCTGCTATAGCGGTCGCTAAGAACAACGGCAAACAAAAACAGAAATAATTTTCTCTTGTCAATATCACAGGCAACCAAATAAACTAGTAACCTCTAAAAATTATTTTTGTCATACGCTCCCAAAAACAGCTATTTTACGGACTCATTTCAGTCCGTAAAATGTTTCTTTTTCGGCCTAGGCCGTAAAGGTCGTCATGGCAACCTTTATGGACTAAAATGTCTAAATTCGTTATTTGGTTGTTTTATTTTGTCATTCGAAATTTGTCACAAAATCACATAAAATTATACATATATTTATAATTAAATTATTAAATACTAACAATATCAAAAGCTAAGTTATTTGTTTTAAAGTAAGTACCTAGGTACTTACTTTTTCGTGGAAATAATTTAGCAATACATCTTCATTTTACAACGAATACGCCATTTTTTGTCTTTCCATTCATTAAAAACATCATATTCTTTCTGGTAAATGGCACGAGACTTCACAGGAAGTAAATCCAACACGATTTCTTTGGCCTTATTAGCAATATGTTCGGGATTTTGGAACATTTTAAAATTGTTGATGAATTTGTGTGATTTTGTGACAAATTTCGAATGACATGTCAAAATGCGATGAAATAAACAAACTCGTTACTAAGATATGAATTTATAAGCCAACTTTTTCAAACATTATAATTTCAAATATGGAAAATTTGCAAATATGCGTTCTAAAAAACTGTAAAAAGCGTATGACAAAAAATAGTGTATGTAACACGTACCTAAATTATGTTTTTTAGGACTCATCTACTATTCGGACTATATATATATATATACATCTACTATTTCGGACTCGGCTAACGCCTCGTCCGCAAACAGTAATGATTCGTCCTAAAAAACATCATTTTAGGTACTAGTTACATAAATAGCTATTTTGAGTGTCCTGTGAGGGTTCTAACAACTTTACAAAAAGATCCGCGTTCAAGAGAATATATATTTTGATACAGATAAAGAAGTGGCATATGCGATCTATATTTATTAGTTCCCTCGAGGATGTCCCATTCATTTTGAAGTATACTGAACAACATTTTTTTGTGGAAATTTCTGAAATCGGCTACGGATGGAGTTTCTTCAATATTATGTAAGAGCGTTGCCTCGTTAGCCAGTTTGTCTGCTCGGTCGTTACCAGCAATGTCAGAGTGTCCAGGAATCCACAATAAGTTAACATTGTAGTTTCTTTCAGTAAGTTTATTTACTAGATCTCGAATGCTGCAGGTTAGAGAGTTTTTGGAGTTTGAAAAAGCAATACTGTTGAGGGAGCTAAGTGAATCAAATAGTATTAATGCTTCAATCGGTGGCATGCTCTGAATTCTCTCGTAGCAATTTTTACCAAAAAGCATTTTAGGATATACATTTATACGAACTTTTTTGCTTATTTCTATCAGCAGAATATGCTGCCGAAGTTTCCGGAATATAGTTTGGACCACCCTGTATATCCTTCTACTATTTCCAGTGTTGTGTTATTTATTAGATTGTCTTTTCTGTTTACTAGTTCTTTGTACATTACTTTAGTATTTGCTAAATTTATTTGGAGACAGACTTTATTACTGCCTGTAACATTTACATAGGATCGTCCTATATTCAAGTCGGTGATGCAAGATATGGTATACGAATTAAATAATATAATTATTCTTGCTGTATTATTGACAAAATTACTAACATAATGACCATTATTGTTTCAGCTTCCAAAGTGTCTCCAGTTTCAATCGCCGACTACTCCAGCCAAACGCCAAATTTGGAGGTGCAAAATCCCGCAACCAGGAACCCTTGTCTTGGTTCCAACGCTTCCAGTCTGCTCAGCATCAATTGTTTGAATACCGGCAGAACCAACTTCACCAACAAACAACTTACTGAATTGGAGAAAGAGTTCCACTTCAACAAGTACTTAACTAGGTGGGTATACCTTGGATTATATTTTTTAAGAAATAAAAATGTTTCAATTATACTTTTATACCTACTTAAAAATTTACGATTATTCACAATGTCTAAAAAATTCAATCAAAATTAATAGAATATTCTAGCAACCGCTTGCGTAGTCAGTGATATAAGGGTTGTATCCATAGAGCATCTATATTGCATATTAACATAAACGCACCCTGATAATTCATTAATTCGCAACAATGAAAGTAGAACTGGTAGATCCTTTTAAATCAATTATTTTTTAGAGACTGGACATGAAACAGTTCTGCTGTTGGATAAAATCTTGCATGGCACTCGCGTGTTATAACATATAAGTCACTTAAGAAAATTTCCCAGCGCGACTTATATGTAAGATAACACACTAGTACCATAAATAACTATCTTTGACAGTTGCAGAATATTGACAAGCACAAGCTTCTGTTTTATTTTCAGAGCAAGAAGAATTGAAATCGCTTCAGCGCTACAACTGAATGAAACGCAAGTGAAAATCTGGTTCCAAAACCGCAGAATGAAGCAGAAAAAACGCATGAAAGAAGGTCTAATACCACCCGAACCCATAATCAGTACCAGGAGCACGAGCAACTCGCCAACCTCCACCAACAACTGTTTGCAGACAGAGCCTCCAGCTGGTAGCAGCGAAAACAGCAGAGAATCAAACTAAAGAATCAAATAAATAAAGAACTACAAAATAAAAATTAATGAAAGTTGTCGTGCAAGTCATCGAATTATTTCGGGAATGCACGTTTTTTATACTTTGACTTTTGACAAGGACTTTAGGGATTTTTTTAGGCAGAATACTTATAAGATTCTAAAGAAAGTAAAAATAAGCTCTTAGTTACGAAAACATAGATCCGCAACATTGAAAAATATTTTTAACAAAATTTACACTTTTTCTGTAAATTTGCAGATTTTCTGCAGATTCTAAATTTACACTTTTTTTGTAAATTTACTCGTTTTCTGTAAATTTACACTTTTTCTGTAAATTTACATATTTTCTCCAAATTTTCACTTTTTCTGTAAATTTACAATTTTTCTGAAAATTTACAATTTTCTGCAAATTTACGATTAAAAAAATAAAAGTAAATTTACACTTTTCCTGTAAATTTATAGAAAAAACAAAAAAAATTTAAAGGGCATTTAAATTTACAGAAATAGTGTAAATTTTCGAAAAAAATGTAAATTTACAGAAAAACCCCCTAAATTTACAGAAAAAGTGTAAATTTACAGAAAAAGTGTAAATTTACAGAAAAATTGTAATTTTGCAGAAAAAGTGTAAATTTACAGAAAACCCGTAAATTTGCAGAAAAAGTGTAAATTTACAAAAAAAAGTGTAAATTTACAGAAACAGTGTAAATTTACAGAAAAATTGTAGTTTTGCAGAAAAAAGTATGAATTTGCAGAAAAAGTTTAAATTTACAGAATAACTGTAAATTTACCTACAGAAAAAGTGTAAATTCACAGAAAAATTGTAATTTTGCAGAAAAAAGTATAAATTTACAGAAAATGGGTAAATTTACAGAAAAATTGTAAATTTTGTTAAAAATATTTTTGAACGTTGATATGGCAGCTTTCGGACGTTTAAAATGAGTTTTTAATTATCAGAATTTTAATTTGGTAATTGTATTGACGACTTTGATGACGTGCATGCCAACTTTTACTGATTTCTCTATATAAAAAATTTAATATAAATAATTGTGAATATTGTGACATAGATTATTTATTTAAAACAAAAATGTATGTTTATTAACGTGAAATAGTTGATGAGATTACTTATGAATTGTATGGTTAGATTTAATAATAAATAAAATAATATATCTGTTTTTTAATAGTTTTTGGGGAGAAAATAAATATATTCTTCGTTTACAGCAAACAATAAAGCTTTACAATTGAGTTTTTGGCTCGAGAAACTATACAAAATAGTATTATTAATAAACTATACTTTCCTTATGTATATATTATAATATGATTTGTATATTCAAAGTATACTTGAAATAGTAAAATAAAAAGGTCAGTTACTTAGATATACACAATTTTTGTTTTATAATTTCTATTGCTATATTGATTTGATGTTTGAAAACCTTGATATTATCAAAAATATATATGTCACAGCAACAATGCTGGTTTAAGAGAAATTTAAAAAGAATCCAAATACATGGAAAATAAATACTGCTATATAAAAGTGACATAAGAAACAATCAATACAATGATTTAGCATTAAATAGTTATTTTATACGAATTATTTTAAGTTTATTTTTTCTCAAATATCATTTATATTTATAGATATCCAATAATTCGTATCAATATTCTACATTACACAGCATTATGGTCAAAATTGTCTATTTCAAACGGAAAGCCTGATGTTTATGTGTACATTTCCTGACAGTTGAATAATATACAACACGTATTTTTTCAATATATAAATAATCCTAACTTTAATCTTTAATTGAGTGTATAAACCTTCTTGAGCTTACAAACTATTTGAACGATTTGACAGGTTTATGAGCGTACATACACATCATAAATTTGTTATTGTTTGTAAAGTTTATCGTATACATGGTGATAATAGTACACAGAAGAACTAGTAGACAGAATAGACATTCTAGTAAATAACACCGCACTGGAAATAGTAGAAAATATATATATTTGGGACAACTAATACACAGCTCGGGTTCTCTACTATCAGCAGGGGTAGATGGGGAAATCGGCCCGGGAAAAACAGGCAACCGGCCCAAAAACAAAATGACCTAATAACCAAAAACAAAATGACATAACGAAGAAACATATTTTATTTATTAATATTATAAGTAAGGGTGTTTTTCGCTCGTGCGAAAAAGCTCTTTTGCCTCCGGTTTTAAAAAAAAATAAAGTGTCTTGATCAACATTTTCGTAAAGACCAATATTGAGCCGAACATCTGAATTGTTACTACAAAATGGCTCAGTTTTACAGGGTTCTGCCGCTATTTCCATTATCGATAACGGTAATTTGATCTTGAATAGGCTACGATTTTGAGTCACGATTTTGAGAAACTTTAAGTCTTCCTGATTCATTCAGTTCAGCTGACCCAATCCTCTGTGAAATACATTACTTTTAGCTTTTCGGGTATATACTATATACTTTCTTACACATTGTAGAAAGAAATTCTCTCTTTCTACTACAGCAGCCTCCTCGTGTACAGGGTGGTCGAAATTGGTCTGTTTTAACAGAGAAAACCTATTTCCTGACTAGATAGAGCACGTTTAATGGCATAAACCACCTGTTGATATTTTCACTGCCAACTGAGATACGGGGTCTTTTTGCATTTTTTACCATTTTGAAAATTGCCCCTAACTTTTTTATTTTGTGGAATAATAAAATTCTGTAAAACCACTTTTTTTAAGCACAATCCAGTGACGTAGTCAGTTTTTTTCTATGCTTGCTCTTTTGGTTAGAAATAATAAAAAATATAATTTTTAAATGAAAATCATAGTTGGCTATGAACTTAAAAAAATGCTGGCATTTTACCCTTTGCAATGATCTAAAGTTATGGACATCTATTTTTAAGAATGAGAGAAATATTAGGTTTTTGATCTTTATATCGAAGCGGGTTCTTGATAGTTTCTCAGAAATCGAGCCCATGATATCTATGTCGGTTTTCCTCTATCTAATCAGGAAATAGGTTTTCTCTGTTAAAACAGACCAATTTCGACCACCCTGTACAGTATGGCATTATTATAAAAGATCATTAAAAAAAGCATTCTCCTCAGGTCTCAGAGTAAATCTGAAGGAGAGGGTAATAAAACACTCATCTTTGTCAATCCATTTATTCATACACAAGAAATCTGAATCAAATCTATGACGATAAATCCTGAATTATATAAAATACTCTAAAATATGGCACTTATCATTATTCTTCATCTGATTTAAGTTATTGTAAGTGAACCCTGTTACAAAAATTGACTTTATTTATTTCATATCCAGTTATTTCAAATTCCTCATTCACCTAAACAAAATACTGAAGTACCAGCGCAACAAGAATCACTAAACTCAAAGTGAATTGATCCAGGTGATTCCCCAAACTCCATCCGCATTCAATTTCCGTTTTTAACACGTCGATGATGGATTTGTTGTTCTTGTTCGTGCAAAAGGACATTCTAAACTCGTCGGGCGTCTCGTGGCACGACGAATCGACGGAGGTTGAGGAGTGCAGGGAGCTTAGACTGTGACTGCACAGATACTGGCGTTTTTTTCGTAACCACGTTTCAATCCACCTTAAAAAGACGACAACAAGTTAATCATAGTTAAACCATAATGTCAAAGTTGATAATGTAAGTTAAACAAAAGGCTATAGCTAAGGTTTCCAATCAAGTTTTTGGAAATTCGGGACATTTGATCTCTGAAATTATTCTGAAAAATAAATTATGAATTTATTTATGTAAAGTCTGCATCATGCTTGTATTGAAACTATATTTGGTGAGCATATCTAGGTTAATTTAGAGCATGTTTTTTAAAAATCTAGAGAGCTCTACAGGATATCCGCAAAAAAAGTACAGTTTTTATTGTAAAAACTTTTTTTTCACATAAAAAAACAAGATTTAGTATCTATACTAATATATAAAATCCTGTGAAGTGACTGACATACTGATTAATCACGATCCTGCTCAAACCACTCAACGTAAGAAGCTCAATTTCAGCATACAGGTCGATTCTAGGGTGTAGAGATTCGATAAGAAGGGATTTTTCGAAATTCCAGTTCCAAGAGGGTGAAACCACCCCTCAAATATTACAGTATCTTTTATTTAAAAAATGCTTAAAAAGTTTCCGAAAAAACGCTTAAACACGTATATTTTATTTTGTTTTTTTACATATTTTAAGATTTTTTAAAAATGTATACAGGGTGTTTCGAAAAATCTGGTCATTGATTAATCACGATCCTGCTTAAAACGTTTGACGTAAAAAGCTGATTTTTGGAAAACAGATTGACTTTAGGGTGTAGAGGTTCGATAAGAAGGGATTTTTCGAAACTCGTATTCTAAGGGGTGAAACTATCCCTCAAATATTAAAATATTTTTTTATTTAAAAACCGGTGAGACTTTCGGAAAACTCTTAAACACGTATATTTTATTCTGTTGTTTTACATATTTTAAGATTTTTTATAAATTTATGCAGGGTGTTTCATAAAATATGACCATTGAGTAATCACGATTCTGCTTAAAGCGTTTGACGTTTAAAGCTGATTTTTGGTAAACGGATTGACTGTGGGGTGTAGAGGTTCGATAAAGAGGGGTTTCTCGAATCTCAAATTCCAAGAGGGTGAAAACACCCCTCAAATATTACAATATTTGTTATTTAAAAAACGGTTAGTCTTTCGAGAAAACTTTTGGACAAGCATAATTTATTTGGTTATTTTACATATTTTGAAATTTTCTAAAAATCATGCAGGGTGTTCCAAAGAGTTGGGTAATTTCTTAACCGCGATTCTGCTTAAAATGCTTGACGTAAATGCTTATTTTTAGCTAATTTTGACATTTTTGCTTAAAACAAAATTATATGCCATTGGTGAGCCACTTTTGAGACGCACCCGGTATAGCCATAGCTTTCACATTTACACAAATAAAAGACCCCTTTTAAATTTTATCATCAAAAACAAACACTTACCCCAAATCACAATCGCAGTCCCATTTGTTTCCCCTAGTTTGCAAGTCCAACAGAAATATCTTCTTGAACAGTTGTGGTTTGGAGCCAGTAATAGGATTCATCAAGTTTTTAAGCCCTACGTTGTCCCTAAGGTCCATGGTTAAGTTTCTGGCTCTCCCTGTATCTCTGAACAGGTCACTGCTGATCTGGGGAATGGTGGTGTTTCTGATACCAACGTGCAGCTGAGGATATCGAATGCCCTAAATGTTATAATATTTTTTACTATGAATGAAACAAATGGCATTTAAATGAATAAAAAAATATGAATATACAACCCAGATAGCTTTATGAGTAAAATGGGATTGTTCAATTATACCATATGATCGAAAAAAAAACGGCGTCCAGTCGGGTTGGAAATGAACATCGATGACATTCTCCATATAATTTTACATATGAAATGACAGCGATCTTCATTTCATAGCCATCGCTGCCGCCATTTTTTTCCGATCATATTGTATGTATTATCAATTTACCTGAAATATGTTGGACCCTAATTTCTTCAACCCTTTCCCAGAAAACGTAATATTTCTCAATTTTAAAGGAAATTCTCCCGCCATTTCTTTCTCCAAATTAGAATCGCTTGGTCTATCTACCTGAAATAACACATTAAATCTACAAGAAATCTTAAAAAAGTTAAAATATCATACATGTATTTCCAAGTTTTTTAGCCCATGGTTCCACTGAATGATATTGGGTATGTTAAATGTTTTAAATCCCGTATATAGACTCATTTTTAATGTTCTCAGTGAATACATTTTGCAAAATGCTCCAGACTACAAAACAACACACAAAAGTTATTACATATTATTAAATTTCTATAATATACCATGTGTGTCCTAAATTCGAGCCCAAAATAGTATTTCTAGAAGAGCTTACACACATTTAACATTAGAAAGTTGCCGTCAACTTCCGGTATTTCCGGAAGTGCCGCCATATTGAAAATATTTTTAATCGATAGATCTCGTTGTAAAACAATGATGTGCAAAAAATCTCCGATCTAGATATTGTGGTTCTCTAGAAACTTCTAATGCACGCTCAGCCTGGGACACCCTGTACAGAGTGGGTCAAATTCGACGCTTTTCTTTTTTCACATCAATATCTGTTACCGTTTCGGAGTTAAGGGGTGTTTTTCAAAAATGTGCATTTTTAACAAATCGCTGTAACTTTTTTGCTATGGAAAATTTTGTATTTCTATGAAAACATTTCCAAAGCACCTTTTTACGTAGAATTTAATGGTTTAAGTATAATTTTTTTAAAATTAATAATTTAAGAGTTATCAACAGGAAAATTGATTTTTTATTTGGGACACCCTCTATATTTTTAATTAACTGAAAAGAATTTAAAATTACCTTTCCAAAAATATAGCACAATTTGATATTTTGTTATAATCCTCTTCGAAATACAGAATTTTAAAAGTTCGCCACTTTTAACTAGTAGGCTTTGGACCCCTTATTGATGATATGCCCTTAATGGAACTCGAAAACATATTTTTCCAGCAAGACGACGCACCGCCTCTGAACGCTGAAGTTATCAGCAAATTTTTGCAGCCAATTTCAAGAATAATTGAATAGCTAACCAAGATCCCAGCCGTTGGCCGTCAAGGCCGCCTGAGTTAGTGCCCATGAATCTAATTCTATGGATATATTTGCGGAAGAATAAAGGTTCGTTATTCTTCCGTATAATCTAGACAAGAATTAGAAATACTTAGCAGTTATTAGAAGGTATCTTTCACCCCCGCTGAGATGAATTCTGCGAGAAATGTTCAAAAACTGCCCCGTCTGTCCATTACAGAAGACGGTCGATATGTAGAACATCTGTATGTAGCAAAATCTCATGTCTTGGTTTGCTATTTATTTTTATTGTTATTAGATATAGTTTAAATTTGTTGATGTTGGTTACATATATTATAAATTGTTATAAAATTCTGCATCTCTCATAGCAAATGTTATTTTCGTTTTAATTGATGCTCACAGCTCGAATTTTTTTGCATTACAGCCGGTGCCGTTCAAAGCCTACTTATTTAAAGCGGGCGAATTTTTATATACTCTATATCTCGAAGGGGAATCGGGCAAAATATCAAGTGTGTTATATTTTTGAAAAGGTAATTTTAAATTATTTTCAATAAATTAAAAATATACAGGGTGTCCCATATAAAAAATCAAATTTTCTGTTGATAATTCTTAAATTATTAATTTTAAAAAAATTATACTTAAACCATTAAATTCTACGTAAAAAGATGCTTTGGAAATGTTTTAATAAAAATACAAAATTTTCTATAGCAAAAATAGATTTGTTAAAAATGCATATTTTTGAAAAACACCCCGTAACTCCGAAACGGTAACAGATATCGATATGCGGTTTTCACCATCATGTTTTTGACAAAAATTGAACTCCAGACACCGATATTAGTTTTTGTCTATCTCCTATAGAAAAGGGTGTTTCCATTTAAAAGCGTCGAATTTGACCCACCCTGTACTTAGCCTTATAATATATATAAATGGAGACTAATCCTTCAGAGGAGGATGGAGGATGGGAAATACCCTGTCCCCCCTACAACAAAGCTCAAGTTACCGAGGCCCCAATAATATGGTTTGAATTTTGGACACACTGTACATACTACTGTATCATACTTGCCTCTAAAACGGTTAAATCAAAATTTCGTATGTCCAATTCCTCCAAATGATCAGCTACTCCAAGTAGACTAGTGTTACTAAGATAAGTTACAGGGTTTGACATCATGAAAAGATATCTCAGTTCAAATAAAGAGTGAGTCAATATAGGAATGGTTGTGAGATCGTTATAGTTTAGATTTAGAAACTGTAAGTTGGTCATATTTGTAGCTGTCTCTGGTGGAATGTTCGGTAATGAATTGTATGCCAAAGATAGAGAAACTAGGTTTGGAGTGGGTAATATTGGTACCTACAAAATAAAATAATAATAAGAGCATATAAAAAACATTTCATGAATGGTAGAATGAGTAGATTTGCGAGTAGAGTTGCCATATCGTTGGAAACAGAAAAACAGTATTATCTCTTTTTTACTCACCATAGATAATGATGCATTATTTAAATTCAAATGCAACAAAGAGTACTCCAACCCCTGGAAGCTTCCACCGTTGTATTCCAGAACCAATTGACCATTATGGCTCAGATCTAGGGCAAGCAATCTAGGCAACCCTTTGAACGTGCCAGCATCGATTTGAGCCAAACGATTATACGACAGATCCAAATAGTTCAATTTCTAAAATTGGTAAATCTTAAGTCAGAATACAACATAATAAAGTATGACATCAAGTTGGCTTGGAACTGACTATTCGGTGATATTCTTCATATAATTTTACACATAAAATGGCAGCGATCTCTATTTCCAAGCCAACTCTGACGACATTTTTAAGAAGTACAGAATATCTCTTTTTTTAGTAAAATTAAAATGAATTGAAAAAAATTACTTTGAATCGCTCAAGAAGTCCTCCATGAGATAAGGACGATATAAGATTTGCTGAAAGATCCAATTCGCACAGTGTATGTGCTGGAGCTGTAGAAATACCATTCAAAGGCAGCTTGCTTAAGAGATTGTTGGATAGATCTAGTCTTTCAAGACCTAAAAATGTAGTATATAAATGTGTTATCCAATATTTTGTTTTATTATTAATATAAAACTAAGAATTTAATAAAATCTACTATAATATACCTTCTTCTCTGAATAAATTATCAGGTAACGATCGCAGTCTGTTGTTTGACAGATTTACCAGTCGCAGGTTGCTTAGAAATCGAAATATATCATTCGGTATGTCTGCGATTCTATTATATGATACATCTAAAACCTAAGAATAAACTTAAATTAGCAGGTATTAACATTATAAGAAACTGGACAAAAATGGGAGTAATCAACATCCTAGATACTAAAAATAAAAAAAATCACCAATCACTCTAACAGAGCTTAAACAGTAAGTTCTCTTAGCAGTTCCGGCGCTAATCTCCAGGAAGTCATCAAAATAACGGTCCATAGTTCTATAAATTCTGTTATCTCCAGCTAAGCGAGCAGCATCATATGAAGATTTTGTCGCAAATGAGAGCCGAAAATACATCGTCATCTACTTCTAATGCTGAAGCCCAAATTCAAACACCTCCAACCTATGGTAATAATTCATCTAATGGTTCAAGTTTTCACTATAGCAATTGTAGTTTTGTTATTAGTAATAATTATTATAATAAAAATGTTTAAGATAAGAAGGATATATCGTCCTTTTTCCGAACAACCAAATTCAATCACTAACTATGTTTTGAATCGGAGAATCGATTGCAAAAGTCATTAACTACGATTTCTGGCTATTTATATTTTATTTTAATACCGAATAGTTACTAACTATAACATCTTTATGCAATGCAATTCATCTTTAGACGCATTTTTCTCGGAAGTAACAAAAAGTAAGTTAGTGACTTTTGGCAGCAATGGGACGATATGTACTTTATTTTGTTGTATAATCTTTTGAATACAACTCGATGTTTTGGGATTACCTAATACTTTTCAATGCGATACCGGCAACACTACTCCTCCTTCAGAGTCGTAGTGTTTCCTGGTAACGCATTTCGTGTCAGGTAAAAGTATTATTCAGTAATCCCGAAACATCTTGTGGTATTACATTCGATAATTCTGTTTTCTCACTAAACTATAAATCAGTATTTCCATCTTAAAAAATAGCTACACTATATCGCTAATGCTATTATTATTTTTTCGCAAACGGTCCCTTACTAACCAGCAAAATGCCACCAATGTCGAATATAGGTGTCTCGTTCGTGTCAAGTTGAGTCCAGATCCGTATCGCTCCAAATCGGGATGTATTTATTGACCTTTTGCGAACACCGATACGAAGATACGATCCGCACAGATCGGCAAAGTGGCAATTCGAAATCAGTGAAGCGACAAACTTCCAAAAGGGCCTTATCGCGTACGATCGACGCGTCAATCTCGACCTAAGTAGTCGTCTCCGGTCTTTCAAATCGAGACAAGAGATAATGCCAACAGCGTTGTCAGAATTGGTCATCTATCCTACAATATTTATCTATTTTCCTTCAAGTTTACTGAGATTGTTTAAAAAATTACGTGGTAAACATAAAAAATTAATATTTTCACATATTTTTGTACTCGCGGCGGTTTATAGTCTGGTTCACATGTACCATTTTTAGTAAAATTTTTCAATTAAAAATTTCAAAATTACGATGAAATACCTAGAAAGTTTAAGGAAAAGTCCGAAAAGGCGCTGAAAAAAATTACTTTTTTCCATAGCAACTGTTAAAATTCCCTTATATCTATCAAAAATAGTAGATAACATAGTACTTTAACCGCGTAGGATAGATTAAATGATACTTTAACAGCGAGGATAGGTTAAAAACTTTATTTCTTCTCGCACGTTTTTTAATTGCTTCCATTTTTGAAAATTTTTGTATTCCTTTTCATAAGTTATTCGGGATTTAAATGGAAGTAGTTTGGATCTGGCGTTTGTCACCTCAACCTGAATATCTGTTGGTTATTTACTTATTTCGTTTTGAGCCATTTCTGGCTCCAATTCAATCAGCAATCGACACGAAAGAGAATTAAAAAATATTGACTCAAAACTGACAACTAAAGAGACAGCTTTATTTATTTGCCAAATTACATAGAAACCAACGCCAACCCAGAACGATATTTTTCCTACTCGTAATAAATTCCACGAAATAATAATTTCTGAATATTTTATAAAACGTAACTCGAAAAAAAAATAATGTTTTATACACGACGATAAAATGCCATTTTATCGTCTTGTATAAAAAATAACTATTATTCGATAGAAAATGACACTCTAATTATATTTTTTCCAGCAAATGCGTTAAATTTTCAGTAGATTTTTATCTGGCAACACTGCCAAACCTGTCATTTTCGAGACGCAGACGGACATCTTTTAAACCTGACGCGTTGATTGTTACACATTATATCGAAACATCTAAACCTCTTAGGGGTTTATTTAATAATTATTTTGATAGCCTGCAATAAGAGAAACACGACCAATAACGTCCTTATACAGGGTGTTCAATTATTTCTTCTTTGAATAAATTTAAAAATATATTTTTTAATTCATTTTTAACCTGGACTTATGATATTTTGGCAAAAAAGTACGGTAGCCTAACAAGTCATCTATTTATTATACAGGGTGTCTCAGATTTTAATCGGGAAAATTTAATAGACGATAGAACTTGCAAAAATAAAACAAAATGTTCATATCAACTAATAAGATTTAAAGCTTCCTTTTCGAGATACAGGGTGTTAAAGTTACTTAAAAAAGAAATAAAATTTAAGATATTTGAAAAACGATTTAATCGATTTTGATATAACTTGACCCGTTTATAATACTTACTATGGGACTTAATTTGATGTAATTAGATTTAAGTTTAATGGCCCGGGGCGGCGGTGGGGCATCACTGTTAAATTAATTTAAAGGAAAAAATAGGCACGCCACTGCTTTTTTAGAAATTTAATATTATTTTTGGATTTAGTAATTAAAAATATTATTTTCTTGTCTCCTGACTTTTTTGTCTATCTTGCTTACTTCTTGCGAAAAAAAATAAATTCTAATTGGTAATTAATATTATAATTGGTATTCTAATGGTACCCTATATCTCGAAAAGGAAGCTTTAAATCTTACAAGTTGATATGAACTTTTTGTTTTATTTTTGCAAGTTCTATCGTCTATTAAATTTTCCCGATTAAAATCTGAGACACCCTGTATATTAGTTATTTTTTTATACAAGACGATAATGCAATTTGCAATTTTGTCGTGGTGTATAAAATAATATTTTTTTCCATAGCGAGTTACGTTTTAAAAAATATTCAAAAATTATTATTTCAAGGAATTTAAAACGAGTAGAAAAAATAATATTATGCTGGGTTGGCGTTGGTTTCTCGGTAATTTGATAAATAAAGCTGTCTCTTGTAACAGTCCAAATTTAGCTTTAACTAGGTTTAAAAATATATACCAATTTTTCTTACAAGTTAGATCAAACTCTTATTTATGCTGATAAATAAATTTATTGCATTTAATTTTTATAAACAAATATTCATTACAGCTATATTTCATTATCTTTCTTACTCTCCTTTGCTTAATTTATTTTGCTTTCCATGCCATATCTCATCTCAAGTCAGTAATCAATCAGTAATCTAAAATATAATTAAAATTTATTATCTAATGCTAATATAATCAAATCACCAAAATATTACCTTTAATTTCTGGACTTGTTTATGTTTCTGAATGTTGGCTTATTTGCCGTAATTTCTAGTAGTTCTACGGTACTGCTTGCCCTTGTATTATCTTAGAAGATTTATTAACAAGTGTGGATTGGTCTTTAAAATATTATTTGATCCTATATTTCATTATAGAGCCCAAAATGAAGTTATTTACCTGCATATTTTTTGAAATTTATCATTTGTTTATTTTCTGCAAATTGTAAGGTTAACAATTATTATTAATCATGTCATTTAAATTTGAATTGCTCAGATCAGTTGAGATTACTGTATTCGGCGCACAAACGCTGTTGTCAGGTTGAGCAGTACTTCCTTTAGGTTCTGATGTTTGTATTTTCTGATAATTATTGATTGCATAATCGACATCCTTTCCGTAATATTGTGTATGCATCGTCACCGGCATAAGGTTTGGTATGTTTGAGTTTGAATGGTTATTGGAATTTTCTTTTAATTCTAAGTAATGTTTATTTCGGCAATGTTTCTAAATTCCCAGAATATTAAATTGCAACTTTGCAGTATAAATCAAATTTCTTCGGACCGGAACTCTATCTGATCGATGTAGGTTTCCCATTTTTCCCTTCAGCTTCAAAGCAGGTGTTTTGGTCAGTGTAATTTGTTGGAATTTTCCTGTTTTACCCGTTTGTTGGGGATAATCACTGACTAGAACTATAAGGGATACTTTTGCTGTTTGAGTTGTACCTTACCTTTTAAAAGTATCTCTGAGCCGTTTTATACGGGATTTTAATCTGCTCGTGGCTGGTAAGTTTTTTTTGATCGCCATTTTGTCTAGTGTGATTTGTACTATTCAAATTATTTCTTAACAGGGAAAGTCTTTTGATTTATTTCTTTGTCATCGTCGATTTTCTTGAGAAGAGGAACTTAAAACCACCACCTAGTAATTTCTGCTTTCTGAATCCAGCAATTTGAACATCCATCTATTAGAAAAAAAACTAGATTTTTTGTGAAGCCCAGCAAGGTAACTTTTTATGATATTTTTTTATATTTCTACAGTTGAAACGTGTTTTGATTATTTAATTAATTATAGCTGTGTTTCTTTTGTTTCAATCTATCCCGTCTAGGTAACTTTCTTTTTATTTCGTAAACCTAATACCGCTCTCGGTTTTAGGGTTTTTTTTTTGGACCAGGCTTTTAAGACCAGGATTTTTCCACCAGGCTTTGAGACCAGAACTTTTTTTGGACCAGGATTTTTCTTTTATACGAGGATTTTTCTACGAAGCATTTTTCTGGCTTGCTTTTTCTGACAGACTTTTTCCAGTACATCTCTCTGGAAGTGGTATCCTTCTGAAGCACTGAGCTTGGCAACTACGTCGCTGAATCAGGTTTGAAGCAGAAACAAGTAAACGTTTACTGAAATTTTATCTTCCCCTATTATTTGTTTTCCCTTTTCTTACTTACCTTTTTTTTATCTTATATTGATTCAAGGTTCCAGAGTTCAAGGTACATACATACGGTTCAGTTTTCAATTTTTAATTAAATTTAGTATATACAACGTCATCAAGTTTGGTTCATTTTTTTTAAATTTAATATCATTATACAATACTCTATTAATTTATCTTAGTGTTTCATTCATCCCTTAATTTTTTATCTTTCTAATATATTTTTTTTAATAACAAGTCTTGTTAGATTCCAAGAATATCTTGGGGGTTTTCTGGCTTATCTGTGCAAAGCCAGTGGCGCTTAAAACCCACCCCATCTCTTCGGCAGAGCTAGGGCCTATTTGCACGCACACTCCACAGTTTAATAAGACGTTTTTTTTTATTTATTTTTTTTCGGTTCTCTATAAATTTTTAATTTCATAATTTTTCTTGTCAATTTAATAATTTTAAAATTTAACAATTTAACATTTTTTTTTTAAATCAATTTCCTGCAAAGGAAACGCGTGGCACTCTTTAGTTGTCAGTTTTGAGTCAATATTTTTTAATTCTCTTTCGTATCGATTGCTGATTGAATTGCAGCCAGAAATGGCTCAAAACGAAATAAGTAAATTACCAACAGATATTCAGGCTGAAGCGACAAACGCCATATCCAAACTACTTACATTTAAATCCTGAATAACTTATGAAAAGGAATACGAAAATTTTCAAAAATGGAAGCAATTAAAAAACGTGCGAGAAGAAATAAAGTTTTTAACCTATCCTCGCTGTTAAAGCGTCATTTAATCTACCCTTTCGGTTAAAGTACTATTTTATCTACTACTTTTGACTAATGGTTTGACTATCTACTAATGGTTTTACATGATATCTCACAATTTTTTTGTAGTGGTAGAACTGGATTACAAGCCTTGGCATTTTTTACATTCTACGTTATTGACGGAATAAAATAATTACCTGCAATTTTTTCGTATTCCTAAACATATCGAAATCCATCTCATAGATCTGGTTCCAAGATACGTCCAACCACTGTAAGTGGGGCATATTTCCAAACACATCCCTTGTAGCGTTCAGTATTTTATTGTGAGATAAATAAAGATGAGTCAAGGATATTTCGGCTGGTCTAAAAAACTGCTTGGCTATAAGACTGATATTGTTGTAGGACATGTCCAACACTTTGACATTGGAGTGGAAACCTCCGAATCCTACACAATAAATACAAACTAATTTTAAAGATAGAAAAACATATCTTGAAAAAACGTAGAGTTCTTATTTTACAACCCTGTATTTTTTATAGAAATCTACGTTTATTCAAGTACCAATTTGTGCTATTGGACAGTCTAAAAAACAGTTAACTTTATTTAAACATAAAACAATAATTTTTATTTTTAAACTGTTTTTTTTTTAATAAATATACACGGTAAGTCTTTAATAAGCGTAAATATTTTTAGGGCTGGTAGATCTCAATAAAAGAAACATATTTTCTCTTTGCCGTTTTTGAAATAAGTCCAAAATAACCGAGTTATTGACAATTGAACATTTCTAATGGAATTTTTTAGAACAAAGTGCTGTTTTTCTGTGACATACTTTTAGATTATCTAGGTAATTTGTTTGTGTTATCTCAGCAAACTGATCTAGTCAGAATTTTAATATGTTGTTTTACATACAAAAAGGCTTGAAAATTTTTATTTAATGTTGTACCGGGTGTCCCACTAAGAATAGCTCTCGGCTGCATCTCGGAAAGTATCAGCCGTAGGGTTTACGGAAAAAAATATTTATAACTAAAGGGGCTATGAAAAATTGCCGGAAATTATTTTAAAGTTTGTAGAACGACCGCTAGGGGGCGCAACTGCAACAAAAAATATGAAAATGGAGTTTTTACAGAATTTTGCCTAGATAAGGTGAACTATAAGTAATTGCTTCATAATCTTCAGTAAATTTTTAATATCTTTTGTTAAAGCCATTTTTCCCTATCTACCAAAATAAAGCGGTGGGGGAAGGTTAGATCTGTTTTTATTTAAATATTAGTAACTCTGGACTGGATGATCGGAATCCCACAAGCGGGTGCTCGTTTAAAAGAGCGTTTCTTACTCTATATTGTACCATATAAACAATAATAATAAGCTTTTGAAGGTAGACGCTAGGGGGCGTTGTCTTACAATTTCACAAACATTGCCCGTTTTTTCAAAAAAATTAAATGCAATAGTATATGTAATTTTAGCTGATAGTAAAGAGTAGTAAAAGCTTAAAAAGTCAGCGAGAACCGCATCTTGATATGCAAAATTATAATAAATAAAATATTTTATATTTTTTTCCACAGCCCCTACGGCTAATACTTTCCGAGATACAGCCGAGAGCTATTCTTAGCGGGACACCCTGTACATTCTTCCAAAGTACGTAAAAAAATTCTGAAAAGAAGTTTTAGTATGAAAAGTAAATAAAAATATAATTCACAGTTTTATTTGTCTCTCCAAATGTGCAAAATTCTTATACGAGGATGGTCTGAAAAGTTTCCGACCTCAACGTGAAGATGGCAGCACTCGTAGATAAAAGCTAGTGAAGTTTCATTGTTCATCTGTTGACAGTTATTCACCAAAGTTTCAGCCATTTTGGATGCGCAGTTGTTATGTAACAGTCGTTTGAGTGAGTTGATGTCAGTGTTTTTGTGAAAATGGACAAAATCGAGTATCGAGCTGTCATTAAATATCTGGTTTTGAAAGGCAATACGCCTACACAAATTAAACATGAGTTGGATTCTATGTATGAGGACTCTGCACCATCATTTACCACAGTGAAATTTTGGGCAGCTGAATTTAAACGTGGCCGTAAGAGCTTGGGAGACGGTAAACGTTCGGGACGTCCAAAAACTGCAACTACCGACGATAACATCGTCAAAGTTCAACAAATGGTGCTAGACGACCGCCGAATTAAAGTGAGAGAGATAGCAGAGGTTATGAACATATCAAAAGAACGTGTTTGTCACATATTAAATCAAGATTTAGGCATGAGAAAGCTGTCCGCGCGTTGGATGCCGCGTTTGCTCACGTTAGACCAAAAGCGTGTTCGTATGAACATTTCCAACGCTATGTTAGCTCAGTTTAGGTGCAATAAATCCGAGTTTTGGCATCGATTAATTACTGTAGATGAAACTTGGATACACCACTATATACCAGAAACAAAAATACAGTCCAAACAGTGGACGGCAAAGGGAGAACAGGCTCCAAAAAAGGAAAAACTGTTATTTCGGCTGGGAAAGTGATGGCGACTGTTTTTTGGGATAGTCATGGAGTTATTTTAATTGATTATCTTCAAAAAGGAAAAACCATTACAGGAGCATACTACGCATCATTACTTGACAAGCTAAAAGCAGAACTTGCGAAAAAACGGCCACATTTACAGAAAAAGAAAATCCTGTTTTACCAAGATAACGCACCGTCTCACATCTCAGCGGTTGCCATAGCGAAAATCCACGAATTACGGTTTGAACTGCTTGACCACCCGCCTTACTCACCAGATCTAGCCCCTAGCGACTTCTTTTTGTTCCCTCATTTAAAAATTCCGCTCGGAGGACAGAGATTTTCGTCAAATGAAGAGACAATCACCTTCGTGAACCACTATTTCGTAGAGAAAAACGCCGAGTACTATTTGGACGGGTTACAGAGATGGGAGCATCGCTGGGAAAAGTGTGTAGAGTTACAAGAGGACTATGTTGAAAAATAAAATAAAATATTCAGAAAAAATGTCTTGTATCTTTGTTAGGTCGGAAACTTTTCAGACCACCCTCGTACATACTGTATATTGAAACTTATAATCACTATAACAAAATAATATAAAAAATTCCTGTTGCCTACCTATTTGAGTATCAAACCCTGGAGACAAATTCACCAACAATTCCTTTAGACTGTTATGACTGATATTGACACTGAACATTGCCAGTGTACCGACCTGATCAAACATCATAAAATCCAGAGATTTCAGATCGTTATAAGCTAAATCCAAATCTTCCAATTCTGGCAAATTTTGAAACGCCTCGTATGATATTTTTGTTAGTTTGTTTCCTAATATAATTAAAAAAACACATTTATTAGAAACTTTTAATACCGTATGATCGAAAAAAGGCATTTAAATGACGATCAATGATATTTTCAATACCAAATGACAACGATCTTTATTTCTAAGCCATCTCTGACGCCGTTTTTTTTTCGATCGAATGGTATTAACGGGTCAGAAAGTTCTACTGTATTCTAAAACAAAACTAATATAGTATGTCCGACGAGAGATTCCATGACAGTGACTAGTTGTATCTGTCATTTTAATTTTGTCGTATAAATTGTATTTTCTGTCAATTTTTGAATGCTGTATGTCAAAATCTTTCCTCTGTTATTGGACAGACTATATCTATTATAGTTAAGCCTTGTTCACGTAGACGCGAATCGCGATTTTGCGAAACTGCCTCATTGGTCCAATTTTTGCTGATCATGGCGGCGCTGTCAGAAATTTTAAGATTTTAGGATTCGCAAGATTTAAAATTTGGGGGTCGGGAAAGTTAAAGTGTTTTCAACTTTTTGCGAATATTCGCGCGATTTTAAGGTTCGCGTTTGCGCAGAATGGTGTGGTGATCCGGTTATCAATTATTTTGACGACGCTGCCGCAAAGTAACTGAAAGCATTTTTCCAGTTGAAATGGGTTCTCGTGCATAATATGTTTTTGATATATATGGTGACAATTTTTCAACTTCAACCAAGTTATCAAACTCCTATCCAGACAATCTGTGAAAATTCCTAAATTTTTTCTCATCTTTTGTCCTTATTTCTTGAATTAAATTGCAATAAGCACCTTGTTGCTTACGAAATTTGAATATTTCACATGTCCCAAATGACCCATAAATGACCTATAAACCTGTGCTATAAACCCGTTCTCTTCTACGTTTTAACAATAAGTAAATGGCAATTTGCGCCTTATTCTATTCCAATCCCACAATCGTAATCGATATTCATAATCATTAAACAAATTTAAACTCATATTGTATGATATAATATATAAAATAAAGATCGTAAACACGAATAAATCTCAGGTTATGATTTTTTTTTGGTAACTTTCAGTGGAGCAAAAATGAAATGTCCCTAAAAAGTCGCGACTTATGAAATAGGTCCAAATTTTACGAATATTTTTTGGCGAATCGCTTTTCGCAATTCGCGATTCGCGTCTATATGAAGCAAGCTTTATACCTTTGAGATTAAGTGATTTCAGGTGTTCCAAGTTCATGAAAGCTCGACGATCTAAACTTTCTAATTGATTGTCATCGAGAAAGAGTCGTTCTAGTTGAGGCAAGTGGACAAAAGTATGCTGAGGTACTGTTTTAATATTGTTAAAAGAGAAATATATTTCTTCTAAGTTGGAATGAATATCACCCTGTAAATAAAACGAGAATTACACAACAACTGATAACGCTATATCATTACATATTGACAATTAAGAGTCCATTTCACTAGTCCGAAAAAGTAGCAAAATAAGCGTTTTATGTAAAACTGGCTAGGTATTTTTACACAAATGAAGAAGGAAATTAAAGATAAAGGATTATACTATATCCGTATTGTAGCACATTTTTAGACAACTTCTTTATTTTTAAGATTTTGATGGTCAAACATCAACAAAATATTCCTTATGTTTGGACTAAATTTTCTCCAAAATAAAGACTTAATTTAAAATTCGGTTACAATACGGAAATAGATTGAAGTTTTGTGATTACAGTGATATATAATTTATATGGTTTTGTAACAAATTGCTCGCTATTTTATGGCAAATACTGAAGCACTGCAAGCCTTAATCAAGCCTTAATCAAAGCACGAGTGTTTGGAATTTTGTGTGTGGCCGACCCTACATCGTAATAGACTCTTAAAGATAATAGTACAAGCAAGTATAAAGAAACAGTACAAATATAAACAAAACAACAGCATTTTGTATTAATTTTTATACCTGGAAAGTGCCTTTGTGAATTACATCAATCAGGTTGTCCTGTAATTCAATTTTCCGTAACTTCTTCAGGAAATGAAAACTGGTCTCTCCCAACGTTTTAAACTTGTTATTGCTCAAATCCAGGAACTCCAAATTGTTTAAAACTTTAATTGCGTCGCTAGGCACTGTGGAGAAAGATGCAGAAAACGCATGGGCCAAAGATAATTGCTCCAGAGAATGACCAATCTAAAAATAATGTTCATTCTTATATCAAATAGCAAATATAAAAAAATTGTTATTTTGTATACAAGACTTATACAAGACGATAAAATGGCATAACTGCTCTGCTAACTAAACTGCTCTCATTAAAGAAATTCCGAAAAGTGTTTATAGCATCCATTTTCAAAGTAATTATTGCTATCTTGTGAGTTTAATTCAAGTTTTATTTACTCCAACCGGTGATAATTGTGAAAAAGTGAAATTAATAACTTAAAAAGCTGTGCTGTGAACTGTGAACTGCAAAAGCCATCGTGGATCGTGGCATAACGTCGGTTTCCAATGTTTTATAGGTATTTCATACATGCGTCCTTATATAAAATAAAGTTTCTTGTATGCAACACACTGTATTTTATTTATAAAATTAAACAAAAATAATCACAAATTTGAATAAAAAATATTTGGCGATATAATTCAGGAAAAAGCCGAACCGCTCCGAAATTTTCAAAAGTTTTGGGTCGCGACCGTTGCAAGAATAGCGCCAAATAGTGTTTACATTGTCCTTATGGGCACTTTCCAATCTAAACTTGTTTCATTTATCTATGAATATAAGTCAATTTTAGCAGTTGCTATGGAAAAAAATATAAAACCTGTGAACACAAACGCCAGTGATGCCAGAATTAAAAGATTTCCCTCAATATGAAGGATTTTTATTCAAAAAGAAGACAATATGGAGGTTTCTAGCAGTTTTACACAACAAAAATTGTCAAAATATGTAATAGGAGTATTTATTGTTATTCCTACATCTATTTCGTCACTTTAACAGTGTCTAATTAAAGCAATGTTGCTGTCAAAAAGTCCGCAATTGGAAAGATTTTAACATTTAGCAAAAAATTAATAGATACATTTTTATCTTTCAATACGTCTTATTACACACATACCATAACTAAACCAAAGTTGTTATCTATACTAATACTAATACATAAAATCGTTAAGTGACTGACTTACAGATTAATCACGATCCTGCTCAAACCATACAACGTAAGAAGCTCAATTTTGGCATACAGGTTGATTCTAGGGTGTAGAGGTTCGATAAGAAGGGATTTTTCGAAATTCCAGTTCCAATGGGGTGATACCACCCCTCAGATATTACAATATTTTTTATTTAAAAAACGGCCCAGTTTCCGAAAAAACGCTTGAAGACGTATATTTTATTTTATTTTTTTACATATTTTAAGATTTTTTAAAAATGTATACAGGGTGTTTCAAAAAATCTGGTTATTATGATTAATCACGATCCTGCTTAAAGCGCTTGACGTAAAAAGCTGATTTTTAGGGTGTAGAGGTTCGATAAGAAGAGATTTTTTGAAACTCGGATTCTAAGGGGGTGAAACCACCCCTCAAATATTAGAATATTTTTTTATTTAAAAACCGGTGAGTTTTTCGGAAAACCTCTTAAACACGTATATTTTATTTTGTTGTTTTACATATTTTAAGATTTTTTTAAAATTTATACAGGGTGTTTCATAAAATATGACCATTGAGTAATCACGATTCTGCTTAAACTGCTTGACGTTTAAAGCTGATTTTTAGCAAACGGATTGACTGTGGGGTGTAGGGGTTCAATAAGGAGGGGTTTCTCGATTGTTTTTTCTCATGCTGACATAAATGTGAGAAAATTTTATTCAGTTTATATGTTAATGGAAATTCTTGCATTACTTTATCATCACCATTACAAATGATTAATTCAAAGCGAAGTCGTGGGTACACGCTAGTATCTAATAAGTTAGCTGATCATGGCGTCTTGCACGATTAATTATTCTCGGTTCAAGCACTCATTGTAAGCAAAGAATTTTTTTTTCGAAACATACTTTATAATACTGCTGTCGAGTATCTATGACAGCATTTTTTATCGTGTTATTTTTTTTTAATAAAAAGTTTATTTAAATACCAAAAATTACCAGAAATAAGTTTTTAAAAATTTTCTCCTAATTATGAAATACGTAAAATACACGAAATTTGGTGATTTTTCAAAAGATCTGGAATTTTTTGTGAAGTTGAAGGAATAGTATGAAGCTTTTTCAGGCTCCGTTGAAGAAATTCGCTCGAAAATTTCTGGCAAAACTGAGAAGGATCGTTTTCTCTCTTTCAGTACACTGAATCAGTCAAACTGGTTCAATGAAACTGATAAGTAAGAAATAGTCTCAAATTTATAAAAGGCTAAAAATAAATAACATACATCAACAAAAGCATCGGCTTCAATAGTGGTCAAGCTGTTATCGGAAAAATCGATCGATTTTAATCCGTGCACATGCTTAAATGCGTTGTTTTTTATGCTTTGTATCCCTGCATAAGTTATAGACATTTCTTCCAGATCGATTCCAAATTCCAGAAAATCATCGGGTTCAATATGAGGCTGGTTTAGGCGAGATAAAGAAAGAGATCTTAAACTTCTTAATCTTAAAAACGTAAAAAAAATAAATTAAATGTAAAAAAACTCAGATGCAAAAAAACGCAACGGGAAAATGTTTCGTCAAGTTTAAAGTGTTAAGATAGGTTTTTTTTTAATTTTTAGCCCTATGTTTATGATTTTTTTAGCAAACTGTATATCAACTTTAATTCGTAACTTTAGTTTATTATAAACTTTAGTATTTGACTTGACGAACAAATTCTCCGTTAGGTTTCTTTTGAATCTGAGTGTATTAAAAACTTATAGATACTCCAGAATACTATTTTTTACCTTCGTAAGTCTTGTATATTAATGGGCATGTTTTGAGAACCACTTAAGTCCAAATTATACAGAGTGTACTGGAAACTATTGAACGCTTCGCTAGGACTGAGTTTCGTGATGATATTGTCTCGTAGGAACAGTGTTCTGATATACTGAAACCTAGAAAATGAGTTTATTCCAAATTTTTTAACTTTGTCGCCTATTTTTTTTATTATAATTGCAAGAATGCATCTCAAATTTGTCGGTGGGGTAGTATTATTTACATGTAATGAAAATTTAAGTATATAAGTATATGCCATTCGTGCCACAAACTTTGGTACGACTGATATAGGAAATGCAGAACTACCCTCTGTAAAACCGTCTCAGCTACTGGCTTTTGTCAAAGCCCTGAGGCTGTATGATGAGTTATAACTCAAGAAAGGTGGACAAAATATATCTGTAAGGTTGCAGTGATTAACCCTTTTAAAAAAAGATACAGTTTATACCAATAACTAGAACGTATCATTTGACAGCGCATCATATTTTTGGCAGAATGTAAAAAAACTTGACTGAAGAATCTATACAGGGTGTCCCAGAAATAAGTGCAAATATTTTAACTGGTAGTATAGTTCAACCCCAGAAATACGCCTATGAGGTTTTTTTTGCGAAAAAAAAATGTTGAAAATTTAAAATTTTTCTTGACATTTTCCGGGAAATTTGAAAAAACTTTTTAGTGCCACTTGTTTATTCACCTGAGATTTCTCTACGGTGTATCTAAACCTTGCAGTGTTGCAACCTCCTATGTTATCCACATTCTACATAGTTCTACATTTATAATTTCATAGAAAAATTTCTACTCAGAAATTAGGAATGTTAAATTTTTATCATTGCTCATTATTAATAATTATTATAGAAAAAAAACACATTAATTATTTTTAGTACTTACCCTTTCAATGAAAACTTAACAAAAACCACCGAAAATTAACTAAAACATTACGTTTATGACGTTTACGAAAATGATTCATCATATTATTCACAACCAGGTCACAAAAAAGAAATTCCTAAAATGTTTATCGTAATTTAGAATTCAATATTTGTTTTCTTTCATGTTTCTCTGTTTTATTTGAACCACTGATTTACAAAACACCTTGAAAAGCGCACATTACTTTGAATACCTCTCTTATCGCTACTTTACGAACTACTTTCAATTTAAGACATGTTTCACTCAACAATTTTAAATACGTATTTTGTTTTTTCGCTATTTTTTCGATGTATTTTGACAGCCCGACCGTCGCGCGTTGGCCAAGAGTGCCACGTGTGAACTGGTCCTTTGAGCCGCGCCGTCGTGGCAGGCTTGCGTCAGACGACGATGTTAAGCAACGTTGCCGTAGTTACAACAATTTCAAATTCAAGAGATTCGAAGCAATCAAATTTGTATTAAATTTTAAAAATAAAACAGATAAACATGAAAGGAAACAAACAAAACGAAAATGAATTGATTATTCGTCGGGCTGTTTTCGATATATTGAATTCTGAATTACGATAAACATTTTAGAAATTCCTTTTTTGTGACCTTATCAATAATCAATTCATTTGTGTTTTGTTTGTTTCCTTACATGTTTTTCTGTTTTATTTTTAAAATTTAATAAGAATTTGATTGCTTCGAGTGTCTTGAATTTGAAATTGTTGAAACTACGGCAACCTCGCATGGCGCAAGCTCGACACGCCGGCGCGACAAAGAAGCAGTGAACAGTTACCAACCAAGGATGTGTGGCTGTCTTGGCCGATGGTTGGGCTGTTGACGGAATTGTCGAAATACATCGAAAAAATAGCGAAAAAGCAAAATACGTATTTAAAATTGTTGAGTGAAACATGTATTTTCTTAGATTGAAAGTAGTTCGTAAAGTGGCGGTAAGAGACAATAATTCTCAACATTTATTCATTCAAAAAGATATTCAAAGTAATATGTAATGTGTGCTTTTCGAGGTGTTTTGTAAATCAGTGGTTCAAATTATGATGAAGCCTATATGAAAATAATGTGTTAAGTTAAAAATGGGGACTGTTATTTTAGCAGTTTTTATAATAGCACGTACAAGTAAAGCAGCGCAATGAAGTGTATTTTAGTTAAGTGTGTATCGAAAAAGAGAACTGTCGCAGTTACATCGATCTGTCATAAGTATTTTTTTTAAAGTTGGGTAAGTTTTTTAATTTAACTTTTAAACATTTAACTTTTAATTTATTTTATGTAATAATATCACAATCTTAAAAATGTAATGCATCTCTGCAAACTCCTCAGGTGTTGTTATTTTATGACTTACTTGTAAACATATACTTGTCCATATGGCAACACAGTGCGTCGAATTAACTGAAATCCGGGCTTGATCCGGATAATTGGATGTAGTTGGCAATATCTGCCGGCGGTTCTCAAAATGTTGCGATTATTTTTTTAAATTTTCAAAGTTAAATAACTCGGTTATTTTCAATTTATTTTAAAAATGGTAAAGAGAAAATATGTTTATTTTGACCAGATCTACCACCCTTTAAAATATCTGCACTCATTTCTGGGACACCCTGTATTTTATTTTTTAATAACTGTTCTATCTTAAAAATACAGTGTATCTCTTTAAAATTAAAAATTAAGACAACTATACTGCCGTCCAAAGCTAAACCCTCGTATTTGCAAAATATTTAAAATGGCGCAAAATGGCAATTAAATTTTTATGCATACTATAGCTTCACCTAATGGCTTCAAATTATCGAAACTGTGTTATAGTAGAAGAAATAGACGAGTAGAATATTTTTTTTAATGTGAAAACCTTATATTTCATTGTTTTCATAAAATAAAAACCCATACGGTGAAAAGCGTTATGTAAAATAAGGCCTTATACTAGGGAGAATACTGGTATTTTGTAATACGGTGATTAACTTTAGATTACTTAGGATAATATGCTAGAGGAAATGCCCGTATTTGGAAAAAGAGTCGAAATACGGGGATTTTCCTAAGAAATTCCATATTAAAATCAATAACACACACAACACTAAATAAGTTGTTTATTTTTTTAATAACATAAACAGATGTAGGTACAACAATAATAATAGGAACCTAATGATTAAGTTTAAATGAAAACATAATATTATACATTATTTCATGGTAAAACATTTTTTTCAGGGAGTTCTAACCAAAATTGTTTTCTGTTTTCTGGTATAATATCACCAAGATTTTTTAAGATATTTTCTACTTTACTTTTTTCAAACCCATTGGGTCGTGACTTTATTAAAGGGTCCGGCATGTCCAAAATATTTTTTTTTTGCAAAAAATCGAGTTTTCTCCAATCGTCCTTAGTATTTATTTTAAAATAAAAATCATACTCGTTCCGTTTAACTAATATTTCACTGATTTTCGAAATGTACACTTTTGGAGTTTCTTTTTTAACTTTAGATACAGAATACAAATTCTTCCAGAGTTGAAAATCTTCGACCGACATTTTTTTAATATTCACTTTTCTTTTGTTACACATTTCAACGGCGTGCACAAAATCCTCAAAATCATAAACTTTTTTTAGTTTTTTTAACGACTCCTCAACTTGGTGGTGGAAGGAGTCTGCAGACATAAATGTATGTCCAGGCTCGAAATATTTAAGGGTGATAGTTTTTGCAGAAATACCTTGGTGATTTATTATATAAATTAGAAATGAAAACAGAGCCCAATTTTTGTTTTGGCTGGAACAATTGTCCAACCACAATACAAAATGTTTAACATCTCTGTTATGCAAAAAAAAAGATTTAAAAGCACTTATAATGTCTTCCTGGTTACGTCCACTTATGGCTTCATGCCATAAAACAGCAAAAGGGCATCTTTCAGCGGTAATTGCCCCAACTGGCACGAAACTTTCATTATATGCGATAAGTCTCTGGGTGAAAATAGCCCTTCTATACATGTCCAATCTGGGAAGCATTATTATCTTTTGCAAGTCGACCGACACATAAAGGGTACCTTTATCATGAGGTTTCTGCTTATCTAAGGAGTATCGTTCGCGAGAATCTTTAGCTTTTTCAATATGGTCCTTCCAGCTAGAGCAAACTCCGCAACCTTCTTTTAGGGCATCAGCCGTATGTTCTGGATTATGTAGCTGAAATGACTCACAAAGTTCGCACTCTTCATTGCCTAATTTCGCAAAAGATATATTCTTGGCCTTAACCACTTTCCTATATTTTTCGTAAGAACAAATAAACTCGGGATACTTCTTTTGAAAATCTTGAAACATCATAGTAATCGTTACATCGCTGGGTAAATATAGACGGTTCGGTGCATGCTCGCGTCTATAGTGCGAAATTAATGGATTAAAACTATTGATGTGATTTTCAATTTCTGTATTTGACAATTTGTTTGGTGGAGGTTTTCGACCCCGTTTATCGCCTTCATGTTGTATTTGCGACTTAGATTTTGAGCTGCACCAGGCTGACTGTATTACCCAATCATTGTTTTTTTTGTAACCCAACGTGGTTAAATAAAATACTTTACAAACCCGCCTTTTTGTGCCGTTTACATCTTTCAAAAAATAGGTAAAGGTTTGTTTTTTTTTAGATCCTTCGGTTTTACGTCTTGGTAATTTGCATTCTGTTGAGTTCATTACAAAGGATTTCTGTCCTTTTAGGTTTAATTGCCAGAAATCTTTATTAATTGCTACTCGTTGTTCTTCTAAGAAATTATTTGTACATTTATACTTGCAATTTTGATGGCAACTAACGACCACTCCATGTACGTTCCTAATGTTTTCTTTTTTGATTTCTTTTCTAGCGTTTTTGCTCAATTTATACTTCTTTCTTTTCCTCACCGTGCCTTTTTTAGTGAGAGTTCCCAGCGTCTCATTCAGATCTAAGAACAAAAAAATATTATTATGCTAGAGCATATACAAAGAAGTTACCAATGTTTTCTTGGTGCTCCAGCACATCATCTTCCAGAATGTCTTCATGATTTTTGCAGTCATTTAAAGTCCTATTAACAACACCACATTTTTCTGTTCCCGTTTCCGCGCTCTCTTGCAATGAATTAACTTGCAGCTCTGAGTCTATAAAATAACCGTCATTAATTCGAAATCTACACCCAGAAATGAGTTTTTAAATTACATAGTGTCAAATTGAGGTTTAAGAAACCTACACAATGCCAATTAAAAAAATCAATTCTGTAAGTAGTTTTAACGACAAAAATGGCATTTTGCAAAACCAATTTTAGCCTGATTATTCCTCCAAATATAATTTTTATTTAAGCTTAACGAAATTAAGATGTCACCATGTAAAAATGTATACTACCTACTACTATAAACTGTAAGTAAGTATATGCAAAACTTACCACTCGACACAACCATAGGCTGCACTACATCAATATTACAAGGTTCTAAAATGTTAATAAATTGTCCCTCCTGGGCATTCAGTTCACCAAGGAACGTATTATCTTCGCAAAATATCGAGTAATTTTGACTCCTGACATCATTAACCACCCCTCCAATATCATTACCCTGATTATCGGTTCCCGTTCCATGACTTGGCTCAAACAGACAAACATGTTCCCCTAATAATTGATCATGACTTTCTGGTCCAGTTTCCTGGCTTGCCTCAAATAAATCGGAAACTTGTACTTCTGAATCTACGAAATAAGTACAAACATTAATTGTGAATAATTTGATTTAAGATAATTATTTTTAAGTTGCAAGTTCGTAAAATGGCTAAAACTAAGATCTATTTTTTAAAGTTTTTTAGTTTAAAAACCTGTACCTCAAAAACTTTTTTACCACCCTAGATTATAAAAAAAACTGACCTTCAGACAGAATCCTAGGTTGTACTTTGTCGTCTTTTATAACACAACTTTCTAAAATGTTAATAAATTGACCGGCCTCCTTCTGCTGGGTATCACGAACACAATTAATATCTTCGCAAAATGTAGGAACTTCAGCTCTTGGAACCTCTGCTAACTTGGCTAAAGCAAGCAGTTTTTTGCCTCTTACTCCAGACAAATTCATTTTAATTTCATGTAACCACAAATTCACAGTTAGTACATATTCACATACGAGTTCACACACGATAAAGTATTCAATTAACGCAACTACTAATAACTTTTATCAAAATATTTATTTAAACACCCTAAACAATATTATTTGGCTAGCTGTTGTAGCGGCAATCTAAAAGACAAAATACCTACCACCCGATTAGAAATAAACACGTATAAACACGCGCCAAATGATGTAGCCGCTACGCGTATTACTCGTATTTGAATTTTACTAAGCAAATTCTACGTATTTGATTGCACATACTTGTTTCTCCTTAGGTAAAACAAAAATACGTAAATTTTCCTTAGCATTTAGGGTCTTTTTTGCAAATACGGGGGAAAAAAGTATTATTTTTTAGTGTTTTTAAGCAAGATACGGGGTTATAGCATAGGAAAAATAAAAATTTTCGATATTTTAATTATACCAGACAACATATCTCATTTCTCGATTTTTTTTCAAATACGGGGGTTTAGCTTATGACGGCAGTATACAAGGTGGTCCGAACTATATTCCAGAAACTTCGACAGCATATTCTGCAGATAAAAATAAGTAAAAAGGTCATATAAATGTATGTCCTAAAATGCTTAGTTTAAGAGTTACAGGGTATAGAAGTTTCATTTTTATTTCGATTTTTTCCAAATAATTTCTGAAGTAACGTCAATATTTTAATGAAAAGTGATGTCTAGAAGTTTTTTGACATGAGAAATTTGATTATGATGTCAATATGACTCCTATTTGTAAAGGTCGCCACCTACATGGGTTTTAACTGTTTTGAAGATTAAAAACTTTTCTTCCGTACCTGTATAAAACTACCGAGTGAAAAAATATACATTTCCGTAATTTTATACGTAAAAAATGTTTCTTGGTAACAATCGCTACGAGCAACTGTTCTCAAGATATTTAGAATGGAAAAAGTCCATACATGTCATTATTGCCAAAAAATAAACATGTTGAGCAGATAGTTTTATTTGACTGAAATGATTTTTTTTTTTTTTAAATTAATCATAAATTTTTCTTCAAAAAAATAATGATGAAACAGTTTCTGCTGAACTTTTGGCACAAAAATATTTCAAGTTTATGATTTCGGTCTAATAACTATTTAGTCAACATGTTTAATATTGTTTTATTTTATGTCAATGATGGACAGGTATTGATAACAGTTCGGACCACCCTGTATACATTCAAAAAATGCATTATTTCTAAAAATATTTAATTATCTTGTAAAGATTTTAGTTCCTCTCTCTCTCTCTACAAGGTTACTTGATCCAGTTCAAATTTACAAGCTTTTTATCTAAATATCGTCCCATTGCTGCCAAAAGTCACTAACTTACATTTTGTTACTTCCGAGAAAAATGCGTCTAAAGATGAATTGCATTGCATAAAAATGTTATAGTTAGTAACTATTCGGTATTAAAATAAAACATAAATAGCCAGAAATCGTAGTTAATGTCTTTTGCAATCGATTCGCTGCTACAAAACATAGTTAGTGATTGAATTTGGTTGTTCGGAAAAATGTTAGTTAGTGACTTTTGGCAGCAATAAGAAGATATACTTTTTCCTATCCCAATCAAAGAAGCTTCCATTAAAACACCCTGTATATTTAACGTAATTCACACTCGCCTTTGAAACAGTTCGTTGGGAAGCAGAGAAATATTGTTTCCGGATAAATCCAAAACTTCCAGAAAGTTTTCCAGGCCTGCAAACGCAGCGGGAGAGATATTGGTCAATCCACAACTCCGAAGAAAGAGCTCCCTTATTTTTGCTTGCCTGAATGCGTCGTTCTGCAAAATTACTTGTCAATTTATTTCGTTCTTTCGGTATAAAATTTGTTTTTTACTATGACTAAGGAACATGAACTGTAACAATTTGGTTTCTGGTGTTATTGGTTCTTGTATTCTTTAGTCATTGTTTTTTTTTTTATTTTATTCTTACCTCTACAGCGGATAAAGGATTTCCATCGAGGTACGTCTTGTTGACGATATTGAAGTATTGAAAAGAAGCAGGTTCCAAGACACGCAGTTGATTGTAATCCAGTCTAAATGTGTCTAAGTTAAGCTGAAATAGAATAAAATGACTCTATGATAATTAATATCTACTAAAAAAACTATGTTCGCATATTTGAAGTGAAACTTCTTACTAACAGCTATTAAATTGAAGGATTTGAAGGACATGCTTGAAAAAGTGACATACAGGGTGGCCCATCAAAAACGTTCCGCAAGGCATAACGACCAAGGTATTTTTTTCTTCAAAAAATCCAAAAACACGTCAATTTTGTTTGTGAGGGAGACAACTTTTGCCCCAAAAATGATTGCAAAATCTTTAATCATCTAAGCGGGAGTGTCATCCCCAACCTTTTTCAAATGGGAAGGGGGGTCAAGTGGCGCCGCAATGAAAAGAGCTTTCTATTCTCTATATTTCCCCGCTTCGTTTTTGAAAATTGGTCGAGTCATTGAGAAAATATGAAAGATTGAAATTTGAAAAAATTATTTAAACATTTATCAGTGTAAATGATAAGGATAAATTCCTTCGACGAACTTGCTGTTTTTCTTATTATTTCTAGATATTTGCGCATTTTTTCTTACCACAATGTTGAACGATCAGGTGTGGTAGTTGCTAGATAGCTGTTCTGTGACTTGTGCGTTGAAGTTCTTCTCAATATCGTTAACTGACCTACAATAGAATTTCCAAAAAACCAGCCCACACAATTTCTGAGGGTTTTGTGTGTACACCTCGTGAAAACCCCTGGGGTTGTCCTCAGCCCAGTACCGACAGCTGTGCCGATTAACTACACCGTTCAAAACGAAAGTACGCTCATCCGAAAAACACACATTAAATAGGAAATTATTATCATTCGCCACTCGTTCGCTCACAGTTTCAAAAAATTGCAAGCGACGATCAAAATCGTCTTCGTTGAGTTCTTGTACCAACTGAATTTTGTACGGGTGCAACTTGTGTTTTTTAATATCCTTATGACACTTGTACAATTCACGCAGGTCTCATTGACTAATTTTCTTGTACTCAGCGTACTATCCATGGCAACTTGGGCCAATACGAATACCTCCATAGCTTCATTTACTACAGGATTTTCCCTCTGCCTCTTTTTGGGTCAAGTTTCGTTTAGCCGAAATCTGTTAAAAAAGAAAAAAACATTTTTTTGTCATTTAGGTACCTCAGGGAGTATATTACTGGAAAAAATTTGCAGCGGAAATACGTCACCATTTTTTGAATGCGGTTTAAAAGTAACGAAATGACATACATGAAAAATTAATGTTATTCCATATTTTAGACGTCTTTGTAAATACGAATACGAAAATGAACTTCCGCGGAAATGCGATGTTGCCATTTTTTGAATAGGGTTTAGAAGTAACGAAATGAGATATATAAAATTAATATTATTTTATAATGTAGACTTATTTTTAAGCACCGATACAAAAATGAAAATCCGCGGAAATGCCTTTTTTCACCACTATGCAGTGATCTTCTTCCCGACCTTTGACACAGATCAATGAATAATATCTATTCTTATCAACTTAATATCGCTATGGTCAATAAATGCAAAAATTTAAAAAAAATTGTCAATAAAGCAAAAAAACGACAACTAAACCAAACCAAACCCTAAAAAAACAACCAAATCAAACCAAGCCAACTAAACCCACTACAACCAAATCCAATAAAAACAACCAAACCAAACCAAACCGAAAGTATGCAAAAAAGTAGAGAATACTATGGAAAACTTCGAAATATTGAAGATTTTCCATTACACCGCACTTATGATACATTTCCGCGGAAATAGTTATATAGAAAAGTTATAGCAAATTATTAATCAAACAAAAATATGTAGTTTTTATCTTTCTATCACATTTCGGCACTTCTAAATCCGGAAAAATCAATGAAAATTATTGTGATAAAAATTAGTTCACATCGTTGAATTAAATGTTTTTACGTCATTCTATAATGAAAAAAACTTTTAAAAACACCGTAAAGTTTTAAATTTTAGTTAATAATAGAAAAATTAAAAATTCGAGTTTACTCAAAAACAAAGAATTTCCGCGGCAAAAATCAAATTATGTAGTGCTAGTTTTCTTGTATAGAATCATCCTATAAACCGATATTCTATGTAACTGATTTCGGCTAAACGAAACTTGAGCCCTCTTTTTATTCATAACGGAACCAGTTTGGCGAAATTTTGCTACTAACTCGCGAACAATTTTGCCATAAAGGTGTTTGTCAGGTTGGCGTTCATTGAATATCTGCGCAACCCGATTGCCACATTCATTATTTTTATAATAAAGTTCGATTATTTCCACTTTTTCTGCAAGTAAGTACACCATAATTGTTAAAAAGTTTAACGATATTGAGAAGAACTTCAACGCACAAGTCATAGAACAGCTATCTAGCAACTACCGCACCTGATCGTTCAACCTTGCGGCAAGTGAAAAAAAACGTAACATCGTAACTAGCGTAAACATCTAGAAATAATAAGAAAAAACAGCAAATTAGTCGAAGGAATTTATCCTTATCATTTACTCTGATAAATGTTTAAATAAATTTTTCAAATTTCAATCCTTCATATTTTCTCAATGACTCGACCGATTTTCAAAAACGAAGCGGGGAAATATAGAGAATAGAAAGCTCTTTTCATTGTGGCGCCACTTGACCCCCCTTCCCATTTGAAAAAGGTTGGGGATGACACCCCCGCTTAGATGGTTAAAGATTTTGCAATCATTTTTGGGGCAAACCCACAAACAAAATTGACGACGTGTTTTTGAATTTTCTGAAAAAAAAAATTACCCTGGCCGTTATGCCTTGCGGAAGGTTTTCGATGGGCCACCCTGTATAGTGCTGTCTTAATATAAATATTATTTTCAATTTATTTCTGTTAATTTGTACATTTTCTGTTTCCACAATATGGACTGCAAATTTTTGGAAAATGCCACCCAAAATAACACCCCTTAAGATGTATTTAAGAAGAGAAGAAATTTTGAACCTAACCAACAATTCGTGTGGTCTATTTTTGTTTACATATTTTGTTTATTACTCATTATCAATATTTACAGTTTGGTCAAAGCCAAGTGAAAAATTAATAGAAACTATTATGATATTATTAAACCTTAATAAAATTAAATTATAATGCTCAACTTTCTATTTTTTATTTTCTTTTTGTTTCAGTTTCCGAATGCAGTTTGTTTGTGTGACCTCTATCCTATGTGCCTTTCTTTGTGATATAATCTTCCTCTCAGCACGTCCTTTATATATTTAATAAATAATAATAATAATAACATTTTATAGTCACAGGGACAGGTTACTTTCATAGAAGTTAGTTATATTAAAATTTACCCATTATACCTTTGAATAAGAAGACTAAGGAAGAAGCATAATGCTATAGTAAACGCCACGAATGTTTGGGAGTGATTCATCGGTCGCTACCATGTGAACTAATCTGTTCAAGGTCATATAAAACTTAATTCCAGTGCCGTAGTCTTTCAAGTCATATAATAATCAATATATAATCTGTTGTAATTTGTTGTTTTAACTGTCAAAGTCTTGTCAAAACATATATTTGGTTATAAATATAAAATGGAATGCCCCATTCGTCGCACTGCAAGCACACCAATGGACTGACGCACAAAAACGAATCAATCAAAGAAACGCGATATAGTATCGTCTTTGTCAATCACGCTAACATTTTAGAATAAGTAGGAGGAGCGCAGGCAGATGATTAGACCGGGCCTTCAAAAACCTACGTCTGCGGTAAAAATTTATTTTTTTAATGTAAAAATGATAGCGCGCGTGTCGATTCTAACTTCATCAAGCGATAAATCACTCCCAAACATTCGTAGCGTTTACTCTATCCATGTATTCATGCATGATGGGCCGAAAAAGAGCACTCTAGGGTGGGGATCCTTGACAGTTCTGTTTGACGATTCATTTGACACATTTGATTTGAAATTTTGTGGATTTGTCAGTCTTTACGGACCTTATTTTATGTTATTTATTATTTATTCTACTACTGATAGTTGTATAAAGGTAGTAAATCTAGATGGAAATTGTGGCAAAACTTAAATTAACAGTGACACTATCGCGATTTATCGAAAAACACTCTAAAATAGTTGGTTGTGTAGCGTGCGGTAGATCTCGGCAAAATTAGTAAAATAATGGAACAACTTTTCGCTAGTAAGTGACTATATAATATACATACGTGTAGTAAACCGATCATTTATGAAATTCACTTAAATTAACTAAATTATATATTTTTCTTGCATTTTAGCTTTTATTTACTACTTGTCAAAGATCAGATGTCAAAGAATTTTGATACGCTAATTTGACTTACCTGCTTCAGTAGCGTATCGGATGTTTGTGTTAATAAATACTTATTGTAACTTATCTATTTTTATTAGAATTATATATTTTTATAACAATTTTAATAACTACCAACATTTAGTCACAACGTAAAATAAAATTACAAATTATTGAGTCTACCCCACGTCTACCCTACATCATAGTTTTACATTTTTTAAATAAAATTAGAACGGCACTGATAAACCGAAATTTAAGTCGGCCATATTTGAGCAGTGGCGGACTAGGGGGGCTGACCGCCCCGGGCCCCTTCTTCTAGGGAGCCTCTAAATCTTAATAAGTATTTTTTTATTCAACTGGCAAACAGGCCAATATGTGGTCAGATCAATAAAGCAATTTGTAGGTAGAGTATGCAAACCATAAGTATACGCAAACTAAACACAGTATAAATGGAAGCAGATATTTACTTAATTATCAATTATTAGGCCCCAGAATTGTCAATGGCATTTTTCTATTTACGAAATTAAACCAAGGGGTAATTTTCTTTGTTTAGAATATCGAATAATTATTATTTATTCTTGGACCTATGAGTATACCGCGATTTTGTAAGGGGCCCCTTACAAGATCGCGGTATTTACCTGGAACGGTCGCGAAAATAACGCGGCTTATATGTGGAACCGATATTCCCATCACTTTGTCATCATAAATTGCCATTAAACATATGCAAACATTGGGGATTGGGGATTGTTTTATTACGTCAAATTGCATTCGTTTTTCAATTTAAATGTATTATTATAAGCTTTAAAAAAATTGATGTTATCGTTTTTGATGCCTTTTTGGAGCTGGGGCCCTTAATCCTCTGGTCGGGGCCCGTTGTGCGTCGGATCCCTACGTAAAAACGGCACTGCCGATGAATAAGATATTTATATCTACAGTATGTCCGCGGATTGTCATCATACAAATTTTTACTTGTTTTAAAATGGTAATTCCTGTATATGCTTTTCCAAATTTCCATACCGTTTTAGAGAAAATAAAAAAAAAACATGAAAATGTACTTGAATTTTTGAACTGGTATAAATAAAACATCTTTCTATGGTAATATAATTTCGTTCTCATTTTTTGATAGATTATTATTGACAGAATTTTAATGAAAGTTATATTTTTTGCTGTTATAAATGTTAAAGAAGCACAACTTTTATTTAGTCAATGCTACGGAAAGGGTGATAATAGTTATCGGAAAATGTGATACTTTAACATCAAAAAATATGACGTTAATCAAAATTAATTATAACGATCTATCAAAAAATTAAATCGAAATTATATTACCATAGCGTTTAATTTTTAGGAATTTTAGTTTTTTAGGATTTTTTTGGAGGGAAAAATTACATTAAAAAACTACATTTTTATGTTTTTTTAAAACGCTATGGATATTTAGAAAATTATAAACGCCATTTTACAACAGGCAAAAATTCTTATGAAGAACACATTTTTTTCAAAAAGTCAATAATTAAAAAGCTTTTTCTCTTGTAAAGACAATCCGGGGACATACTGACTGTAATATACAGGGTGTCCCAGAAATAAGTACAAGTATTTTAACTGGTAGTATAGTTCAACCCCAGAAACACGCCTAAGAGGTTTTTTTCGCGAAAAAACAATTGAAAACTCTATTTTTCTTTAGTTTTTAGTTAAAAAACATAATTTTTTGTTAATATGACAAAATAGGTATTAGATTAAATTTACAAGAAAGAAAATCCAGAAAAGATCCAGTGGTTCTCAAAATTTTAGCAACATTTTTTTTTGTATATTTTCAAAGTAAAATAACTCCGTTATTTTGGACTTATTTGAAAAACGATAAAGAAAAAATATGTTTGTTTTATCTACCACCCCTTAAAATACTTTCACTTATTTCTGTGACACCCTATATATATATATATATATATATATATATATATATATATATATATATATATATATATATATATATATATATATATATATATATATATATATATATATATATATATATATATACTTATATATATACTTATATATATATATATATATATATATATATATATATATATATATATATATATATATCACACAATCACACACAAACCTCACATTTTTTATATATTCACAAACCTCCGACAGGCTTAGTCCGCCACTGTATTTGAAGCCCATCGCGGTAAGATTTTTGATATGCTCCTTCCTTAGTTTTCTTATTCAAAGCATTATACATATAATCAGATAAGAATCAGTGGCCTTGATATGGTCATGGCCTTGATATGGCAACATCTTGATCACTCTCAAATTGAGCTGGCGGTTGCCTTGTCGTAGAACCATCATAAAACAAGAAGAAGAAGAAGTACATGTTTTGTTTATTTATAGTGATTTACAGTAATTTTGTTAAATTATACGAATATTCTCGTTGATTATTGGTTTGAAATAAATATGACAAAATCATCCATTGAAAATGCGAGCTGCTTAACTCTAGTTATTCTAGTTCTGCGCTAGCAACTGAACTAGATGCTTTACCTAGACCGTTATTCAGAAGTTACAAACCTATCGATGGAAATATGCATGCAAATTTACTTCCACGACACAACCAGAGAACATTGGTACACAAGTACAGTATCAAGTTTATTATAATGATTTTCTTAGCTTTAAATCAAATGTTTTTATCACTTTTCATCTGGCTAGCTCATGTGTAACGGCCTTGAATTTTTACTCCCAACACTCATAAAGAAGTTTCACTTCAAAAATGGCTCTACTTAAACCAATCTAAGCAAAAAAAAACGTACTTGAAAATTGAGATTTATATTTACTCCAGGCTCAGTAGAGGGTGACATTTTGTTAATTCTGTTATAGCTCAGATCCAGAGTTTTCAAAGTTCTTAAAGGTTGCAAAGCTTGGTAAGGTATGGCACTCAACTGATTGTCGCCCAGTAGCAGGTGGGATAATTTACCCATACCATCACGAAATACCTTCAAAAAGAACGTTAATTGTTTATAACAGTTTTATAAAAGTTTTATAAATGTTTTATAAGATTCTTACAGATGGATCTATTTCGCGTAGGTGGTTTCCTCTTAAATCGATAGTATCCAGCATGGGCAGGCCAGAGAAAGCATCTATGGGAATGTGGTTAATGGCATTTTCGGATAAAATAAGTACTTCCAGGGAACTTTCCAGACCTCTCCAGTTTTCTGGAGATATTTTGATTATATCGTTTCCTAAATAAAAGATAAAGTATACTTAAATAAGAGAATAACCAGTGTGAATTTAAATTAAAGGTTGATAAAAACATTATTGTAAAATATTACCACCTAGAGTAAACCGATATAAAAAAAAACTGTGATCTAGGGATACATCTGTATTAATTCTCTAAGTATTATACAATAAAATATTCCATAAATACTACAAAACTATAATATTTTACCTGTAAGATCAAGTAGTCTTAACTTCTGCAAGTACCTTAAAGCTCTATTAGGAACTCTAGTTAAATGACAGTGGCTCAATTTCAATTCCCACAAGGATCTTTCCAGGCCTAAAAACGACTCATCCGGCACCATCACCAATGGATTGTTTGAAATAACTATCTTGTACAATCCTATAAAAGATTGATTATTTTAGTAATAATCATAATTCTGTAATTAATAGAGAACTGTTTTTTCTAATTAATAGAGAACTGTAATTAATAGAGAACGCACTTTATTCCTACTGCGCGTCAAATAGACTAAAGCTTGATTTTCATGCAACCGTTATCCGACGATACGATGATACGATATTAATTTTATTGGTTGAATTTAAAAACTTCGATTGGTTAGAAAATTTCGCAGTTTTTAATTTTATTGCATTTTCATGTTCCCGTTCTTCGGATGTACGATTTGCTTGTAATTTTCATTTCCATAAAGATTTTACTGTTTTAGTTATAGTCTAAGAGCTAGCAACGTTTTCGAGAGAGAATACTCCGAAGCTGCCGATAGACGTAGCGTTCACTACTGCGCATCATATCTATATTCAACATCTGTTCACTACTGCGCAGCACAAATTTGCCCTGTATTTCAGGAACTAAGGAGGTTAGGACAAACGTATGTGTAGCGTATTTAGTTTCATAAATAAGTAGCAAAGTAATGTGAAAATCGCATCATTGTATCTCTGCTCGTAAACGAGAAATCTCATAAAACACACGAAAATGGGATGCCCTGTACATACGTGACGCGCAGTAGTCTATCGGCAGCTAGATTTTCCGCACTTTGGTCAGGAGAGCATAGCAAAAGATATATTAAAGATACAGCTTTCTTAAAATTCTTGTTTTCCCGACGGTGCTAGCTCTTGTACTATTATATTTTTATTAAAGTTAGAATTTTAGAATTTAGAATAAGTGGGAGGGGGTTAATCTCTGCGACCTTAGAGATCTATTGTGTCCCCCTTTCTTGAGTTATAACTCATCATACAGTCCCAGGACTTCCTACGGAGACCCGTGTCCCTCACAGTCGAGGAGCTACGACCCAGGCCGGGTAGACGAAACGGTAGCTTGTGTCGCCTGTTGGGTTTAGAGGTAGAAGGTAGGCTCCCGACCCTTGGAGAAGGTGGTAGCTTGTATGCCACTTGCGGAGGATGGTCTCACGCAAGTGTCAGCCACCTCTCCTGTAGTTCTCTTTGGGTTTGGCCCCTTGGAACTTTCATTGTTACTGTTCCCAATGTCGCTAGGGGGTTTCCCCACAGCTTCACCGGTGATGTTTTACTATTATTACCAGATCTAATAGTGTTCCTATGAGTCGCTAGGGACAGTCGGTCCACTTCTACAGAGCCCCGCATGTAGAAGTAAGGGGTAAAATACACTGGGGTGCCCCAAGGTTGAGGCTGTCCGTAGCCCCGCCCGGTATCGTTATATGTCTTGGTGCAATTCCCTGGCCACGACACTACAGTCAGGGACAAGACGATGAGTGAGATGCTTCTTAGACCAAGCCAAGTGCTAGAGGGGATTCCCCCCAGCACCTGACCAGGAGCTTCCCCACCAACGACAAGGTCTTGCATCTCCTAGGGGAAGTTTATTAAAGTTAGATTAAATTTGTCAAAAAAGTGTCAAAACGTCCGTTATCGTATGATCTTTCTCCATTGACGGGCTGGAGTAAAAAATTTACGGATGAAAAGTGGCGCAAAAACGCTATGTCGGACCATCATATCAACGGATAACGCACGCATGAAAATCAAGCTTTAGAAATGAGGATCAATGACATTCTCCACATAAATTTCATTTCAATTTAGTGGATCACCCTAGAATAACAAAATATCACTGACCTGTGCTTTGTAGAAAAAACGGTTCCAATGTTCTCAATCCATTATTTTCCAGGTGTAACATGAACGCCTTGGAAACATTTACTGTTTCAGGAATCCTAGACAAGTGTACGTCTTTGCACTGGACTATTCCCAAGTCTGGTACTGCCTTCGAACAACTACACAGCGGGTTGAAGAAACAAGGAGGGTACTTTACGGACTCTTGTTCTTTGGATTCGACATAAGACACCCAAATCATGAGGAAGAATACTGCCAGGACCAGGACATAGCCGAAATACATCGCTCTATAAAGTTCCTACAATATGGAACAAAAAAATTACAGAATAAACAGATATTCAAGCAATTAAAAAACGTGCGAGAAGAAATAAAGTTTTTAACTTATCCTCGCTGTTAAAATATCATTTAATCTACCCTTGCGGTTAAAGTACTATTTTATCTACTATTTTTGATAGATATAAGGCAATTTTAAGGTTGCTATGGAAAAAAACGTCATATTTTTTGCTATTTTAAAATATTAAAGAAGCACAAATTCCAAATGCTACGGAAAGGGTGATAATAGTTATCGGAAAATGTGATACTTTAACAACAGCAAAAAATATGACGTTATTTAAAATTAATAATAAACCCCTCTATGGCCTCTATCAAAGAATGAAATCGAAATTATATTACCAAAATTCAACAAAATTTTCATGTTTTTTTAATTTCCTCTAAAATGGTATGGAAATTTCGAAAATAATAAACGAGATTAACCATTTTAGAACGAGCAATTTTTGAAGTGAAACTTCTACGTGTGCTGGAAGTAAAAAATTCAAGGCCGTGACACACGAGCGAGCGAGACGGCCGCAATACACGAACTAGCGGAAATGAAAAAAGGCTTAGAAATATGTAGTGACGCGACGTGTATTTGTGAGCTGTGTTTATCAAAAATATTAATATTTTAATACAAATTTTGTGAAAGTGAATCAAATTATTCACACACTGTATACAATTTTCCATAAAAAAAATTACGAGACTAAAATGTAACGAATATATTTACCATGATTCACTCGATCAACACGAAACACTTCCAGTCCTGATCCACACATAAACCTTCCTTATCCCGAAGTACACTATTCATATATTTTTCCACTATACTTCTGTCACCATCGTACCTAATTAGTAAACTAGCAGACTGACCTAGTAGATTGCCTCAAACGAAGCCCGATTAACAGCCCCGAGCCAGACTGGAAAGGTTTCCGCTAATGAGATTAACTTGGTATAATTCTATCGACTACTTGGCAAACCGAGGGCTTAGCCTAAATTTGATTTATTTCAATAGCAAATCGTGTAAATTCCAGCGGAATATCGAAGGCTGAAGAAGAAATAAAGCAGCGGGATAGAGCAAGCGGGGTTTTAATGACGAAGAAAGCGCTCTAGAAAAAAATTAGAGGTCGGTTCATGATGGGTTTATTGGGAGAAATAAGGAAAAGATTAAGACCGTTTGAACGCCACTATCAAATAATTCGAATTGACAACTCATATCTCGTAAAGTACGTCTACTGAATCTGAAACTGTCGCAAACATATCGACTTCCATTTATCTTCTTTTGTTGCATACGCGGTGCTTCTACTCTATCTATCCTTGTCGAAGACCTATCGTCCACGCGCCAAATTTGAATATTAATTTTAAAAATTTAATTTGTAAAATGCGTATATTTGAACAATAAATTGAATGTTTACTGTCACAAAAATTAAATTATATAAAAAATACATTTAGCCACTCCGTACGAACATTAATATTCTTAGGAAATCTAACCAGAAAGTATGCATGTGGTTTAATATAAATAAAAGAACAACTGAATACTGTACTTGCCTATGAAAAGATAATTCGGGGACCTTTATATTAGAACTTCCACACACCAAACACTTTCTAGTCATTTTTACGAGTATTTATTAAGTCCAACGAAAAAAAAATAGAAATATAATTGCACAAATTTAAAATTAACTTCTCACTGAACACACTTGCATCTTGCATCCTTGGCTATATAAAAGAGTAATTAATACAATTTTTAACATAAAAAAAGCAAAAAACAAGCGTCGTTACACAATGGAAATATGATTATGACATATAACACAAAACATCCCCCTTTAGAACTTCTGTCATGTTAAGAAATGAAAGTAAATAATAAAGCGCCTGTCGTGTTTGTTCGCACCTTTGGTTCGCACTCAAAAAAATTCAATTAATGCCTGTATATATTTTTTAAATTTACATTTTTTTAATTGAAAAGTAATATATTACATTTAAATGGAATATATTACATAACAATTCTGTCAATTACAGGATTACAAGCTTGTTTTCTAACATTTTTTAAATAAAACGAATTTTAAAATTTCAATATATGCATATTTGTCGTAGGCTCGGTCGTAGGTATGAAAAAAGTAAAATATAAATTGGACAAACGCTTACTTACATTGCAATAAAACTTCGAACTAATTCCGTTTTGCAATCCAAACGCAATATTTCTATTTCACAAAAAAATATCCGACAACACTAAAATCACTGAAACTTCCGCGGCTGACAACGAAAACTGAAAAATATAACGGCACTTTTTGATTTGGACCTGCATATCAACATTACGCTGTACTATTATGTGTTTGTTGTTGAAATAATATAAAATATCGAATTATAACTTGTAAATTTTAATATTTTAACATGATTTTAACTAATTTTGACAATAACTAACTTTTTGTTATCAAGATGACATTTTACACGGCAACTGACATATATGTCATAATATTAATTTTAAATATGTATGTAATATAATTTAAATTAATATAATGCAACTTTATACTAAGAAAACATTTATACATTCACAAAATACAACAAAGTCTAATAATATAGTTGGAAAACAATGAATATTGAAAAAGTTAAGCGCGACCCCTTGTGTCAAAATTAGATGATTAAATTTTCGCAATTTTTACACCAATTGATGACCGGTGGCGCCTCTAGTGTTTGTTCGGGCGGTTGGTCTTTTACTCCCGCTTATGGCTATTAAAGAAAAAGTTCTAAAGGGGGATGTTTTGTGACATATAATTATGACAAGATTATGGCAATATGATAAAAAGTTGTTTTCCATAACAATGTATAATTTGTCTTCTTCTAGGTCTAGGTTCTAGGTCTTCTTCTAGGTCTTTCAATTCCATGCTGTAATTTTTGTAGTCCATCTATTGTCCGTCCTTTTTGCCAGGTGTGGATGACATCTATATTACTTGGGCCTTTTGTCTTATCCACTAACTATCCTCTCTCATGCTCATTTGAACGAAATATGCTGGGAATAACCAATCTATAAACACTTTTATTTCAAACGAAACACCCAGTATTTTATCACTCATAAATTAATGCAACTTTATGTTAATTATATTAGGATAATATCTTTAAATTTAAATAATTCAATAATAATAATTTTAAATTAAATTAAAAAAAAACTATTTCATATGAAAAACTAATTATTTTCACTTTTTTAAGTACAGTTTAAGTCAAGAGATTGACTTTATGGTTAAAGACCAACGTCCTTAACGTCCGGGCGTTCAAACGGCCTTATAACTGATACGTGGGTGTTAAATTAAAACTGACAATTAAGTCATGCGAGTAATTCCTGAGCAAATGAATGAACTTCGTAGAGAGCCATACAACACACGCCACTAATTTATAATTTAAAAATGATAAGAATCTTCTTTAATTGATAATTAAAAAACTCTTTAATTAAATTAGGAATAGAACCACATTTAATTTTTAACATAAAAAGGCAATTTTAGTACATTTGTTGTTTCATAATTGTTTTATTACAAGTGGTACAAAACTAAACAGTGTTTGAGTAGGTAATGTATACAAGGTGTTCCAAAAAACACATGCCATCTCTCGTAGGGACGTTCCTCATGTAAAAATAAGATTTATTTTTCACATCAACATAGATCCGATTCCGCTTTGTTTCGTAGCTACAGGGTGTTTAAAGCTTATTAATCTTTCAATTTATTATAATTTTCTTAAGTACTTTTAGTGATCCGAATTAAATTTTGAGGGTAAAAGTTACCAAAATGCTACATGTTTTAATACCAAATAAAGTGTCGGTAAATTCATCATAGACTTTTTTTGATACCAAAATTGTGTAAGCCGTTTAATGTCAATTAAAAGTTATCTCTTGATATTTTGTTGAATTCGGCCTCCTTGATGAGATAAACGCAATTTTATTAATCCACAATTAATAAAATTAAAATAAAATTAATAATATTTTACCTAATTTGAATTAACTAATTGAAATTGATTTTGAAGATGGGCAACTAACTTCTGTAAAACCGTCCCAGATACTGGTTTTTGTCAAAGCCCTGAGACTGTATGATGAGTACTCAACAAAGGGGGGCACAATAGATCTGTAAGGTCGCAGTGACCAATAAAACTGCATAGTTTTATCATAAAAATACCATTTTATTTGCACAATTACTTTTTTGCAAATGTTACAAAACTAAAGGCAGTGTTTTTGGATAATATTAAAAAATTGTTAAGTATTAAACGTTTACTTATAAATACATACCATACAATTGAAAAAAAACGGCGTCAGAGTTGGCTTAGAAGTGACATTGATGGGCATTTCCAAACCAACTTGACACCGTCTTTTTTATCGATCATACGGTATATTAAGGCAAGTTTAAAGCTATTACCGAAAAGAATATAAGCTAAAATAATGACTTAGATTGTTTTCGTCAGTTTTGGTAAAAACAAAACAAAGTTTGAATATAGGAAATCTACATATTAGCACCATTGTATTCCGCATTAGGTAAGTTATTATTACAGTTATTTAAACTAAACGAGAAATAAGCTTAAGTAATTACATTAGAATGTACAAGTAAGTGTTTTTTGGGGAGGTATTTTCACTCTTCTTCTGTAGAGACCAAATCGTCACATTTGTCTTCAATTTCTTCCTATAAAAATAGTTAAAAATGTAGTTAATAAAAGTTGTACCAAAAAGAAAAAACTTATACCGGGTGTTTTTCTCAAAAGTGACTCTCCCATATAGTTTTTTTTTTATTTTTTTATATAAAAAACGGGATTTGGTACGTTAATACAGGGTGGTCCAAACTGTATTCCGGAAACTTCGGCAGCATATACTGCAGATAAAAATAAGTAAAAAAGTTCGTATAAATGTATATCCTAAAATGCTAAGTTTCAGAGATACAGGGTATAGAAGTTTCATTTTTATTTCGATTTTATCCAAATAATTTCTGAAGTAAAGGAGTTTTTTGACATGAGAAATTTGATTTTGATATCAATGTGACTCTTATTTGTAGGGGGCGCCACCTACATGTGTTTTACCTGTTTTGAAGAGTCATAACTTTTCGTCCGTACCCGTATAAAACTACGGAATAAAAAAATATACATTTCCGTGATTTTTTACGTAAAAAATGTCTCTTGATAAAAATCGCTACTAGCAACCGTTTTCAAGATATTTAGAATGGAAACAGTCAATACATGTCATTATTCACAAAAAATAAACAGGTTGAGTAGATAGTTATTTAATAATAATACTAATAATAATCATCTTTATTGAAGAGAAAGATATGTAACATTACATATATTACACATCATGCAACAAGGATGGCGAAATTTAACAAATAATGTTATTCTTACATTTAAAATAATAAATTTGGAAAATTTTTATTTTTTTAAAACAGTTTCTGTTGAACTTGGCTCAAAAATACTTCAAATTTATGGTTTCAGTCTAATAACTACCGTATGATAAAAAAAACAGCGTCCAGTTGGCTGGGAAATAAACGTCAATGACGTTTCCCATATAAATTTACATATAAAATAACATCGATCTTCATTCCATAGCCATCGCTGACGCCGTTTTTTCTCGATCATACGGTATTTAGTTAACGTGTTTAATTTATGTCAATGACGGTAGGTATTGATATTTTCAATTCCAAATATTTGGAGAAATATTACTCGTAGCGATTTTTACCAAGAGACCTTTCTTATGTAAAAAACCTCGTAAATGTATATTTTTTTACTCATTAGTTTTATGCAGGTACGAACGAAAAGTTATTACCAAAGACATTATAAAGATAGACCGAAAATCTCATTCATAAATACTCGTTGGTAGTGTATCAAACATTCCAATGTGTCAAACAAGGACAGAAGAGACAGAGAAGTCTAAAATTTCCGACCCCGGCAACTAGGCGCATTTCGGATTGTTCTATTGGCCAGTGGCGTATCGTTTTTTGGAACGAATTTAATTAGTAAAGTAATTAGTAAAATTTTTACTCCATATTAATATACTACATTAACACTTTTTCGTCAGATGAGTTTTGTTATAAGGTCTAATATAATAATACAATTAATATCCCACATATACTTATGTTGAAACGTTAGTAGTTTTCGAAAATCACTCCAACGTCGATTTTCAATTTAAACTTTCAGTTACTTCTATATAAACTTTCAGTTACTTTTGAATATTTACAGGGTGACTCAGGCTTCTGAAACAGTTCTATATTAGGTTTGTGGTTGGTGACTTTTCTTTCATTTTTTTCAGAATATTGAGGCATTTAGGCATATTTTAAACATTTTTGTAAACATAGGTGGTCGGAACATATTTTCAAACCAAAGTTGTAGATTTGCCATTAAATTTCCATTCCAGAAATACCTAGGGTTGCCACTTGTCCTTTTTTGAAAATGACAGTCCTTTTTTGGAATAACTTGTCCTTTTGACTTTTTTTGACTTAAAAAGTCATTTTTATTTACGTATTTTCGTTTCGAAATATTCGTTTCGCCCAAATTTAATTAGAGATGTTATAAAACTTATAAATAAATTTTTCTTGTTTAGAATAGGCAACATTATTTAGAACTTCCCGTTTAATCTCAAATGATAGTTTAGGTTTTAGTTTTACCTTTTTTTATCTTAAAAAGAACTTTTCAAAATTAGTATCTAATTAGTAACGATTTAGTTAGTTCGCAATCGATAGCTTCCTGTGAAGTACTGTGTAGCAGTTGTTTAATCTTGTATTATTAATAACTTCCTATACCTAAAATCAATAATTAATGAGAAAATTGTGTTTTTTTTTTGAAAATATAAGACAAGATTGGACTTTCGGTCTTCTTCTTGTATTATGATGGCTCTGATACGAGGCCATTGCCTTTTTGTCTCGCAATAGAAGGCATTTATCATAAAAGTATAAAATCTGTGTGCTACAGTATGGGATTTCTGTCGCATAATAATGAATACCTATTACGTTTATATACAAATCCATTACTTTTAAAGGTAGCTTCATCAGATAATCAAATTTTAGTTAAATGTCCTAATCTTCATGAACTGTATTAAGTATATGTATTGTGGTTTGAATCACCCTGTATGTTGACAAAAATATTTTGAAAATGTGCGTTACAATTGCCCCCATCTTACGTAAAAAATTGAAATAAAAATCACAAACCAAAAACGTAATAGGTAAAAAGCTTTTTTGGAGGCCTGGGTCGCTCTCTATATAGGTATGTATAAAACTAGTAGCCTAAGAATTATTTACAGTTCGTCCCATTCTAAAAAAAGTTAAACACACCGTACAAATAACTCTAGGAAGATGTATTTGTACGTGGTAAAAAATTGTCTAAACAAGACCGAAGGGGCAGATATAATAAAGCAATAAAATGTAAAAAAGGTCGGGTAAACACCTTTGTTAATTTATTGAGCAAAATTCCTTTAGAATATCGTATATAATGACCAAAATAGGACGCAATTTTAAGAAAAAAATGTCACTTTCTGGCTTATAATAAAGTTTCAAATGTAACGTCTATATTCAAATTTGTTATGATCTACAACAGTTAGGTAGTAATTGAGACGAATTATAATTCAATTACCGGCTACTACGTTCTTGTTTTAATAGTTCATACTTCAACAAATATAATTAGAAATTATTTTAATTGTGAGAGGCTCCCTTGTGGGACGCCTATGTACGATTACAGCGCGGCGGAAACAATACCTACCTGTGAAAAGACAAATTAGGGTAATATGAGCTTATTTGTCCACACATTTGACACTGTCGTACCGTGTCATACGTATTGAAAATTCGCAGATTCAAAAGTACATTAAACAAAAACAAAAACTACTGAAAAACACTGAAAAGTTCACTTCGGACTTGATTCCGACTTAAAACACACCGTAAGCTAAACGTAGTACCTGTGGTAGTACGCTATAACGGACCATGGGCCGTCGCGAAGGGTGGTGGGACGGACGGCTCATTTCATTCTGGAAGACTAGCAGCGACGTTGCCAATAGTTCTAGACGTTTCAGCACATTAAACAGTAAACATGTCTTTTAATAGTAACGCATATATCCTCTGGTTAATAATTTATTGATATCCGGTGAAGGTTTTAAAGTCACCTTTTCTGCAAATCAAACTAATTAGATAGGCGCAAATTTGATATGTGGCAATGTCGCCTTCTCTATCTCAGTTGATTTTTACAGTACGTAGTCAACCTCCGAATGTTTGATCGGGTTAAAATGCATAATGCGATATCTGTTCTTTCTAAATCTATGGTTATTACTCTTCAAAACAGTTAAAACACATGTAGGTGGTGCCCTCTACAAGTAGGAGTCATATTGACATCAAAATCAAATTTCTCATGTCAAAAAACTCCCAGACACCAATTTTCATCCAAATATTAACGTTACTTCATAAATTATTTGGAAAAATTTGAAATAAATATGAAACTTCTACACTCGGTATCTCCGAAACTAAACATTTTAGAACATACATTTATACGAACTGTTTTACTTATTTTTATCTGCAGAATACGCTGCCGGAGTTTCCGGAATACAGTTCGGACCACCCTATATATGACATAAATCAGAACTGATTTACGTATTCAGTTGTTTTCACTCACTTCCTGTTTCACCGGAAATAACTACAACTTTTGTTGTTTAAATGACACTCTTATTATTTTTCCACTTTATTCGATAGAAAAAACACTCTGAATAGAATGACATACCACATGTCAACTTTTGACATTTTCGCATATGGTTTATTTAAAATTGTAACATGCGGTTCATAACGACAATTTAACTCGAAATACCAAGTATGTAGTACCAAATTATTCGCAAAAGAAATGCTTTTTGCAAATATGCTAATGAACCACCCTCGTTCCATTTGAGAAAATTGAGATATGATTAAAAAACGATTTGGGCATCTTTTAACCGGCCAGAACAAGACACGAAAAACATTAGACGATCAAATCTATTTTTCCAAGGCTCCGTGATTAAAAATTTAACAAATGATATGTCATTCTATCCAGAGTCTCTTTTCTATCGAATAAAGTAAAAAAATACCGAGCGTATATAATTTCTGAGTGGCTTTACCTCATCTAGTTCCAGACATTTGGCCCATTCCTTCAATGTGATCCTGTGATCGTCGTCAGAGTCACAAGAATTCAAGAATGGAGCGATACAATGTTCCAGGGCCATCAAGGGAGCTCTAATAGGGAACAGCTCATGCCTTGAAACATACCTAAGAAAAAAAGACAATACTTAGCTACAACCGCATTAACTTTTTAATAGCAATATATAAATATAATTAAAAAATTGAATAAAGTAATACTTTACACTTTCTAACAGTAATCCCAGAATTTTTTTCAAGGATAAAAATTATTGTAAGATTTTTGTCACAGAAATACCTACTGACTGATGAACAAGAGAAAATACTTGTATACAGGGTGGTCCAAACTGTATTCCGGAAACTTGGGCAGCATATTCTACAGATAAAAATAAGTAAAAAGGTTCATATAAATGTATGTACTAAAATGCTTAGTTTCGGCAATACAGGGTGTAGAAGTTTCATTTTTATTTCGATTTTTTCCAAATAATTTCTGAAGTAACGTCAATATTTGGATGAAAATTGGTGTCTGGAAGTTTTTTGACATGAGAAATTTGATTTTGATGTCAATATAACTCCTATTTGTAGGGGGCGCCAACTATAAGTGTTTTAACTGCTTTGAAGAGTAATAATTTTTTGTCCGTACCTGTATAAAACCACTGAGTGAAAGAATATACATAATTTTTACGTAAAAAATGTCCCTTGGTAAAAAATCGTTATGAGCAACCGTTCTCAAAATATTTAGGATAAAAATAGTCAATACATGTCTTTATTGACAAAAAATAAACATATTGAGTAGATAGTTTTTTGACTGAAATTATAAATCTGGGAACTTATTATTTTTTAATTTTTTTTTCTCACTCTTGGTGGTATATTCTGACAGACGGGTGTTCATTACCAAGTACTGTCAGAGTTTCTATTGTATTAAGAATGAGCGGGTTATATTTGTGGTTTTAATGATTACTGCTTTTTGAGCAAGTGTGTGAATATGACCTTTTAAATTTAACATATCGAGGTTTTCTTTAAATTTCCTGTGTGTGAGGCCCGTGCTAGATATAATAAATGATAGGATTTTAACTTCTTTTTGTTGCCATATTCGTTCTACTTCCTGTGTTAGTGGAATATATTTGCTAATTTTTTCTTCATATTTCTTTGTTATGTTGTTGTCATTCGCAACACTGATTTCTATAAGATATGTTATGCTTTCTCTGTTTTTAGTGTTAACGTTATATCAGGTCTATTGCATGTTACTGTCTTGTCAGTATGGATCGTTCTGTCCCAGCAGAGTTTTATAGTGTCGTTTTCAAAGACAGATTGCGGCGTGTATTTGTAATAGGGCTGTTCTTGTATAAATTAATATGTATTTGCTATTTCTTGATGTATAATACGCGCAAGAAAGTCATGCCTTAGAGTGTATTCTGTACCAGTGAGTATTTTACAACCATTTGTAATATGCTCTATTGTTTCACTTTGGAGGTGGCAACGCCTGCAGGTATTCGTTTGCTGGGCCCTATCTTTTATTATGTATTTCCTGTAGTTGCGCGTTGCTATTACTTGATCTTGTATCGCTATAATGAATCCCTCCGTTTCCGGTTGCAATTGCCCTTTTTGTAGCCATGAATATGACAGTTCTTTATCGATGTCGGGGTTGTTCATAATATGACAGTGTTTTCCATGTAGTTGCTTTTGGGACCATTTGTTTTTCTTTTCCTTTAATGTGAGTATATTTGAAAGAGGAATATTTTCTGCGTTAAGATTTAATGGTGTGTAGTTAGCATCCGCTATGGTTAGCATCCGCTACTGGATGGTGTAATGAGATAGTATTTTCTTAGTGAATTAATCTGTTTGTTGTGTATTTCGTGAATATCTGTCAGGCCCCTAACTCCTTCTTTTCTTTCAATGGTCAGCCTCTCCTTGCAAGAGTTGGGATGCAGCTGTCGGAATCTAGTTAGCTGAGTTCTTGTCAGTTTAGTCTTGTTCAGTCTTCTTTAATATTAATAATAAATTATTCTTCGAAAAAATGATGAAAAAATAGTTTCTGTTGAACTTTTCAAATTTATGATTTTAACTATTTAGTCAACATGTTTAATTTTTGGTGACAGGTATTGATAATTTCTGATCCAAATATCTCGAGAACCAACTCGTAGCGATGTTTACCAAGAGACCTTTTTTAAGTAAAAAACGTTGTAAATGTATATTTTTTTAATCAGTAGTTTTATACAGGTATGGACGAAAAGTTATTACTCTTCAAACCAATTAAAAAATATGTAGGTGGCGCCCTCTACAAGTATTAGTCATATTGACACATCAAAATCATATTTCTCGTGTCAAAAAACTCCCAGACACCAATTTTCATCCAAATATTGACGTTACTTCAAAAATTATTTGGAAAAACTCGAAATAAAAATAAAACTTCTACACCCTGTATCTCTGAAACTAATAATTTTAGGACATTCATTTATACGAACTTTTTTACTTATTTTTATCTGCAGAATATGCTGCTGAAGTTTTCGGAATACAGTATGGACCACCCTGTATATCATTATTTTCTAAGTAGAATCTACCTGTCTGGTGGATGACCATCTAAATCGCAGAACTTCCACATGGCAGCATTGGTCCACCTCCTTGTCATGTTAGATTCAGCGTCTTTCTCCATTTCTAAGAACTTTGGTGAGAGTTCTCTACGGTCGGCGAGATCGCGCATCACGTTGAAAAGCCAATCGCGCATACGGCGTGGAAAGTCGGCCATTTCATCGTCGCTACATTTCTAAAACAATTCTTAGTTACAGTCAATAATATTGTTATAGTAAGCGGGACAGATAGTTTAAAAATACGTCTCGTGTGTGCCTGGCTATTGAAGATCAGTAACAACTTACCGGCATTTCCCTACATACGCCATAGTACTCGATGTGAATATGTTTGTATTGTTCCCCTTTGCATTTGGGGTCATTATTACGGCACCAGCATCTTTGCTGATAAACAGCACAATCTGAGGACCAAGTTTCGTTGCTGTTTGAACAAACCTTAAAAAGAAAAACAAAAATAAATAATTTCGTAGCAATAAAAAAATATTTAAAGGATAAATATCAAAACATAGAGTGATTTAATTAATAATTAATATTTTTATGGGTTTACTTTTCGTCTGGTTTCGGTCTCTTCAGGACAAGCTTCAATGCAAACGCATTGAGGTTCCCCCTGTTTGTCCAACTCGCAAACCATACCAGCTCCGCATTGAACATCGAGACAAGGATCTGAAAATATCAACACAAACATTAAGGTTTCCAAGTTGGGATCCCAAAATCCCGGGATCCCAAAAATCTTGAAAAATTTAAATGCCCAATCTAAAATGATTCGACTTTATACACTTTAGTCTTTCAAATGTCATATTTTATCTTTAAGTGGAAGTGATATTTCCGTGTTTGCTATATTTTATTTTTGCAACAAGATTATTTTTTATTTATTTTTTTCTTTTTAGTTACTAAATATGAATGTTACTTTGTTTTGTCAATTTTAATAAAGCTCTTTTTTCATTTTCTTTTTGATATACCGAGTGTTGCATCGTCGGACGGGACATAGGAAATCCCATGTAAATTTTAATGGGGTCAATTATTGGCTTCCCTAATTATTTTAGAGAATAATTCTATTTAGGTTTATTGAAGAGCACTAAAACCCACATTCAAAAAAATAACTTTAGATATTTTTGATTAGCTCGTTTACGAGTTATCGCCGATTTCTTTTTAAATATTTCTCCTTTCTTATGGTCCTGTATTTACTTATGAGTACCAATCAACGTAAAAGATAACTGTCAAATGAAGTTGTCATTTCAGAAATTTACCTATTTAGTGCTTTATTATTATTGAAAACTCATTCCTACATCGGAAATCTTAAAGATGTATTTATAAATACAAATTATTATGAATTAAAGAAAAATAAAGTAATCAATTACAAGGTTCAAGGTTAATTATAGTATTATTACAATATTCAATAACTTATTAATTTAGGTACTATTAAATTGTTAGAACTTTAGGATTTAAGAAGATGTTCAAATATTCCTCCATCGATTGCTAGACAATAACCCAGGCGATCATAAAATTCTCTTCTTACATTCGCTAGTTGGTAAACTGAAATTCTATTGCATTCGGCAGAAATAGCATTTTTTAACTCGTCTAGATTTGGGTATTTTTTATCCTTGTATATCCTGTTTTTTAAATGGCCCCAGAGAAAGAAATCACTTGGCGAAATATCAGGAGACCTTGCTGGCCAATTTACTCTATGATTTAGGCCAATAACGTTTCCGTTAGAACTATTGTCTAAATATTCCCGAACAGCCAGGGTACTATGTGCTGGGCAGCCATCCATTTGGTACCAAACTTCCTGATTTTCCCTAGCGGCATCATGTAAAGCAGGTAAAATATGATTTTCGAGTAGTTCCAAATAATATTCTGCATTTAAATTTCGTGTAAGAAATAATGGCCCGATAATATTGTGTCCGAATATCCCTGCCCAAACATTTACTTTCTGTGGATATTGCGTGCTTGTTTCGACAAACCTGTGTTGGTTTTCTTATATAATAATAAAGCACTAAATAGATAAATTTCTGAAATGGCAACTTCATTTGACAGTTATCTTTTACCTTGACTGGTACTCATAAGTAAATACAGGGCCATAAGAAAGGAGAAATATTTAAAAAGAAATCAGCGATAACTCGTAAACGCGCTAATCAAAAATATATAAAGTTATTCTTTTGAATGTGGGTTTTAGTGCTCTTCAATAAACCTAAATAGAATTATTCTCTAAAATAATTAGGGAAGCCAATAATTGACCCCATTAAAATTTACATGGGATTTCCTATGTCCCGCTCGACGATGCAACACCCGGTATATGTAGCTGCATTTTTATTAAGTATTTCTTTAGATTAAATTTCTCAATCAATCTGATAGCCAATCCCGGGATTTCAAGACGGAATCCCGAAAATTGGAAACCTAACAGAGAGAACTGCAACAAGTCAGTTTCAAAGACTCAAATCTTAAGTCTGGAACAATTTCTAAAATAAATAGTATATTGTTATATTAGGAGCAAAAATGACACTTTTTGTGGTGATGCTGTACGTTTGACATTACAGGCGTGACACAAAAAGTCATTTTTACTCCGAATACAACACGCTATTTTTTTCAAATGCTAAAAATAAGTTTATAAACAATTCAAACTTTCCAAATAATATAAAAAGATTTAAGTCATACTTTGTATGTAATTATATATCGAGAAACTATGGTTACGCTCGTTGAATTTGACACTTTATATCAGTTTAATAATATATTTTCGTACTTTTGTGACGTTTGAAAAAAAAAATAATTAAAAAAGTTCAAATGATTTCAATCTTAAGTAGGGTTTACATTCGTATGGACTTTTTTGGCTTTTGTCCATTTGTATGGACTTTTTTGAGTTCACTTGTTCGCAACTTCCAAAAAATTGTATGTAAAACCTAAACCTGACATATCTAACTGATGATCACAAAGACAAAAGTGTTTACCATAAAAATATAGAAAAATCTGACTTAAAAAACTTTTATAAAAATACTTAAATATTTTAAAAGAATTAAGCCTTTTCTAAAACGACTTTAATCACAAATCACTTTGAACGTGTCTTAAGTCAATTTTCAAAAAATGTTTTGAGCCATTGAAATTATTTAAAATTAGTTGATGATCTTAAAAAAATGTAAAAAGTCTAAATAATGGTACAGAACAAGAAAAAATCAAAGTTAAAATAGAAAAATCCGCTCATACCTATCATTGGAACTTTGTTTTCAACTACATCTTCACCTGCAGCCATTGGAGGTCGTGCATTTTCCACTTTTTCCTCACTTTCCACAGTTTGCTGACTATTTTCACTTTCCACTTGAGGTTTTTCCGTGTTTGCCGGTTTGTGTATTCTCCTGTATTTCTTGTGTTTCCTCTAAAAATTACAGTCGTTCGTTTAAAAACGTACTTCTTTGTTGCTTTAAAAGTAGTACCACTTACTATTTTGACTTCTGCTAAAGTGTCGGTTACCAAAAAGGCGAAAATGACCAAAACCGCTAAATGAAGGAACTTCATCCTGCCTGGTGACGTTAAACCGTCTTTCTGAAATCGAAAAAAAATATTATAAATATTATCAATAATATGTACAGGGTGGGTCAAATTCGACGCTTTTAAATGGAAACACCCTTTTCTATAGGAGATAGACAAAAACTAACATCGGTGTCTGGAGCTCAATTTTTGCCAAAAACATGATGGTGAAAACCGCATATCGATATCTGTTACCGTTTCGGAGTTACGGGGTGTTTTTCAAAAATATGCATTTTTAACAAATCGCTGTAACTTTTTTGCTATGGAAAATTTTGTATTTTTATGAAAACATTTCCAAAGCACCTTTTTACGCTGAATTTAATGGTTTAAGCATAATTTTTTAAAAATTAATAATTTAAGAATTATCAACAGAAAATTTGATTTTTTATATGGGACACCATGTATATTTTTAATTTATTGAAAAGAATTTAAAATTATCTTTCCAAAAATATAACACACATGATATTTTGCTCGATTCCTCTTCGAGATATAGAGTATATAAAAATTAGCCCGCTTTAAATAAGTAGGCTTTGAACGGCACTGGCTGTAATGCAAAAAAATTCTAGCTGTGAGCATCAATTAAAACGAAAATAATATTTGCTATGAGAGATGCAGAATTTTATAACAATTTAAAATATATTTAACCAACATCAACAACAACACATTTAAACTATATCTAATAACAATAAAAATAAATAGCAAACCAAGACACGAGATTTTGCTACAGGTGTTCGACATATCGACTGTCTTCTGTTATGGACAGATGGGACCGTTTTTGAACATTCATCGCGGAATTCATTAACTCAGTAGGGGTGAAAGGTACTCTCTCATAACTGCTAAGTATTTCTAATTCTTGTCTAGATTATACGGAAGAATAAGGAACCTTTATTCTTCCACAAATATATCCATAGGATTAGATCCATGGGCACTAAGTCAGGCGGCCTCGAGGGCCAACAGCTGGGATCTTGGTTAGCTATACAATTATTATTCTTGAAATTGGCTGCAAAAATTTGCTGATAACATCAGCGTTCAGAGGCGGTGCGTCGTCTTGCTGGAAAAATATGTTTTCGAGTTCCATTAAGGGCATATCATCAATAAGGGGTCCAAAGCCTACTAGTTAAAAGTAGTAAACTTTTAAAAATTCTGTATTTCGAAGGGGACTATAACAAACTATCAAGTGTGCTATATTTTTGGAAAGGTAATTCTAAATTCTTTTTAGTTAATTAAAAATATAGAGGGTGTCCCAAATAAAAAATCAATTTTTCTGTTGATAACTTAAAATATTAATTTTAAAAAAATATACTTAAACCATTAAAATCTACGTAAAAAAGGTGCTTTTGAAATGTTTTCATAGAATTACAAAATTTTCAAAAGCAAAAAAGTTACAGCGATTTGTTAAAAATGCACATTTTTGAAAAACACCCCTTAACTTCGAAACGGTAACAGATATTGATGTGCGGTTTTCACCATCATGTTTTTGATGAAAATTGAGCTTCAGACACCGATATTAGTTTTCGTCTATCTCCTATAGAAAAGGGTGTTTCCATTTAAAAGCGTCGAATTTGACCCACCCTGTACATACAATAAAAGTATAGAAGTCAAAAATCAAAAATATAGATATTTGGGACAACTAATACACAGCTCGGGATCTCTACTACCAGAAATCAATAGAAGAATTAAGTTAGCATGAAGTACATTAAAGAAACTCAATCATATACAAATCTAGAATGCCACTTTAGCTAAAAAAGACAACCAAACCAAACCAACCAGTCATGACCTATGCATGCGAAACTGGACACTTAAAGCGGACATTATAGATAGATAGGTACATAGATAGATTGCTTTATTTGACCACATTTTGTACAAACGAGATACAATTGTAGCATGTCATAAAAACAGTTAAATATACACAAACTAAAATAAGATTAAAACAACATGTAAGTAAAATACAAATACAGTGCATAAACAATGAATACAACATTTAAATTAGGTCGGTGGTTAAGTTCATAATATTAAAATATTCCGCCACCGAATAGAACGCATGGACTATCAGAAAATTCTTCAGAACTACCCTAAATTTACGAATATTATAACTTTTGACGGAGGTAGGAATTACATTATACAATTCGACATTTAAAGAGTTTCTTGAAGATTTGGTGAGCCTAAATTTATTTGCTCTTATAAGATGCGCGGATCTTGTGCCATAGTTATACAAGAGACTATCTTTGTTCCTGTGAATTTCTAACAATTGACATAAAATGTATAAAGATGGCAGAGTCAGTACCTGCAAATTAACAAAGTGTGGTTTACAGTGATCAAGGTAACCCACTCCTGCCAGGATTCGCACTGCCTTCTTTTGCAATTTAAATATTTGTGCGGAGCTAGATGAGTTGCCCCACAGTATCACATCATAGGAGATATGGTTATGAAAAAGCGCATAATAGACATTTAAGACCGATTGTTGACTAATAGTATACTTTAATTTTCTCAGCACAAATAAGGCGGATGACGGTTTAGGTCGTAAAAATTCGATGTGAGGGGATCAACTAAGTTGACCGTCAAGTGTTATTCCTAAAACTCTAGCACTTTTCTTACCAGAATTTGCCCGGAATTGAATTTCCTGCACGGGGGTAACGCCGCCCCCCCCCCCCAGATACTGCTGGCACCCCCCGGAGAAATCCTGAATTATGAGTACGTTTTAATTTTTATTTGCTTGTGATGCAGTAAAAATAACTTTTTCTAGTTTTGTTCAGTTAATATTATTTTGTTGTGTTCAAAAAATGTGTTAATTTTTATTTGTTTAGAAAATTTGTAGGTATTTAAATAATCTACGGGAACACGGTTTGATAACCAAGTCTATGAAATTTGTTGATAGAGAAATTCATGTAAACGTTTTATTTAAAAAATGTGTTTTTTTAAAATTATTTTTCATTTAAATAATTAAAAAAACAAAAGCCATAGGACCCCCCTGGGCTCAACACCAGGCTTCCAGCCCCTCCAGGCCCACCCCAGGATAAATTGCTAGTTACGCTAATGATGATATTAGGAAATTAGCAAGGATAAATTGGGTCCGCATAGCTAACAATAGACAACACTGAGCCCAACTACAAAGAGAGTATCTATCTATGAGTATTTCAGTCTAATAACTATAACCAGTCAACGTGTTTAATTTTTGTCAATGATTCTTGAGAACTATTACTCGTAGCGATTTCTAGCAAGAGACCTTTTTTACGTGATATACCGCGAAAATATATGACGAATTTTTAATTCCAGACTATAAAAATTTGGCTTGTTTCTAAAAAACAACATCGGCTCCTGAGTTATAGCTAAAGTTCTCTATTATTGGGCTACCCTATAGTACAGGGTAATGTAATTTTTAGTGCCAGACTATAAAAATTTGGCTAGGTTGTGGAAATAACATACGGAACCGATCACAGATCGAAAATTTCAAACATTGGCGAGCTCACAATACAGTTTTTCAAGAAAAACTCTTGGATTTAGCACATGGCATCTATTTTCAGCCAAGTTTACGATTACAAGAACATAAAAAGTTTAAAGCTAAACAAAATTATTACTGGACGTGACATCATTTTTCTTACCATAGTTTGTTCATTTTGCCTACAGACGGTTTTGTAAATTAGAATTATTGCAATCAACAATAAAAATAGTTTAGATTGTTTGTACAACATACATACAGTGTTAATAAATTGTAATTTGAATTAGCCTTTATTTAAATAAACAAAGTTTAAAATTTACATAAAATAACATAGGTCCGGTTCCAGTAATTTTTATTTCAATGTTTCAGAGTTTCCTAAAATTATGTTTAGTTTGAAAGAAGTTTTGTAAAAAAATTACTTCATAGCAGTAGGTACTTAAGAGTCAATTTCACTAGACCTTACAAGTAACAAAATAAGCGTTCGGCATTTAACGTTTTATGTAAAACTGGCTAGGTATTTTTACACAAATGAACAAGGAAATTAAAGTATTACACTATATCCGTATTGCAGCACATTTTTAGCCAACTTCTTTATTTTTAAGATTTTGATGCTCAAACATCAACAAAATATTCCTTATGGTTGGACTAAATTTTCTCGAAAACAAAGACATAATTTAAAATTCCGTTACAATACGGAAATAGATTAAAGTTTTGTGATTACAATGATATATAATTTATATCGTTTTGTAACAAATTGCTCGCTATTTTATGGCAAATGCTGAAGCTCTGCAAATCTTAATCAAGCCTTAATTAAAGCACGGGTGTTTGGATGTAAACTACCCTTGTCTCACTACCGTCTCAGATACTGGCTTTTGTCGTATTAACTAACCCCTCTTCCACTCGTTCAGAATACAGGATGTCATACGTGTCTGTGTCAAGAGATAAAAAAAATTAATTAACACGCAATTGCAATACACTGTTTCCTTCTAAGAGCAGCTCTAAAAATATTCTTTCTTATCAAAAATCGCTTGTACAATGTATGTCATCGACAGGAAATATTTTTTGATAACGCTTTGGCAACATACAAAAGCTCGTCCTTCTCTGAAATCATTTTAGCATGTTAAATTCTAATTGGTTTAACATATGTACGTCTGTAATGTATTTATTATTTTTAGAATTGGACCATCAGGCATCTGACTAAACGGTGCTACGATTAATTTGTATTACAGAACTAAATATCAATTAAAAGTATTGTAGTATACGTGTACAGAACAGATTTAAAAAAAATCTGTTGCATTTATTATATATCCTATATATCTACGGTAATCCAGTAAAATTGTCATTTGAAAATAAAAATATTACGGGCAAGCTGATTTTTTCAGAGTTTGTCAGCGACTGTCTTCTGAATGTAAAATTAACAAAATCGGAAATTTTCCTCTTGCGGTTTTTGATCAATAGGGGTGGTTTTTTTTTTTTAACTGTACTACAACAAAATAATTAGACGCAAATTGTACGTAAGAACATTCTCTATAAGTTCGCCTAATTAATTTTTTTATAAATTTATTATTTCCGGACTTAGCGGCCGTTTCATGAGCCCTTTGGGGTGGTTTTCAAAAAGCTTGTTTTACAGTAAATTCACCCGTGAATGGTATAATGGACAAGCAACTTTTCCTCATGATTTTTTTTGTAGCTTCATTATTTTTGGAGATAGCGTCCAGTTCATGAACAAATTGGGGTAGTTTCATAATTTTTGTTTAGTTCTACAAATTTACCAACTTAAAGGTGTTCATATTAAAATTACATGCAAACTTCTCTATGATATGTATTTATTTCCCCAAAACGAAACATGGAATTCATCAAGTGAATGAATATTATGATTTTTTTTTATTTGTATCGTCTTCTTTTGTGTGATGGACCTGGCGTTGGCTCCTCAGATTTATTGTTGGTTTCTTTTGTTGCTTCGTATGAAGTAAAGTCGTCGTCGTCAAAATATAGTTCGTAAGGCAAAGGTATGTGTACTCTTATTTTGAACGAGTTTCCTAGGGTGAATTTGCTGAAAAAATAGTAACATTGAAAACTACCTTAATTTGTTCATGAACTGGACGATATCTCCAAAAAAAATCAAGCTACAAAAAAAATTCATGAGGAAAAGTTGCTTGTCCATTTATTATGAACAACTTTCATACGGGTCAATTTGCTGTAAAACAAACTTTTTGAAAACCACCCCAAAGGGCTCATGAATCCGGAAAAAGAAAGTCCGGAAATAATAAACCTATAAAAAAATTCATTAAGCAAACTTATAGAGAATGTTCTTATGTACAATTTGCGTTTAATTATTTTGTTGTAGTACAGTTTTATAAAAACCACCCCTATTGCTCAAAAACCGCAAGGGGAAAATTTCCGATTTTGTTAATTTTACACTCAGAAGTCGCTGACAAACTCTGAAAAATCAGCTTGACCGTAATTTTTTTATTTTCACTCTCTATACGGCGATACAATTTTACTGGATTAGGGTACTATAGTCGTTTTGATGGACTGGAGCATAAAAAGTTAAGTAACTTGACGTATAGAACTCAAATATGGCAATTTTGGACCTAACATAGTTTGCTTCTAGGGTACAGATATGTACCTAAAGGTCGCAGTGGAATAGAGCAATAGCATCATCAAAAAATATTATCTAATCTAATAAGTACAGACTTTATCTGCCAGTTTCCGTAATAATGTGTAACTGTTTGTGTTAGTGTTTTATTTTGCTTATTAATTGTGATTAATATAAACTCATTATCAACCCGTTATCACTCATATCAACTCAGGAGGCCGAATTCGACAAAATATCAAGAAATAACTTTTAATTGGCATTAAAGGGCCTACACAATTTCGATATCAAAAGAAAAAAGTCAGTGGCGCACATGCTTTTTTTAAATATTCCAGTAATAACCCATATACACGTCACTAATGAATTAATCGACACTATTTTAGCATTAAAATAGGTAGCATTAATAGTAACTTTTACCCTCAAAATTTCATTCGAATCACTAAAAGTACTTAAAAGAAAATTACAATAAATCGAAAGATTCTTAAGACGTTAACACCCTGTAGCTATGAAACAAAGCAGAATCGGACCTATGATGATATGAAAAATAAATCTTATTTTTTCGTGAGGAATCCTCCACGAGAGATGGCGGATCTTTTATGAAACACCCTGTATATTTTACAGAACGCAAATTTATATAGGTGACATCAAAAATTATAATTGCCTAATTAAAATAGGTCAATATGTTATCTCCGGTCTTAATAAATTTGTTGATATTTAAATAAAAATTGTTTATCCATAAAGTCATGTAATATCGAGTTCTTACCATGATCATTCGAAATTCTATTCGCTACACTAGCTTAATATAAATTTATGATTTCATGTTATTTGCTTAATACAGGGTGTCCCATTATTCCTTGAACATAGGACTAAAAAAGTTTTTCGTTTATCCTCAAAGAGCATCACATTTTATTAAAACCAAACGTTAATTAATTTAAAATTGATTAAGCTCATTGGTTCCCTAGTTTTTTCGCACTTAATTATACCCTGTATAGTAAAACAATAATAATATTTAAATTGCATTCTATATCATACTTTACAGGGTGGCTCGAATTTGACGCTCATCATTAGGATTTCGAAAACCGTAAGAGATACAGGATCAGTTAAATGGAGGCAAAGTTGCGTAATTTGATGCTCAATAAATTGCCACATTGCATTTATTTTATTTTTTTCTTATTTTTTTTGTATAAAATATTCTGGTGATAGAATTTTCTGTACGAAACGTAAGCAAATATCAAAGTAACTATATATAGTGTTTTAAGAGTGATGAAAGGATTTAATTAAATTGAAAAAAAAATCAGGTCCGTATTTAAAAAAAAATAAGTTGATGATGGTGGCCAGAAGCCGAAACGTCAGAGTCAATATTTAATCACACAGAGTTATAGAGCAGAAAAGGTGGCCATGAAAATGTGTTTTTCATTTTAAGTTATCTTAACAAATAAAGCCAGGAAACAATAGAAAACAAAATTGAAAATTTCGGTTTTTTTTTCGAATATATTCGGAAGTATTCGGAATTTTTCAAAATGCAATACGGCATTTTATTGAGCATCAAATTGCGCAACTTTGCCTCCATTTAACCGATCGTGTATCTCTTATTACAGTTTCCGAAATCCCAATGATGAGCGTCGAATTCGAGCCACCCTGTACAAAAATTCTTTTCGGTAGAATATATATTAAATAAGAAAATAGTTTTAGAAATTCGTATAATTTTATGTTTCCTCTTAGTTTTGAGTACTTAATATAAAAATATTGGGGGCATACATAGTTCACGTATGTAATGTATACAGCTTTATGTACAACATCGATATAAAACTATAAAACCAAAATAGAACTGTAAACAATTTTATCTCAATGAGCTGGCCTCGATTCCCCTTGGACTTCCCAAGTTTATTTTACTAAGATTGTTCAGATTGTATAGATTTCAGTAGCAAACACACTGAACGAAATTATGTTACCATAGAAACGCATTTGGATTTTTAGAACTTTGGAAAATGCAACTATATTTTAATGTTTTTTTTGTTTAATTTTTTAAAACTAATTTTTCTTAAAATATCAATATTAAAAAAGTTTACATATGACATAGTGTAGAGTATATAACATATGTTTCTGCAAACTGAGATTTTGGATCACCCTATATGGCCAGAGACGCAAGTTTATAAAGCAAAGCTAAATCAACAAAAAATATCTAAAAAATATAATTTTTTTGCACTTTTATTTACACTCTGTATATTATATTGCTTTGTTAAATAACAATTCTTATTTTTAAATATTTATAACTAGCCCGTCAGGCTTTGCACATCTGCGTTAAAGCTTAACACCCACAACCACAACATAATAACTATTTAACGGATATATATTTTTTGTGCGGCAATATAAATTTAATATTTATATTATTTAATTATCTATTAATTACTAAAACTCAAATTAAAATTGAATATTATTTAAAAAGTTTAAAAAATCTAATCATATTTTTTGAATACCTATTTTAAACTGAAAAATAAAAAAAAATGAAATTTTAACAAAAAACTATTTAATTTTTTGAAATTTGTTAGGATTAAAATGTATCTAACTTACCCAGGGATTTACTGAAGTACCAACTGTTAGTACTGCGATTGGAGATGCTGAAACTAAGACTGGAGATCGCACTATGTCCATAAACACAGTCGTTGGAGTAAATGCAACGTTGTCAGTATTTTTCCTGAACAAATTTTACGCAAAGAAGTATAAATTATTACCACGGTATCTATGTAGAGTTTGTAAAAAAATATTCTCTATCTTTACCATGTGATTTTTAAAATAAAGGTTGCTTTCCGATTTATAATTATTGTTTATATTATGTGTATAGATTTTTACTAAATCATGTAAACTCATAAAAATATAGGGAGATACAAAAACATTTTATTTTCTATTAAAGGATGTAATTTAAAAACAGATGTCTGAAACCAGAACACTCTGTAGCTACTTAAGAGTCCATTTCACTAGTCCGAAAAAGTAGCAAAATAAACATTCGGCATTTAACGTTTTATGTAAAACTGGCTAGGTACTTTTACACCAATAAAAAAGGAAATTAGAGATAAAGGATTATTTATACTATATCTGTATTGTAGCACATTTTTCAACAACTTCTTTATTTTTAAGATTTTGCTGGTCAAACATCAACAAAATATTCCTTATGTTTGGACTAAATTTTCTCGAAAATAAAGACATAATTTAAAATTCCGGTACGATACAGAAATAGATTGAAGTTTTGTGATTACAGTCATATATAATTTATATGGTTTTGTAACAAATTGCTTGCTATTTTATGGCAAATGCTGAAGCTCTGCAGACCTTAATCAAGCCTTAATCAAAGCACGTGTGTTTGGAATTTTGGATGTGGCTTAATAACACGACAGGATCGGGCTAAACCTTCGGCAGATTTCTGAAAATAATATATATTTCCTTCGGCCACACAAAGTACAGCGTAATAGACTCTTAAGGAAAATAAGTCAGTGTAGTTGTTAAGGGTTAAAGAAGTCATGAACCTAAAGTTTTTTTGTACAACTATGACAACGTCGCGAAGTTACATGACCCCACACTTACTGATAGAACTTAAGCGCTACGCTCAGTAACATCTCTCCTCTCTTTCCAGTTCATTGCATTCGAAATATTGGAAAAGAATAGCATCACTTTGCATGCAAGATTTATCTCTTTCGAGAGTTGAAGGCATTCTGCAAACGGGTTACAGGAACTCATCCAATGAGTTCGGAGATTTAGAGTTCAAAAAAGCCACTGCTATAACTCTTATTATTGTAGATAACAGTCTAAAAACCTTATCAGACACTGACAAGTTTCTGCAAATAAAGTATAAACTCCAGAATAAAAAATAGTTAAATCTAAAACATCAGAAAAATGTTGAACTTGATGTGATCTCTATCTATTTGAACTTCTTGGATTGACATTTATTTTTGTCATCATGTGTGACCTAATAGGGAACAAATGTGTTGTTTTTTTATTTAATATCCCAACTGTTTAATGCTGTATTGATTTCACAGCGACAGATGATATAATTTATTGTTATAACAATTATGCAACTCTATTATTACAACATAAATAAAAATCTATTTTAATTATAATTTATTTTTTTCTTATTTCTTGCATAAAAAATAATATATTTCTTATAGAGATCTTATACAGGGTGGCCCATCGAAAACGTTCCGCAAGGCATAACGGCCAGGGTAATTTTTTTTCAGAAAATTAAAAAACATGTCAATTTTGTTTGTGAGGGGGACAACTTTTGCCTTAAAAATGATTGCAAAATCTTCAATGCTCTAGGGCCAAGGGGTACAGCAATGAAAAGGGCTTTCTATTCTTTATACTCTCCGACTTCGTTTTGGAAAATCGGTCGAGTCATTGAGAAAATATGAAGGATTGAAATTTGAAAAGTTTATTTAAACATTTATCAGACTAAATAAGAAGGATAAATTCCTAAGGATTATTTCTAGATGTTTACGCAGTTTTTCACTTGCCACAAGGTTGAACGAGGTGCCGTAATTGCTAGATAGCTGTTCTGTGACTTATGCGTTGAAGTTCTCAATATCGTTAAATTTTTTTAACAATTATTATGGCATACTCACTTGCAGAAAAAGTAGAAATAATCGAACTTTATTTTAAAAATAATGAATGTGGCAATCGGGTTGCGCAGATATTCAATGAACGCCATCCTGACAACCACCTTTATGGCAAAATTGTTCGCGAGTTAGTAGCAAAATTTCGCGAAACTAGTTCCGTTATGAATAACAAAGAGGCAAAGGGAAAATCCTGTAGTAAATGAAGCTATGGAGGTAATCGTATTGGACCAAGTTGCCATGGATAGTACGCTGAGTACAAGAAAATTAGCCAATGAGATCGGCGTGAATCGTACAAGTGTCCAAAGGATATTAAAAAAACGCAAGTTCCATCCGTACAAAATTCAGTTGGTACAAGAACTCAACGAAGACGATTTTGTAAAACTATGAGTGAACTAGTTGCGAATGATAATAATTTCCTATTTAATGTGTGTTTTTTGGATGAGTGTACTTTCTTTTTGAACAGTGTAGTTAATCGGCACAACTGTCGGTACTGGGCTGAAGACAACAACAGAGTTTTTCACGAGGTGCACACACAAAACCCTCAGAAATTGAACGTGTGGGCTGGTATTTTTGGAAATTCTATTGTGGGTCAGTTTAACGATATTGAGAAGAACTTCAACGCACAAGTCACAGAACAGCTATCTAGCAATTACCGCACCTGATCGTTCAACCTTGTGGCAAGTGAAAAAATGCGTAAACATCTAGAAATAATAAGAAAAAACCTCAAATTGGTCGAAGGAATTTATCCTTATCATTTACTCTGATAAATGTTTAAATAAATTTTTCAAATTTCAATCCTTCGTATTTCCTCAATGACTCGACCGATTTTCAAAAACGAGGCTGGGAAATATAGAGAATAGAAAGCTCTTTTCATTACGGCGCCACTTGACCCCCTTCCCATTTGAAAAAAGTTGGGTGATGGCACCCCCGCTCAGAGGGTTGAAGATTTCGCAATCATGTTTGGGTCAAAAATTGTCCCCCTCACAAACAAAATTGACGTGTTTTTGGATTTCCTGGCCGTTATGCCTTGCGGAATGTTTTCGATGGGCCACCCTGTATAAAATTCTTTTGTAAATTTCTTTGTAAGTTTAAAATTTTGTCTAATATCAATAAGGGGAGATTAAAACGCACTTTCTTCCTAAAAAAACTATTCAATTTATTTAGAATAAACTGCTAAGTACAGGGGTACAAGCTAACACAAACAACTGTATTAAAATCACAGATTAAAAAGTAAAAAAATACAAATGATTTTCAAGAAACAAAAGAAAACCTAATCAATCAAGAAGGAAATATTCATAAGAAAACGATATTTTTCGTGATTGAGATTTTTTAAAAAAATTGTACAAATGTTTCAAATACTTCGAAAATCAATGGCATTTTATATCATTAAACACAAGTTAATTCAAAGTTAATACTTACTAAGAAACTTCTTGATTTTGCAATAAAAAATCCAGTAATCAGAGTATTCAAAAAAAGTTCAGAAATACGAAATAACCAAGTTAATGAAAAAATATTACTGTTATTATTTATCCTAATGTTTGCTAAAGGCCTAGGTTATCCAGTCATATACTTGTTTCTTTTTTTTCTTAATTCTTTCAGAAGAAAAAAAAACATTGGTCTCAAATTACACAAGTTTTCATATTTGCAAGGAATAAAACACTTCATTTGGTAAAATAAAGATTTATTTTGAACTATTGCAAAGCTATAATGTATAAGAATACCAGTCTGGTTATCGCTATAATTTGAGACCAAAAAAAAACAAATCTTCGTTTAGTCAGCAACGTCGCAACTTCCCAATTGTAACCGCCCTCTATATTTAATCTTTGCAACGCTGCCAGACCTCTCGAAAAGAAAACTAAATCATACAAGTGCTTTACTAACTTCCATTGATCTCCCATCAATCACACGATACAAAAAAAAACAAAAAAAAACGGCTTCAATTTAATCCTAAGTCCACCTCGTTATTGGCACTCACTTAAATCACTAAAAAATTAAAACTAAGGTTATAATAACTGTTTTGTTATTATGACAGAGAACAATTTTTTTGTTGTTAAAACTACGATTTAATACCATTCGAAACGTGTCTGTATATTTTGTAGTTCATTGGTACCGACAGTGAAACGAATAATACATGCATAAAATATAGGTATAATCGTCCTGGTTAGATTAAAATTGACAAAAAATGCCTTAAGACATAAAGTAGTTCAATTGTCCTAGCCTAAATACAGTTTTTATTTATAATTCACAATATACAATCAAATTTCTGTATAGAAAAATTAAGATTTTTTATATAGTAGTTCGTTTGAACCACCATAAAAAACTCGAATAGTTCAATCGAATTTACCTAAATAAAACACATTTTTAATCAATGTTAATTTTTACAATAGTTCATTTGTATCACTATCAAAGAAAAATAGAAAACTGCCTCGTAAGTTTTTGAATAATTTAAGGACCTGAAAAAACAGTATATAAAGTAGTTCAATTGTCCTAGTCTAAATACATTGTCTATTCACAGTCCACAACATAGAATGAAATACTGAAATTTCAGAATAAAACAAAATTTTCTGTATAGTAGTTCGTTTGTACCACCATAAAAACTCGAATAGTTCAATTGAATTTACCTAAGTAAAACACATATTTGATCAAACAATATTAATTTTTACAATAGTTCATTTGTATCACTGTCAAAGAAAAACAGAAAACTGCCTTGTAAGTTTTAGTTAATTTAAAAACCTGACAAAACACTATATAAAGTAGTTCAATTGTCCTAGTCTAAATACAGTGTCTATTCACAGTTCACAATTTAGAATGAAATCCTGAAATTTCAGAATAAAACAAAATTTTCTATACAGTAGTTCGTTTGTACCAACCTCAAAACTTGAGTAGTTCAATTGACCCGGCCTGTATAAAAACAAATTAAACAGAAATGTAAGAATTTTTATTATGACTGTAGGTCATTTTTACCGTTCTCAAAATAAACTAAGTAGTCATTTCGTAAAATTCTTGATAATTTTAAAGACCTCGGAAAAGAAATGTATATGAAGTAGTTCAATTGTACTACTGTGATACTCAAATACAGTATCAATTCGCAGTCGAACTACGATTTAATTCCTTACTATGACTGACACAACTATTTCAGACAAAAATAATTATTTTGACAGATAGAGATAATGTACCACAGAATATATATAATTTTTTCACAGTAGTTCATTTGTACCACGATCGAAAATTAAATAAAAACTTAATATATTCCTTATAAGATTACTTTTTATGTTTAAAAACGTAAAAAGGATGTTTTCTGTAAAGTAGTTCGATTGTACTATCCGAAACAAACGGTATCAAATCGTAGTTCTGGATTGCTTCGAAACGAAAAATTATTAGTATTAAAGTACTTTTCGAGAAAACGCAGAGGAAATGGTTTTCTCGCAAATAGGAAAACTACGAAACCGGATATTGTATTGATAACTTGCGTATTTCCGTTAAAAAGTTTGAAACCTTCGAAATGCTTAGTTCCCGTTTGTCTTCTCGCCGTTAATAGAAAATAAAAACACGAAAACTTAGTTCGTTGTAGATGTGCAAACAAAAAATACCGTATGATCTAGGAAAAAAAACAGCGTCAAGTAACCCCAAAAATAAACATCGACCGTCATTTCCAAGGTAACACGACGCCGTTTTTTTTTTCCTCATACGGTACTTTATGCAGTTATCCATGACAAAAGAAATAAATAATTTTTGGGCAGCATCATGAGGTAGAATTGGTTTTATCAAATAAACGAAACATTTATTTTCTTTTCTATAAATTATAAAAAAGTTATCGACAGTGGCGTCCCTTCGGGGTAGTTCCAGACAGTACCTTTTTGCTCGAAATTTTTAAACTTTATATTAGTTTTTCTTTTCAATACTGCAGCATTTTAAAAAAATAAATACATTTATATGATTTTTTAATATTTAGGCAGTTTTAATTCATAAATTTCTTGTAAAATTCAGTATAATCAATAAGTGAAGAGAAGAATTTCAGTTGATAATTATTCAAAACAAAATATATATCTTAAAGTCTTCTGCGTGTGTTACTATTAAAGGTTGATTCTCGCTATACCTTCCGTTTCCATTCCATATCCATTCCGTAATTTTTCTTGTATTTTTTTTGCCGTTTTTTACCGAAAAAAAAAGAATTATAAACAGATTGCTAACTTTATTGAATGAGTTTCTTGAAACACCCTCTATTTAATATGCGCCACAGTTTGAAGTACTGCCCGATACCCCACCGTAAACCCCTTCAAATCTTAGACAAGAACATACAAGAACCAAGCACCCGAAAATTCCCCTAAAGTAGAAAAATTGAACTTCCTAAAGGTAGATGTCCGGTAGTACGCGTCCGTACGGGACGACGACGCACAGTAACTCCAAAACGCACGAGCGGAGTGTCTATTATACGACGCGTGTGTAGAAATAAAAAACGCTGAGCGCCCCCTAGCGGCGATTGTAAGCCGGGTTGGGTCCTCCGCGGTTCACGGGCCCGCCGCCAGCGCCGCCTCTGTACCGGTCGCCTTGGGGCCGGTTGCCGCCGCCCTGGGGACCGCCGGGGCCGCCGCGGGGACCTCCCGGACCCATGCCTCTTCGTTGCATGTCCCCTCTGCCGCCGCTGGGTCGGTTATCCTGGCCCAAACGACCGCCGCCGCCACTGTTGTTACCGTACGAAGGCCGGCCCCCGTCGCGTTCCTTGTTCTTCTTCTCCTCCACGTTCAGCATGGTGCCGTTGATGTCGTTCTTCGGGTAGTATATGGGCTGGAAAGGAAGAAAAAATTATAAAAAATTATAAAAAAGTGAAACTTCTTACTAGCAGCTATTCAATTGAAGGATTTGAAGGATATGTTTGAAAAATTAACATATAATGCTGTTTTAATAAAATAATCGCAAACAATTTCCGATGCACGTGATCAACTTTGAGCGACAAGCGATGGTGACAGCGTTGGCAGATTGTGATGGATTTATGAGATAAATCCTAATGTAAAATTGGGAAACAATATACCAGGTGTTGCATCGTCGAGCGGGACATAGGAAATCCCATGTAAATTTTAATGGGGTCAATTATTGGCTTCCCTAATTATTTTAGAGAATAATTCTATTTAGATTTATTGAAGAGCACTAAAACCCACATTCAAAAGAATAACTTTAGATATTTTTGATTAGCCCGTTTACGAGTTATCGCCGATTTCTTTTTAAATATTTCTCTTTTATTATGGCCCTGTATTTACTTATGAGCACCAGTCAAGGTAAAAGATAACTGTCAAATGAAGTTGTAATTTCAGTAATTTATCAATTTAGAGCTTTATTATTATTTAACACTCATTCCTACATCGGAAATCTTAAAGATGTATTTATAAATACAAATTAATATGAATTAAAGTAAAATAAAGTAATCAATTACAAGGTTAATTATAGTATTATCATGATAATGGCTGACACGTAGTTTCCGTTGGATTAACGCAGCAGTGCTTACAAAAAATGACTATTTCATTTTGTAGATTTTCTTGCAGTAGCGAATATAGGATTTTTTTGGAGAGATAACACTTACTTTAGCTGCCAAACAGTTGCTGACGCTCTGCTGACTGTCGTAGGTGATGAAGCCGTAGTTGGGCGGTGCCCTACCTTGTCCCGGCTTGAAGCCCAAGGGCGATGGCTTGCTGTGCACCCTCAGGTCCACCACCAAACCAAACTCGGCAAAGATGTCTCGCAACTCTTCTTCGGTGGCCGCGTGGGGTAAATTGCCCAAAAACAGCTGGTTGGCGTCGGACGCCGGACCAAAAGACGAAGATTGAGAGCGACGTCTGTCGTCTGTACCGAAACCTGGTTAAAGAAGAGCAGTTTTAGAAAAGGCATTATTATATGTAATGTACGTGTACTGGATATGTGTCTGGGAAAGGAATAAGAATATTCATAAAATCGCTAAAAACAGATAAAAAAAACTCCAAAAAATACAGGGAAAAAAATAACAATCACAACACTTACCGCTATCTTCACTAATCCTAGGTCCACGGTTTTGAATAGGACCACCTCTGGGTGGACCCCCTGGCCGTGGTCCATCAGGTCTACCATTGGTGGGCGCAGGCCCCCTTCCTCCCAAGTTGGGTGGCGACTGTGGTCTGTACGAGTTTATAGGTTGGTATGACTGGGCCGGTCCTGACGATGTCGATTTCAGTAGATTGGCGTAAGTTTTTGGTTCATTGGATGCTAAAAAGACAAAACTAAAATATTATGACAGTATTTTAATAAAACACGCTTTTTTAAAGATATTTAAATATGTATGCTATAATAAAAAAAGATTGTCAACACTCTGAACATTACTTTTCAGAATTAATTCCTGTGCTGACTTTTAAGCCAGAGAAATAAACTTTACTGAAAAATTTGTTTGCTTCATTTAATGTATACAGGGGTATCAAAAATTGCTGTTCTATTTTAAATATTTATTTTACATAAAAACTTCTATTTCACATGCAACACACTGTATTTTTTTAAATAAGTCGAAGCAGATTTAAATGCTCTTTCAAACTATATTGGGGTTGCTTATTTTAGCTCAGATTTTGAATAAAGAGCAATTTTATAATATAACGACAACCAAGAGGCTGGCGTCGTCTGGGCAAGTTTCTAGTGACAGTAGCTATTTTCTCAAAATCAAAATTAGTTTATGGACTTTATTTAAATTTATAGCAGTTTACTTTTATTCAATTTACCTACAACAGTTTAATAATATCTATTAAATATGTTTTTTATTAATTTATCAAGAAAAACAAAGTAATTTTTTTATTTATTTCACGATGACTTGTAGATATGAATTTTCTTTAAAAGAGCCAATTAAGGCAAATTCATTTTCTTCACTTCCAACCAGATTTCTGCCTAATGGTTTTTTATAAACCACACTACCAGCTCGAAATAGGACAAGTAATTTTTCAAAGAAACGCTTATCAAGAAAATTTCTACTTGTATATCTTTGAGCATAAGCCTTTGAGAGCAAGAAACAATTTTCCTCACAAAATAAAATCCTTAGTAACATATCCATTCGTTCCGCCAGCAGATACTGCTTTATTTTTCTTGATAAAATAATGAATACTTACTTATTAAACTATTGTGAGTAAATTTAAGTAAACTGACACAAACCGAAATTATAAAGTCCATAAAACAAAATAGTTACTGTCATTAGAAAATTGCCATGGCGACACCAGCCATCTTGATTCCCATTTTATTGAAAAATCGGTTTTTTTTTCAAAATCTGAGCTAGATAGGTATAAGAAATACTAATATACTTTGAAAGAGCATTTGAATCTGCTTCGATTTACTTTAAAAAAAATAGAGGGTGTTGCATTTGAAATAACAAAGTTTTTATGTAAAATAAATATTTAAAACAGATCAGCAATTTTTGGTAACCCTGTATACATTTAAGGAAGCAATCAAATTTTTAGCAAGTTTATTTTTCTCTACCTTTAAACTGAGCACAAGAATTAATTCTGAAAAGTAATGTACAGGGTGTTGATAATCTATTCTATTGTAGCATGCATATTTGAATATCTTTAAATATCACAAAAACCAAAGATTTTAAAGATATTTAACCCTTATAATTAATGCATTTTTTAGGTACTAGAATCCAAAAATTAAATAAAATACCCGGTGTTCCATCAGAAAAAAAATTAACTTTGGTACGGATCTTAGTTCTGAAACACCCTGTATATTACTAAATAATTTTAAATTGTAACATTGCCTCCCCACATATACCCATAAAATATTTTGTTTCTACATCTTTCCTTTTTCGTATAATCAACCGAGGCGAATGAAGTGCGCCACCCTGTATTGGTCTGTATAGCCAAAGATTAGGTATACCTAATCTGTGGCTATACAGGCCAATACACCACCTAGTCTCGACCACAGATTCAATGCTGACGGTGATTGAAAAGTTCTATACAACACTATACAGCAAGCAAATAACAACGATCAGCGAACCCACTAGACCCCCAGTCATTAATGTTAACTCCGAGGAAATTCCTGAAATAGACGTAGAAGAACTAAGGTAAGCCCTGTCCCAAATGAAAAATAACAGAACACCGGGAGAAGGCAGAGTAACAACCGAAATGTTCAGATCTGGTGGACAACTTCTACTGCAGAAGATGACGGAAATTTTTAATAGATGCATTATGGAACAAAGAATACCAGAGCTATGGCAAAACTCAACAATCACTCTCATTCACAAAAAGGGTGATAACACCAGACTCGACAATTATCGTCCCATCAGCCTGCTCTCGCACTTCTACAAAATATTCACAAAGGTGCTGACAAATCGCCTATCAAACAAATTCGACTTCTATCAACCCCCAGAACAGGCAGGGTTTAGAAGTGGATATAGTACTGTGGATCACCTTCAGGCAGTCCGCACTCTCATAGAGAAAAGCACCGAATACAACTTCCCTATATATGTCGCCTTTGTGGATTATGAGAAGGCTTTCGACTCTATAGATTTACACGCCATCCTCGATGCCCTACAAAATGCCAGAATAGACTACAAATACTCGGGCATAATATCATCTATTTACAAATCAGCTACAATGGATCAGAACAAAGGATTGAGAACGTTAAAGAGTATATATATCTAGGTCATGCCATAAAACTCGGCAAGGAAAATCAAACAACCGAAATTTCTAGAAGGATCAAACTAGGATGGGCAGCTTTTGGTAAACTTAACTTTATATTCAAAAGCAAAATCACAAATAGCCTAAAAAGAGACGTTTACAATAAATGCGTCTTGCCTGTCATGACCTATGGTTTGGAGACTATGACGATGACGGCACGAAGTGTGAACAGGTTGCGAGTGAGCCAAAGAGCTATGGAAAGAGCCATGATGGGTATCAGTCTTCGCGACCACATTCGAAATGAAGACATTCGCGACAGACGAGGATAACGGACATCGTAGAGAGGATAGCTAACTCTAAATGGTCTTAGGCAGGACACTTGGCCAGACAGTCCGAGGAAAGATGGGCAAAAAGACTTCTTTGCTGGAGGCCACGCCTAGCAAAACGCCCAGTCGGCCGACCTCCTAAAAGATGGACTGATTATATCCAAACCGTAGCCGGTAAGAACTGGATGAGGAGAGCACAGAATCGAAACGAGTGGAAGAAACTGAGAGGCCTACATTCTGCAGTGGATGAGTAATGGCTGAGAAGAAGAAGGTATACCTACTATATGTATACCGATAAAAATCTTGTCCCTAATTCGTGGTACGAAAATTGTTTTTTATGACGGATGAGCAAACCAGTAAAATTTCCTGTGCGCAAAAATAAACTCGCGTTTAAACAGCGTAAAGGTGCGTATTCACTATCCGAACAAACGAACGAACGAACGAGCGGACGAATGGAATTCGGTATATTTGGACGGTGAACCGAATACATGCGGCCGTTCGTTCGTTCGTTTGCTCGACCATCCGTTTCGAGTCGGTACATCAAAGGAGTTCGAAAACGAATGGGTAGATGTTCGTTCGGTTCTAAAATTCGGTCCCGTCCATATTACTACCGAACGAACCAACGAATGTTCGTTCGTTCGTTCGGATAGTGAATACGCACCTTAATACCTAGGTCGGTCAGGCGCTGTGCACAATTTTAGAGGCCATAAGTGGGCGTGCTTGAGCGCAAACTAGTAACCTAACTAGTGCGCGACTCCGAAAATTGGAACCACGAAAAACAATGCTTTTGACGATAAGTTTATCTTCTTCTTCTTCTTTTAGAAGGCGTATCGCCTGTTTAGTTCCGGTTTCCTCCTCGTCTAAGCAACTCTTGCGAGGTTGACTGCCAACTGTCTTGCCAACGTTTAGGTGGTCGTCCAGTAGGTCTTCTGCCATGGGGTACGTTGTTGCGAATTATTATGGCCATTCTGTCGGGCCCCATTCTATTGACATGCTGGTTCCATTCTCTTCTTCTCTGCCTTATCCATCTGACAACGTCGTTTGTTTGGCACTTTTCTCTTATGTCTAGATTTCTCTGTCTGTCCCTCAATGTGTATCCAGTTATCATTCTTAAGGTCTTCGTTTCAGTAGTTCGTAGGATTCTCTTTGTTACTGATGTTTCAGCTCTGGTTTCCGCACCATATGTCATCACTGGTCGTATGCAGGTTTTGTATATTCCTGACTTACATTCTGTACTCAAATGTTTGTTTTTCCATATGGGATATTTAAGATGTCCTGATATTGCGGCAGCTTTATTGGCTTGTTTCCTTACTTCTTCTTCCAGGAATCCTGAGCTTGTAATTTTGCATCCGAGGTATTCGAATGACATTATCTGATCAATAGTTTTTTTTTTATTACCAATTTGCACCGTAGAGGCTCCTTTGTAATGGTCATGCATTTGGTCTTATTTGTGGAAATTTGCATGTTAAGTTTTTCTGCCTGTCTATTAAAAGCTTGTAGCATTCTTTGGAGGTCGTCCTCTGACTCTGCAATAAGTACTGCGTCATCGGCATAGCATAATATGTTTACTTTATGCATTTCCATTCGATATCCTAATCCAGTATTCTTGACGGTTTTTATTACTTGATCCATGATTGTGTTGAATAACAGAGGGCTGAGGCTGTCGCCTTGGCGAATACCAGTTGTATTTCGAAGATGCTGCGTTAAGGTAAAGTTTGTTCTTATTTGGGTTGTTGTGTTTGTGTTTAAGTCCTTGATAAGTTCTGTGAGTTCTTTCGAGACATTACTGCTTTCCAAGATGGTGATGATGTCTTTTAGTTGGACTCTATCAAAGGCCTTTGTTAAATCTATAAAACATAGATAGGCTGGAGAGTTATATTCTAAGGATTTTTCAACTAGTTGCCTGAGTATGAATAGTGCATCGGTAGTTAATCGGTTTCTTCGGAATCCTTGTTGTTCCTCGCTTATTGGCACTATTGAGGAGATTTTGTCCGCAATGATCTTAGTCAGAAGTTTTAGCGAGGTGCTCAGTAATGTTATTCCTCTATAGTTTGCTGGGTCTGCTTTATCTCCCTTTTTAAAAATGGGTATTGTTATACTTTGTTTCCATTCTTCAATAAGTTTATAATTCCATTCTTCGATAAGTTTATAATATGTATAATGTAGCATTTTCATTTTCCAAATGCTACTTTGTTTTATTATAGACGGTATTTTATTATTGTGTCAATATTCTTTTTACATTTCTACAACACATAAATTTCGGAACGCTCTCTATCGAAAATATTGGATCGTACCCTGGTGTATCGACAAGACGGGAAACGTCAAAATCGTCACCTCGGATTTGGCCGTTGCTGAGGTCACCGTGCCATTTTGAGAATTAAATTTATTTGGCTGGTATTTTTCACAATATGGGAAAAATATTGTGACTTTGTTATCCTATAAATGGTTGAAGGTCCCATATAGATTTTGATTGTTGAGATTTTAATGGATCTATAGTTTTGGTAAGATTTTCTTTGACATTCCATTCGGTAGAAAAAAACTTCACATGCCTTTCTTTTAGATTATTTGAGAAGAAGTGTTAAATAATTATTGATTGTGTGCCTTCACAATGAGGTAAATTAATACCTTCGTAAATTTTTCGAGTTTTTTAAAATGTAAGGTTAACTAATACCGTGCATTTCTTTTTAGGTTTTTGCACGTATTTTTCTCAGCCTTTTTCCACGTATTTTTCTTCAAGTATTTCTAGACATTTTTCTAGACGTTTTTCAGCAAGTTGTTCTGCATATTTTTCTAGAAGTTTTTCGCCAAGTTTTTCCACAAGTTTTTCTTCGAGTTTTTCAATCGCCGAGTTAATCAGTAGCAGCCTGTTCGGTTAGATTTCAGCCGTGCACACCTCTGAGAAGAAGTTGGATGCTGTGATTAGAATTTAGAATGAGTGGGAGGGGCGTTAATCACTTCGACCTTACAGATCCATTGTGTCCCCCTTTCTTGAATCATAACTCATCATACAGTCCCAGGGCTTTGACAAAAGCCAGTATCTGGGACGGTTTTATAGAGGGTAGTTCTCCATCTCCAATATCAGTCGTACCAAAATTCATGGCACGAATGGTTGTCGTCTCGGCGCACTCAGTGATGAGGTGTACTGGTGTTTCCCCATCTTCCCCACAGAATCTGCATTCGCCGTTTCTTCTTAGTTTCAATCTACTGAGGTGTTCATTGAGGAGACAGTGTCCTGTTAAAAACCCCGTGACAATCCGAAGATTGTTCTTACTCAGACCCAGGAAGATCTGTGATTTTTCTTGATCATAAGCCCTCAGAAACTTCTTCGAGTGTCTTAGACCATTGCAAGATTTCCATTCCAGGTTGCGAATGGAATCTTCCAAGTTCTTGAGTTCCGCCTTGAGTTGGTTACCACTTGGAAAGCAGAACGGTTCTGGTCCAGTTAGTGGAGTGTTCGCTCCTTTCCTAGCTAGATTATTTGCTTTTACATTGCCTTCTATCCCTTGGTGAGCAGGCACCCAGTGTAGGAGGACTTTGTTTTCTTTGCCTAATTTATCCAGCTTCTCTATGCATTCTTTGACCAATTTCGAATTTTTTTTCGAATTGATTGATACTGAGTTGATCGCCTTTAACGCTGCTTGACTATCAGACAAGATGGCTATTTCTTGTTTCCGATAGTTCCTATCTAAGATAAGTTGTACGCATCTCTCGATAGCGTAGATTTCTGCCTGTAGGATACTAGGGTAAGTGCCCATTGGTTCGGAGTAATTAGCTCTCGGCCCAAACACTCCAATCCCTGTTCCCGTATTGGTTTTGGAAGCATCAGTATACCAAGTTATGGTATGGTCTTTTAACTGCTGGGCAAGCGTTTCGCTCTTCCAATCCTTCTTATTGCTCAATACTACATTGACATGTTTGTCAAAGTTGTACGTTCTTGACATATCATCCACTGGTGGATGCTGTGATGTTTTTGTATTATTAAAAAGATCCTTTTTTTAGTATAATTTGGTATACAAGGCCAGTATATTTTTTATAATTTTATTAATTTGATTTTAAATAATCATTAGTGTGTTAAGAAATTAACTGTTCTCAACATTTTACATTTAACTGGTTAAGTACTTGCCTTCAGCATTACTTTAACCTTTAATTTATAAAATTTAACGTTCTGTTATATTTTATATTTTTTTTGTAACACTTTTAAGTATTTGCCTTCAGCATTGCTTAAATTTTATTTGTATTTGATTATTAAAATAATCATATTATATTGATTGATTATTCAGATATAACATCTATTTAAGTTAACCTTTTATAACAGTACGATCTTTGACCTGTAAGGGCAATCTTGGATAGAGCTTTTCAACTTTTTCCCTTAACTATATATAAACAAATCTTCGTAAAAAATCAATTGAAATTTAAATATTTAATATTCGAATAAAACCAAGACCGTCTCTAATAGTATTCTTTTTATATTATAATTGTTTGAATAATATCTGAAAAGATATAATTTGATTTTAAACAAGTTTTAAGATAGAGTTTCTTAAACATATTTCTTGCCTATTAATGTACATAACTGCTGTGCCGACTAGGTACCTACCGAATATTTCTAACAAGTAATAAATCTTATTTTTTTGGGTATTTGAATTGTTTCATTGGTTGATCCAGTTTCTCAAAATATTTAATAGCCATACTAATTTTATTTTCCATTCAATTAATACACTTGTACAAATTTTCTTATTTCAGTTTGTACTATCCTTTGTAAAGTATCAGCATCTTTTTGAAATAAGTGGCGCCCTTTGGTATGCAGTGTAAGGTATAGGTGGGTATCATTTTTTAGCCAAGTGCAGAAGCAAAAGCTTGTTCCCACCGCCTCCGACATAAGAGTAGCCGTTCGCAATATTTTGACTTAAATTTTCAATAAAAGGAAAGTTTTTGTCACAATAATCTGTGGTATAGCTAACACAAACCTGGCTCCTGTAGTATGTCTTGTTCGGGTTCAATTTCAGCGACATCTACGTAACTGTTATCGATGGTTTCAACGGGTTCAAATGGTTCCTCGATTTCTTGTGGTGGTTCTTCAATTGGGACAGGTACTGGAGGATTAAGAGGCTGATTTCCCAAGCCTAAAAAAATATTGTTGCAAAAAAATAAAATATACAGGGTTGTTCACCGCATACGACACGGAGTATTGTAGCTAAACGATTACATTTTTACAAATTTCAAATTTTGGGTTCGATGAAGGACTATTAGAGGTACAATTTAAAAATAATTTGACAAGATACAGAGTGTCCCAAATAAGTAAAAAATATCAAAGTTGTATTTTTTTAAATGGAACACCCTGTATATTATTACATTTTTAGTTTCTACGATTAAAATAAAGGTAAATTTGATTAAGGTTTATTATACTTAAACCTTACCGTTTTTGAAATATTTTCAATTTTGGGAAATTGCAGTAAAAATTTTAAGGCTTCATTTCTCCAAGGGTATCAAAGTTTTTAATATTAAATATTTACTGAAGTTTATTTATTGATCAGTTATTGTGTTGCAATAATAAAAATAATACTACCTTATACAGAGTGTCTAAAAATTTATTTTAAATAATTTCTAGCTTTAAACGCCAATAACGTCTTTAATTTAAATGGAACACCCTGTATATTTTAGGAGAATCAGATGCACAATTTAATTGTCTATCAAATTGTATTATACTATTTTTTACCTATCCCCTTCAAGTTTTCGTAGAAAATCCATTTTCTTATAATTTAGACCCTATTTATCAATATACCCATGGAATATTGACATTTTAGATTGTTTTTAAAGCAACAAATGTACAAAATGTACAGGCTAGTAATATTATCGTTTTTAGCAAAACGATAATATTACTAGCCCATTTGTATGCAAAAAGAAAACTATTTAAATCTTTATAAAAGAGTATACCATTAATTAAATATAACACCATTATTTCCGCCCATATACTAATTAATTACATACTTAATTGTGTTCGTTAATAAATTATTCTAAATAAATGTGGATTTGAGTCAGAAATCAATATAATAATAAGTTATCAAAATTAAAGTCTCTGTTGTTATAAATAAGTATTTATTAAAAAATGAAATATTATTTTTAAGGTGTTACTTTTTTTATCACACTGTCTAATACCCATACAAAATTCAGTTTTTTAGTATTTGGAGCAATTATTATTAATCAACGCAAACAGTCAGTTAATGTAGTTTGAATACTGGAATCATATTAATTGGTCCCCTTTAACAAATATTTAAACAGTTTTTTTAATTTTTAATAAAATAAACAAATTATATCGACAATATTAGTATCTGTACTCTTTAAAAATTTGGTACATCTTTAAAAATAATCTAAAATGTCAATATTCCATGGGTATATTGATAAATAAGTTCTAAATTACAAGAAAATGCATTTTTACGGAAACTTAAAGAGATAGGTAAAAAATGGTATAATATAATTTGATATCTGATTCTCGTAAAATATACAAGGTGTTCCGTTTAAATTAAACAAGTTATTGCCGTTTGAAGCTAATAATTATTTAAAATAAATTTTTAGGCACTCTGTATAAGGTAGTATTATTTTTAATACTGCAACAAAATAACTGATCAATAAATAAACTTCAGTAAATATTTAGTATTAAAAACTTTGATACCCTTGGAGAAATGAAGCCTTAAAATTTTTACTGCAATTTCCCAAAATTGAAAATATTTCAAAAACGGTAAGGTTTAAGTATAATAAACCTTAATCAAATTTACCTTTATTTTAATCGTAGAAACTAAAAATGTAATAATATACAGGGTGTTCCATTTAAAAAAATACAACTTTGATATTTTTTACTTATTTGGGACACTCTGTATCTTGTAAAATTATTTTTAAATTGTACCTCTAATAGTCCTTCATCGAACCCAAAACTTACAATTTGTAAAAATCTCATCGTTTAGCTACAATACTCCGTGTCGTATGTGGTGAACAACCCTGTATATATAGCAAACACGAAAATATAACTTTTAGATATTGACCTTCTGCTTAGTATAAATAAAATATAAGTTTTGAAAGACTGTGTATAAATAAAATAAAATCCCTTCAGTACGTACCTTGTTGTTGAATGGGCAAAGCAGTCCCTAAAGGTGCTTGAACTGTCTGTGGGATTTGTCCACTTAAAGGTTGGCCTAAAAAAATTAAACGTCCAATATACAGGGTGGTCCGAACAGTATTCCGGAAACTTCAGCAGCATATACTGCAGATAAAAATAATGGGCAGTATGGCAGTATAATATTCCTTGACAATATAATAATGTAATATTGGTCAATGTTTAGTCTGACTGACAATTAGAAAGACAATAGAAACTGACAATTTTAACATCAAACAATCAGTATTCTCATACCTGGTAAGCCCCCCAAATCCTCAGGATGTCCGTTCAAGGTAGCCGGCTGCGGAGACTGCACCAGTTGCGGTTGCTGCGGGGGCAGCACGTGCGCTTGGGGCGGCACCGCGGCCTGATGAGGAGCGGCAGCGGCTGGTTGAGCTGCCAGCGGAGGTACGGGAGCTCCGGTCGGTGGTACAGCTCCTCCGTAGAAGGGAGGCAAGCCGGGGGCGGGTACCACGCCCTGACCTAAGGGCGGCTGAGGGTCGCCCAAGGGCGGCCGCTCTAGGGTCTCCTCCTCGGGCTCGGAGCGCACGTCGCCGTTGCATTCCTCGTCGGAAATGATTTCGTCCTTTAAGGGTTTTTAGAAGATAATATTATGTATTGTCCGCAGGGTACAAAAAAAATCATTTTTTTTTATTTTAATTTTTTTATTTAAATCGGATTTGTCGCTTCACGATTTCAAAATAAATCTCTGCCGTTTAGAAGTCTAATGGATTCACGCGAAATTACTTCATAAATCGGTCTAACATTTTAATAGATATTAAGTAGAATAAATAAGTTAAATAATAAGTTATGTAGATATTAGGCACTTGTCAAAAGTCAAAGTAAAAAAAAGTAACCGTGGCAACATTGCACGCCAACTTTGATGTTCCTATAAATATCTAAACAATATTATACCGTGCTGGCAACTCTTACTTTTAGGCCGGTATTTACATGTGTGGAAGTAAATCGCATAGGGATCTTATTAAGTCGGAGTGAGAAAAATGCGACGGTGTGCTGTTGCGGCGTTGCCACATTTCTCCGGTACGTCTTTCCCTATCAAGTAAGGTAAAATCGCGATCGCAAACCGCTTATTTTTAGAGATAGATTAAATCATTAGATACGTTTCTGAGCATCTGAAATGGAATAATATGGATATCGTTAGGGTGTCCATTTTTTTATAACGAGAAAACGTCAGTAATCACAGTAATTTAAAAACTGAAGAAGAACAAGAAACTATTGAAACTTTTTTTTATTTTGGAGTTCAGTTCTTTTACAAGATGTTTAAATGAGAAAAATTCGATAGGGTTGTTTTTTTCATTCAAAAATTTTAAAAAACCCGTCCATTTACTTTTAGTGCATAGCAATTTTGAGCAATCGTGAAACTTTTTTATTTGTAAAGATCTTCACATAATGTCTGTAAAGAAAGTATAGCAGAAATATATTAAAAAAGTCTGTGAAAAAAAAATACAATCAATTATTGCTAATGAATTTCGAGATATCGATTTTTGAATTCAGAGTTCTAATAGCGCGACCACTGTCGAACACAAATTCAATTCCACTTATTTTTACCAAAAGTTAATTAAAAGTTAAAAAGTTAAAAAATTACAAGCTATAAGGAAAATTACAAGAATTCGTTAATAAATAAACAAATAAAGTATCACGAGACGTAATTAAATTGTAAAGCTGAACGCATGATGTACCTCTTTCCCTAGAACTTTAAGTACTGACAGAGGTACCGATTGGGTCGACCAGTCGACTGCGACAAATCTGCTGTATCCCCTTCCACGTCTCTTAGCAATGTGCATAAATTCTCGGTTTATTTGATACGTTTGGCAACGTTTTTACTGTTCTCTCTTTGTTCAGTACATTATAAACACATTGTACTCTTCTTCCATACGGAAATCTCCACCCAATACTAACATTTCCCAGCCCTTATTATACTACACAGTTCATTCTATTTACCTGATAGCGGAAGATGTCATTGTGTACATAGTACTTCTTGGGACTTTGCGATGCCAGGACGAAAGTTTGGGTAAACCGACGCATCGGCTGTCCAGCGTTGGATAGTTCTCCAGTTACCTGGACAACTACCCCGCTGTCCAAAGTCGCTTGGGAGTCCACCTGGAAAAAACAAATTCTCTTCTTTGAAAACTCCTTTTTTATGGGAGGAAACAAAAAAATCGCCAAAATCGCGTCACAAGAGTGAAATGAGTAAAATTCTTGACAAATACCAACCTGAGTGATCTTAGCGTGACAGTCGCGGAAGTTCAGCTGCTGGATCTTGTTATGGATCTGCCTCTGGCCAATCACTGGGCTGGTCTCGCGGTTCGGCGCATCCAAACCTCCATGGATGAAGGAGGATTGATTGTTGTAGAACCTAAGTGACAGAATGAAGCGTGTTTTGATTGCTTTGGTTTCATTTTTTTTTTCGGTACAGTATTTTATGTTTAAATTACAGTATGCTGCATTTTATACACGGCTGGCATCTGGCTTTATCTACCAAGTTAAGTTCATACCATGAGTAATTATCTGAGGATAATCTAGTTTTTTTTCCAAATATAAAAATTTTTAATCAATAAACACTAAAACTGCATCATTTTAATTTTTTTTCACTTTTCAAAGCTTTCAAATATACAAATTATTGAATTGAAAAAAATTACTCTCAGATAGATTTGTTTTAGGAAATTTTATGCTCTACAAGAATGGTACTTTTAATAGAAAAAGATTTTTTTACGTGTTATTTAAATGGAACACTTTGAATGTTCACCGACACCTTTTAAAATTGAGCTAAAAATCCTGCCTTCCGGAGATATTTTTTTCTCGGTTATTAGGTTCATTTTAGCCCATAAATTCCATAGGTTAGTTTTTTGGCTCACCCGAATGTTTATGTTTAGAATGTAAAACAGAAACATGTATTTATGTGACTGATTTCAGGCCTTCGAAAGTTAACACTTTTTTTTTATTTCAAGATGAAAAAAACTTCGGCAAGAAGTTTTTTGTGTGCTTATGTTTAGAAAAGTGTCGAGAATGTAAAGCAGAAACATGTTTTCATGTAACTGATTTCAGTTATTCTAAAAAGTCGGAAAAACAAAATGATGTATGTATTTCCACAGATTTTTTTTATAATTTTGTGTAAAATATTTAAGATATACTTATGAATAAGCTAAATCAAATTCAACAAAAGTGCAAGTCGTTAAAAATTCGATAACAAAGGGACGCCATTAAAATAAATATTTATAAAGCCATAAAACTTATATATCCCAATAACCATTTTTAACCAAACATCAATATTGTATATAAGTGTCTGAGGCAATGAGGTTGTAAGGGGAGGGAGGCGACATAAGCTATCGAGAAATGTACCCAGTTACGCCATATTGGTACTGGCAATTCTGACAGTTCAGTTTTTGAGGTTAAGTGCGTTGCTGCGAGTGTTTTTTTAATTTTCCAAGACTATTTTTGTGTTTTTATTTGAATATTTGGACTTTCCGAACATGTCTTCGTGTACTGTAAGTAGTTGTTGCAGTCGACAACGTGTAGAGAGGAAGAAATCCACTGAAATTGCATTTCACAGGTAAGTGTAAACATAATACAGGACCTGATTAAATTATTTTCGTATTTTCCATTCAACTAGTTATGCGTTTATTAATTAAATATTAAGTGTTTCTATATTGACAAAGTGTTTAGTTATTTAATACTTTGTTAGAGGCAATTGAGTAATTAAAACATGCCTCGACTTCTATTCTTGTAAAAAAAATTCTTAACAATATCTGTTATTTTTACTACATATACTTTTTTTGACAGAAAAAAGTATTTTGCTAGGCCAAATTTAAAAGTTTTGTTTTAACTACGGTTTATTTTTCTATTTTTACACAAAGATTTTGTACTTAAACATTTATTTACATTCCTTTTTAGCATCTGCTAGCATATACTATGTACAAACTTTATATAGTATAGCTTTAATTTTTAGATAAATATTATAAAATCAACAAAGTAAATTTACATTTTGCAGATAAAGTCTTAACGACTTATATTTATTGATAAACATTTATTATTTTAATAAAATTTTATATCAGAACATTTTAAATTTAGTACGTGGTATATAAATTTTGCTCTCTTTAGAAAATTTTTATTAAATAAATATTATATTAAATCTGATTTTTAGGTTTCAAAAATCCCATCCGTCGAGAAACTTGGGTGAAGTTTGTGAACAGGAGAAACTGGCAAGCTACATCAGGTAGTGTTCTATGCTCGAAACATTTTTCTGATAGCTGTTTTGACAGAACATCTCAATAAAATATCTCAAATAAATAATCATTTCCTAAGATTTCTAAATTTTAATGATTATCAAAATGTTAATTATGGTAAATCAGTAATATTGTTTAATTATTTTCCGCTTTTTTTTTAATTATTTTCCGCTTGTTAAGGTTATTATTGTTAGATACATCAATAAAAACAAGGCAATTAGTTTAAGACATACTAGCAACAAAACAGTGTTATTTAGTGAGCAATAAAATTTAATTTATTTAATGTGTATTATTTTTTTGTGTTTCTTCCTTAAATATACATAGTATATAGTCATTAAAATTAATCTTGTAATTTATATTTTTGAAAAAATTTTAGGCTTTGTAGTTATTTTGATTAATTAATTTTTTATTTAAAAAAGTTGAGGTCGTTATATTGTGTAAAATAAAATTTTTCAAAGAAGTTTCTGTAATCAGGCCCTGCTAATGCCGCCATATTGGTACTGGCTTAAGCCACGCCTAGTGTTACCATTTTTCGCAAGCACTTTAAATGCTCATAGCGTCTCCCTGTACTCATTGATAACCTCATTGGTCTGAGGTTATAAAAAAGAATAATGACAAAGTTAGATTTTAAATTAAAAATACATTTTGCTATTCCCATATACAGGGTGGTCCGAACTGTATTCCGGAAATTTCGGCAGCATATTCTGCAGATATAAATAAGTAAAAAAGTTCTTGTAAATGTATGTCCTAAAATGCTTAGTTTCGGAGATACAGGGTGTAGAAGTTTCATATTTATTTCGATTTTTTTCCAAATAATTTCTTTAGTAACGTTAAAATCAAATTTCTCATGTCAAAAAACTCCCAGACACCAATTTTCATCCAAATATTAACGTTACTTCAGAAATTATTTGGAAAAAATCAAATAAAAATGAAACTTCTACACCCTGTATCTCTGAATCGAAGTATTTTAGAACATACATTTATACAGACTTTTTTACTTATTTTCATCTACAGAATATGCTGCCAAAGATTCCGGAATACCCTGTATAGCAGAGTAGTAAGCTATACCAAGACACAAATATAATATGTATATTTTTTTACTTCTTTTATTCAATAATCAACATTTCACCAATTTTTTTTGATCTTGGTATTGGTATTTATTCAGTACATTTTGGTTTTGTCATGTTTCAGCCTCTATTAATTAGTATTATCATCCAATTTTTTTTTATTACACTGCACACATACTACATCTTTGAATACCTAGAAGTCTTCTCAAAAGTAAGCAGAAGTACACTATACATATATTTCTGAGAACTCTGTGAATCACACACAAGATAAATTTCAATATCAGCTTATCAAAACCATTAATAGAAAGATAAAAATAAATAGACACATTGCATCATAATTATATTTACATGTATATTGATCAAAATCCCTTGATAAAATTCCATACTTTAAAAAATGCATCTAACCTTCAAGTATTAGAGGTCTTTTAATTTCAAACTGATAGAAACTAGAATTTATTATTATTAATATATTTTTTTAATAATAATTATATATTTTATTAATTATAAAATATATAATTACATATAATCTATTAAATATATGAATAATTATAAAGATTTTCAACAGATTTATTGCTTATTTCAGAAAAATCAAATTTATGATCAAGTATGCTTTGTATGACAGATTGTGAAACAATTTTTATGGACATCAGAACTTGTTTAACAGTCAATGTCAAAGCCTGCTTGATCAGGAAAACTGTATAATGGCATTTAGTGTAGCTTAGTAAAAGAAAATTCATACCTATGGAGATGGGTAGGTGCCTTGTTTAGCAAGGTGTAATATTGTCTGACGAATTCACGTCCAACGCTTTGTGGTGATGGCGGAGCCTCCATTACCATTCCTATAGATTTATTGGTGTAAATTAAAACGGTCAGCTTACGGTACTCTGTATCTGCAAAGAAATAACATGTAACAAATATCTCTAATACAACCAACCAAATAAATATATTTAATATGATTCCATTCAAGAGATACCTTGAATAAATTTCCACTCACTGTTATAAAAGAGTAAAATTAAACTATGTAAACAAAATATTATTAGCTATTTAAACTACTGTACTTGACAATATAGTGATCAAAATGCATGTAATATTTACACAGTATTGCGAGTGTAATATATGAACAGATAGTTATAAAGAGAGAACTAATTTTACTAACCTATTATTACAAAATATCGAAATTAATGAGACCTTCACCAAAAAAATGCAACTTGGGAGAAATGCAAATAAATTTACCACTGGGTCTCATCAGATAAGTATTGCACTTTATCTCTAACAATACGCAAATATAATTACAAATAATTTACGGTAACTCGTTAAGATAAGGTTCTTGCTCCTTAGCTTTGCAACAAAATACAAACAAAGGGGATTCCGTTGATGAATCGCACGTGTATGTTCACAGACAAAAACAGAAATAAACAATGTTTCAGCAACCGATCCAGCCCCCCGGAAGCAACGTGGGGCACGAAAAATACCATGCCCAGCTGAAAATCACGTACGGGGGTTAATTTTCAGCTGGGCTTTTCCATTTTCCACGCTACTCGATGCCATCGGTTCGCTAACCGGCTCGACGAAGAAAATCACGACATGTCAAAAAATCTCGCATCGGAAAATCGCCTTACCTTTTTTACAGATTGATGGGAAATCAACGGAACTCAGGGCCTTGTGTTGAGGTTTTCAGGTATCGAGTTACGGGAAATATGCAAGTTATTTGAGTTTTTAAAGTTAGAAATGCACGTACTTCGAACTTGGGGTGTAAACTTTATAAAATTGGCAAGTCGAAGTAGTGCGGCGGCCGGCCGTCGAATCTTGATCGGCGCTGATCAAGGTCGATCATTTCGGCGAATCAAATCGCGGTATTAATCATGCGCCACCGGAAGTATTGCCGTCTCGCTATTCCCACACTAAACAAGGATAACAAATTACTATGTCTATTTTATTCAAAATTATATAATTTAATTTGCAAATTCCAATTTTATATGCTGGAAAAATTATTATACCATTATCAAAGCGCCAATAAAGACGTTTTTAAATAGATATCTCATATATTATTTTTATTACATCTCCATTTTGATACAACCCTGAAACCACAGCTCGAAATAAAACAAGGTTATGTTAAAATTTTAAATTTGACATTTATTTAAAAAATTACGGTTAAGCAAATGATTTATTTTTAACTTTTTAATAGTGTTAAATTATAATAAATACTCATACAAATACAAACCTTACCAGGTAATATGTCCAGCACCTTCGCAATTGTAAAAACAAACGTTTCACTTCCTTCTTATTTGAAACACTTTGAAAGTGACTATGACAGAGTCAACATTATTTATTCCAAGGTTCGTATTTTAAACGGTTCTATTATTACAAGTTTTATAAACTTAGTATTTATCTAGAAACCGAGTATTTCATCTCAAAATGATGATTCGTCATCTCCTGTTCTGGAGAATAGTACTCTTGAAAATTCATTGCAAGAAAGTGATCTGACTGGGGACCCATTAAAAGTAGATCTAGGCAATGATGACTCCATTCAAATGATTAAAATTGACGAAGTACTTCACAGCTGGACAAAGGACGAGTCCAAACATTTTCCATTGCTAATCAAAGATGCTAAGTAATGATTAACTAATGATGTAATTTTTAAAATATAATAACAACTTTTTAGAAACCAGCTTAATAAGGTATTGAAGAATTCAGGTTCGTGTGAATCTGAGAATGTTTTCCCAACATACGTAGTTTGTTCTGATAATGCATCAAATCCCACTATTGTAATTGGAGGTGATAGAAAAAATCATGCAGGTTGTATAATAGAAGTCTTGGATATAATACAAAAGAATGATCTTTCTGTTGAGCTAAATAAGATGATCGAGTATCATTTGAAAAAGTATAATGTTGACTTAGCAAAGGTAATTTTTTGGAATTATATATTCTGTTTTTTTTTATTGGCTGACTGAAATTTATATTTTAGACCTCATACGTAACAAACATGAAATATAATATATACGGCAACCAAACTTTTAAAAATCTATCTTGTCAAAGTGCCTCTATGAGAAATTTTGACTACCATGCAAACGTCAACGTTGATGTATCTTGTAATGAGTGCATTTCGTGCGCCAATGAGGGCAAGAATATCAATATAACAATGGTAATAAAATAAAGTATTTAAAAAATAATCTACAGTTTTATAAAAAAAATATTTTTTTTTAGAATTTAGAAATGATAGCTGGTCATAGGTTACTGACCTTGAATTATTTATTTGAGGAGGTATGTGTGTTGCAAAATTATTTGGATATACTCCTTTCGTAAGTTTTATTACTTTTTTATTTTTAGTGTTTTTATTTTTTTTGTTTTTCCTTATTACTTTTTTAACAATATTTTAATATTTATTTTCCTCATAGTTTCCTTTTTTTATTTTTTGTTTGATTCTTTTTCTAAAAAACTTTAATATACACTTTTTATACTAATGCATACTAATTTTTCTTTTTTTTTTTTGTTTATTCTAGAGTTTTTAATATATATTTATTTTTGTAAATTATGTTTTTCCTTTATTTTTTTTTTGTTTTTTCTAATCTTTAGCAGTTATTTTCCTAATTATATCCATTATTTTTTTGTTTCTTCTAATATTTCTTTTGATTTTTTTGTTTCTTTTTTTAACATCTTTTAATACATATTTTGCTAGTGTCACAACAATAAATGGAGAAACAATTTTGTGTAATGATCCTTTAGAAACCGATGAGATATTGAGAAAAATTGAGAAACTGGTCGCAACGCGATTCTTAAGAAACCCATCAGTCGAAAGTGTTGATCCTAAAAACATTAGGAATGGCGATTTTCTAGATGAATTATGGAACATTCTAAAATGTACGTTGTTTTATTTTTATGTACTGTACCATGCGATCGAAAAAAAAACGGCGTCAAAGACGACTGGGTCATCAACATACATAAAATTGATTTTTTTGCAGTTTTCATACATTCATGTTTTTTTTTTTAGATTGCGAGAATATTACGGTTTTGAGAGATAGCTTTCATTTCCTGTTTGAAGAAATTATTGAGACCAATAACAGAAGTGTGATGGTAATTATCGATTTTTGTGCTGGATTTTTTTTGTATTATTATTAATAAACCATTTAGATTAAAGACTTGACGTCGTATATAGCGCAGCTAATTGACGGTATCCTAAACGGAAAACTTATTTTGTCCGCCATCACGCTGAAGCAAGCCGTCGAACTGCTTTTCGAGTTGGGCGCGTATAAATTAAAGAACGACTTTCAAGCCATTTTCAAACTGTCCTCTTCGAATATCAGAACGAACGTCATAGATACTGTATGGAAGTAAGTTGTGTATTTCTTATGAGGGGGTTAGGGCCACAGTTTAATCCCTACCTCTATATACCTCTATATCTATGGGTAGCCAACAAAATAAATTTAAAACTAATAATATACAATTTTTTTTTATTTATGTTTTAGAGGATTTGTCCAAAAACCAACAGTCGAGTCGAGCAATACTCGGGCCACTCGAGTCACTCAGAGTTTACAGCACTCACAGCTAGATATTAAAATTAAGCAGCTCGCATACTTAGGTCAGTTGTATGTGGGTGCTGAGTTTATTTGCTTAATAAGAGATCAGGTAAAAATTTTCTTTTTTTTTTCTTTCTTTTTTTTTCTTTTTTTTTACTTTTTATTTTTTACTTTTTATTTTTTTCTTTTTATTTTTTTCTAACTTTTTAGGTACCTCTTAACGAAGATACATTTTATTCTTTGTGCGACAATATCGAGAAAGAGTACATCATTAATTCCTCAAAGTTTATAGATTTTTTGGAAATCTACCAGACTCCTTTGTGTGAATTGTCGTTTTCTTTGGATTCGAAAAATTTGACTGTTATTGGAGGGTATAAAAACTTTATATTTATTTCTATTATTATTTTATAACATATGCATTTTTTTTTTTTTTTTTTTTTTTTTTTTTTTTTTGCTTTATTTTTTTGTTTCTTTATTTATTTTTGTTATACAGGGTGGCGCGAATTGTATTCGGGTACTTATGCTATACGCGTTTTTTATGTTCTATAAGTGCAATTTATTTTATGATATTCGGAAAAATTTGTTCAAATTTGAGTTTCTATTATGAACAAAGAAATGTTTTAAAGTCTTTTTCTAGTTTTTTTAGTCCTACTTCTAAGCATTATTGAAACAAAAAATTATTGCATTTTTTCTAAACATTAGTAGTAAATAACATTTTTGTGACAAATTTAATATAAAACTACTGATCTAGAAGAAAAAAAATATAAATTTTTTATCAGTTTTATCTTTAATTTGATTATTAACTGAGATATAATTGGATTGGAATTGTTCGAATTATTTATCAAAAACTGTTAAAATTATTGCGATTCATTCAGAATTATTGAGATTCCAAATAGTTGATTTTTTTTACCCACCCTACTGTATAATAATAATAATAAATTGACATTAATTATTAAATGAAACCTATTTACAATTAAAAACATTATAATTACAGAATTTTAGATATTGCTATAACACACTGACTTTTTTATATTTGCAGCATAATGCCCACAAACTGGTCAATGCAAGTGAATTCCAAATATAATGATATGACACTAACTACTTCCTACGTCTTGGCAGATTTTCCAATATTTCCACCCTGTATATACGATGATGGTGTGTATGGTATTTGCTGTCCAATTTTTTTACTTTAATAATTATCACTTTAATATAAATAAGCTACAGTGTAAATTGTTTTCTGTTTTAGATATCCCTGCTATGGACAAAGAAAAAATGTTTTACTATGTTTTTAGAATGTCAAAAATAAGGGGTTTATTTTAAGTTCTAATGATAATACAATAAATGTGATTTTATAATAATACTTTATATTTTTATACTTGAAATAAACTTATTTTTAGATGTAATTTTGATTTCTTACACAGTTATTAAATTAAAAAATATATCTTTACGCGTAACAAATAGTTTTTTACACGCAAAAATAGTTTTTTACACGTAAAAAGTAGTTTTTTAACGTAAAAAATAGTTTCTTGCGCGTAATAATTTGACTCACTTTCACAAAATTTGTATTAAAATATCAATATTTTTGATAAACAGCCGAACTATACATATTTTTGAAATTTTAATAAAATAAAATAACTTATTCCGTAAGAAACTACATTTTTTACACGTATAAAATAGTTTTTTACGTTAGGGTTATGACCAACCTTTAAGATTTCAAATTATTTTGCAATTCAACATCTCAAATATTTTAAAATATTGAACGTCTCATAAAATTCTTACAGGTTTTTCAACAAATTAATAAAAGTTAATACAACATTGCGTAATTATTTAAAAGAATCAAATTACTTTTCAGACTCTGTATAACATCTTAGGCTGTTGAATAAGGAACTAAACTAGTGGAATTATTCCCTTTTAAAGAGATTCTTTTTTATAAAACAGTTATGTTAATTTTTTCCCTCCAAATTTCAATTGCCCAAGGCCGAAGCCACGCTAAACACAAGCGTCCTCTCTCGCCCAATCAATCGATTAGCGTCCGCCATTACATTTCCGCTTTCCCGATTGGCCCGCTGATACCACGTGACCGACGTACGCACGCGCGCTTGCATAATACCACCGTTTGGCGCGCTCACGCTGATAAACCGTATTATTCAGGTTTTGTCGTTTGGTTTGACGTTGTTCACGAAATTTTTACAGTAAATAATGGTAAGTTTTGCCGGAAATAAATACAATTTTGGATTTTTTCTTTGCGGATTATGTGAAGGACACCTCCACACATCCGCTGAACAAATTTTGAGAGCTGTAATACTAGAAATAAAGGGAATTTTTACTGTTTTCAGGCAGGCGGTAAGGCTGGCAAAGACAGCGGCAAAGCTAAAGCCAAGGCGGTATCTCGGTCAGCTCGGGCCGGATTGCAGGTAAGCTTCCATATTTAATTCGATTCGTGCGCTTTTTACTTTTTTATTTAACTTTTGTTATAAGTTTTTTTCTGGCTTTATTCGTCAAATGAGGTTATGTTTTTGTATCTAGTTTCCAGTGGGCAGAATTCACAGGCATCTGAAAAATCGCACCACCAGCCACGGTAGAGTAGGTGCCACGGCAGCCGTTTATTCAGCAGCTATTTTGGAGTATTTAACCGCCGAAGTGAGTTTATTTTATCGTTTAATTATTAACTAATAAGCATCCTGTAAAGATTCAGTTTGGGGATTAGAAATTTTTGATAAATTTTGGCGGGAAAAGTCTTAATCCCGCGTCAACAGGTAAAAGAGATTCCAAACAATTGAAGTTTTCTCTACAGTATCTGTCATTTAGTTCTAAATTTCCTTTTTCTACTAGTTTTTAAGAACCAATTTTTGATATATTTGTGTAATGAGTTATTATTATAGGTATTGGAATTGGCAGGCAATGCCAGTAAAGACTTGAAAGTGAAGAGAATTACGCCGCGTCACTTGCAATTAGCCATTCGAGGAGATGAAGAATTGGACAGTCTGATCAAGGCGACCATCGCAGGAGGTGGTGTCATTCCCCACATCCACAAGTCTCTGATCGGCAAAAAAGGAGCTGGCCATTCCCAGCCAGCATAATTCGGTTTAATTTAAATTTAATAATAGTTTTAACCCAACTAAAGTTAAGAAAATGTTTTGTATGTGTCGGTAATGTGTTTTAAGATTGTTGAGCACATGAACATCTATCATATACATATATGTATGGTAAATCTTGACATTTAAATGAAAATTATTACACTGTTAAATACATGATAACGTTTGTTTCTGTATAATTGACTATAATGGAGTAACTCTATTTTTATTAGTTCTTGTTGGAAACAGATTGTGTCGCTTAGGAATTATTTGTTTCATGTGCCTTGTACAACGTTTTGTTTTAAATTTGTACAACTTAGATGTAGAGACTTGTAGGTATTTGTTCAACATTTCATTTAAAAAAACTTGTGTTCATTTCTTTCATTAATAAATAAATACTTTTCTAAATATTTTTTATTTCAATATAATTCCTCTATTAATCAAATAGCCAGTCAAGAGAAAATACATGACAGTCAGAATTGTCATTTTACTATACAGGTATATAACTAGAATTATGTGTCAAAATATTTCCTGGTTTGTTGAACAACTATTACTAACTATGGACAAAAACACTATCAAACTGTTCTGGGAGATAATAAAATGTAACTTTGACAGACAACATCCAAAATAACAACCAATAGTTTGAAGTAAAATGACTGTCATTTTTGTCTGTTTTCTTTTATATACTTTCGCTGGACAAACTATAGGTTATACAAGAGATCAAGAAAATTAATATTCAAGCTGATTTAACTCCTGTGGGTAGAAAAAATAAGAATGTTATTTTCCTTTATTTATTTATCATACAAATCACACTATACAACACTTTAATGCTAGTTGAAGTGTTTATTATTTCTATAAAAATATTTTATTTTAATACAGTCCAAGTTTTTGACACATTGATTTTTGAATTTTCAGACATTCCCCATGTTTCCCAATTTTCAAGAAAATTCTTGAAGCTATTTGCTTTCAGTTTATTTTACCTTGGAAAAAGTCAGGTTCTATATTTTCTTTTTGGGAAAATTAATAAAATTGAACTAGTTATGGTAAATTCTAGAAGGTTATTTTGTCGACCAGAAATGGTCTATTATTAGTTCGCAACGTTGGAATTGACGATCAAAAGTACGTTTTTGCGAGAAAATTTTTAGTTTTCTTTAACAAAAGCACGTTATTATAGTGGAAATTTAACTTATTATGCCTGGAGACGAAAATTTACTGCAATGCTACAACAGAGGTTGTGGCCAGAAGTATAGTCCTGACAATAATAAAGAAGGTAAAGGTTAACAATGCATTTTTTGTTTTGTAACGAATTAAAACGAACTTATTAACACAACTACTGATTGTATTAATATTTTACAGACTCCTGCGTCCATCACCCAGGCCTCCCAGTCTTCCATGACGCCTACAAAGGATGGTCGTGCTGCAACAAGAAATGCACAGATTTCACCGAGTTCCTTAACATTAAAGGCTGTACCGTATCACTGCATTCTAATATTAAACCACCCGAGCCTGAAAAACCTAAACAAGATGTTCCTGATGTCAAGGTTGTACAAGTGAAACCTATAGTGCCTACTGTGTTAAAGAGGCCCCCTTTTGATACACCTTTAGTAAGTTTATTAGATAAATTTTGCATATTCTCTTAATTATTCATGGTATCTAATTTATTTTAGGTAGATATAACTCCAGAAATAGCACCGTCCCTTCAACAACAGCTAGAAAAAATTGAGCAAGTGTCCGATGTTAGTGCAAAGAAAGATACTGAAATTGCAATAGGAACAAATTGTAAAAACGGTGGCTGTACTGTTTCATACTCGGCAGATTCAGCTCTGAATGACTCTCTTTGTTTACATCACCCCGGAGTGCCTATTTTTCACGAGGGTCTGAAATTCTGGTCGTGTTGTCAAAGGAAAACCACAGACTTTAACGCTTTTTTAAATCAAGAGGGATGTAAAGAGGGTTCTCATGTTTGGAAGAAAGAAGTAACCTAACTAATGCAGGTGGGTATATGCAGAAAGTAAAAATTTATTTTATTTTTAGGATAATGATCAAAATAAAGTTCAATGTAGGTGGGATTACCATCAAACAGGTCCTTATATGGTTGTTTCAATATATGCAAAAGAATATAGTCCGAGCAAGAGTGTTATAAAATTGAACCCTATTCGTTTATATGTAAATCTAATATTTCCGAAACAGAACAATGTGAATTTTGAGCTTGATGTCGAATTGAGAGGTGTAAGATTTGTTGAATTTTCTTATTTTTCTTGTATGTTATTTATTTATTTTTAGATTATAAATGTGGCTGAGAGTAAAATAACTATGTATGGTACAAAGGTGGAAGTAAAGTTAAAAAAAGCTGAAGCAGGTAGTTGGGCTAAGTTGGAATCCAGAATTATAAAGAAGTCCGAGTCAAAACCACTGCCAAAAAAAGTAACAACGCCAGAAAGCTTAACGCCCAAAATCGATGCAGTTGATCTAAGCGATTTATAGAATTTTATTTTCATTAACGAAATATAGTAGTAATCAATTTTGCTATATTTTTTCACAGAATCAACTTAGTTTTAACTTATTAGCTACTGGCTGTTATTGTATAAGTTGTATACAAGTTATTCTAGATTAAAGAAATAAAATTTTGTAAAAGTTTTTGCATTTTAATTTATCCATACTGAAGGGAAGTATTATTTAAAGGAAAAGAAAGAGCTTTTTAAAGATTGGAGTGAGCTCTCTCGAAATAGCGGGTCACCTTGTATAGAATAGAAAGAAAAAAATTATGTTTTCTAAAAATCTAGAAAAATATAAATATACATTTGTTACGCAAAAAACGCTTTTTTACTTGCGTAATAAAATTAACGCAACACATCCATTATTCCATAGAAGAGTTTCATAAAAAACCAGTTTTATTCTTATTCTATGGATAGATAGATGTATCATGGATCATATTATCTAATTTATATATGATATGAAAAGATTCTTCATAATCTGTGGTTTAACTTTGACAGATTACATAACCCTACCTAACCTCGTTAAAAGTTAAAATACAAAAATATTTTTATTTCTAAATAAATAGGTATCATTAAAGTGTAAATATTAAACAGTTGTTGTCGAATGGCTATATTAGTTGGATGGAAATATACTGCCTTAGTAGTTGGCGTAGTGGGAGGTATAGCATTAGCGGCATATCCTATAATTGTGGACCCTATGATTAATCCGCAAAAATGGAGTGAGTTTCATACATATTTAGATTTAATCAGTTAATATTCCAAATTGAAACTGTACATTTTTAGAGGACATTCAAGAAAAGACGAGAGCAAATATAAAACAAGAGGATATTCAGCCAGGAAGTAATACAATAAATATTTTTTGATAAGATATTAGTTTCTATATCCTATATAATGTTTTAGATATGAAAGTGTGGTCTGACCCATTTGATAGAAACAAAAAGAAGGAATAAAAGAAAACGTAGTTTCTTAAGTTGTTATTTATGTTATATTGAACATACTGAGTTTTATTAGCTTATAATAAAAATTAAAATACATCGTCGTCGTCGACATCTAAGAACACATCATAGGCCTCCATATGGCATATTCCTTCTGAACTAAATGCGTATTTGTGAAAAGTTCCATCCAAACATAGTGCTAAAAACCATAAATATAAAATAGAAATATTACATAGGATTATCTTACCATAAATTGAATTGTTTGGGCCGAAGGCACATATACAAGCAGATTCTGTTGAAACAGTAAAAGTGGCCAAAGACCACTGAGAATCCCCATATTTTCCTAAAGTTCCTCTAATGGTTGGTGGTAAACTTAAAAAAAAATAATGTAAAACAAATAAAAATAAATGACTAACTAACCTAGATATCCTCTTATTTAAATTTGTATCTTTGATAGCAAAAATATGTACTGTGCCTTTATCGCTAGAGGAACACAAAAAGTCAGAATCTCTGCTAAAATTGATGCTAAAAAAAAGAAATATTGTAAAGTTTAAATTAATTTTGTTTTAAATATGATTTACCAATGTATAGCTGCAGGATCTGTGCCCCTTCTCAATTCTATCAGTTGAGTTCTGCTAAAAGTATCCCAAACTCTTATCAGAGTGCCTTGTACAGAAGCCGTAGCGATTCGTGTCCCTTGCTGATTGATTGCTATACAGGCAAGTTCGCTTTTATGCGCCTGTATGTAAACTGGAGCAGATGAGTAGCTTTGAACAGTACTGGAGAGATCCTTAAAAAATATATGTTGAATTATCTTTTATAAAGATTAAAATATTAAATATAAAACTAACAACAAACTGAACACTACCCAACTTGTGGCCAGGAAAGACTAAAACTTGTTTCTGCGATGAAGTCAAAGGACTAACTTCACACAGGCCTCTAAGGTTCTGTCTTGTTTCAACACAGAATAACTCCTTTGTTGGATGGAAAATTGAAAAAATATGTATCTTATTAACTAGGGCAACTATCAGTCTGAAAATAATATAATTTTATTTGTGTTTAAACCAAGCTATTCCTTGTTTTACTTGTCCCTTCTTAATCTAACTGCATTGACCGATGAAGCAAATTTAATTTCCATTATGGCTTTTTTCTGTACATCGTCAAAAATGTGAAGGATATTGTCTGGGATTTTGGGCCGTGATCCTCCTGAAACTATGGCAATGATATTTGTTCTAAAAAGCATCTCGCATATTGAGAGACTTCCAACTGTTTCAATATCTAAAAAATTTAAAAAAATGTAAGTATATATTCACACTGTGTGTTCGAGGTTTGGCAAGAAACAAGTTAAAAGCCACATTAAAAATCTTTCTAGCAAAGAAAGCCTTTTATTCATTAGAAGAATTTTACAGATCCGATAAAGCTGTGTTTATAAGTCTGATATCTAATGTGTAATATTTGTTGTTTGTATATATTAATTCTATCGTTTTTTATTTCTTCTATGTATTTGCTTATTTTACTTAGTTAAGATCTTAGTTTAATTGTAGTATTATCTTAACTGTAATTATATTATTTTGGTGTGAAATATTCTTATTTGACAATGTTTCCATGCCTGTTTGCGCTATTTTATGTGTTTTTATTGTAAACATTGGAAATAAATAAAGAAATATCTATCTATCTATCTATCTGTAATTAATTTTACACTGACCATAATGTGATTTCTCTACTAAAGGTTCCAAATTGTAAATCCTAAGTCCACTTTCCATAGATGCCGTAAAACATCCTAAAGGATATGTAATTAGATCAATCTAAATTCAAAATGAAATGTAACATACCTTGATCCTGATTAAATCTTAAAGCTAGTATTTTTCTTTCGTTTGTTGCCATGTTTTAAACTAATTACGTACAGATTGCATTCGATATAATAAGTTAATTGCTTAAATTTACAAATTTGCACGATTGACTAGAACTACTGTTTCTACAACGAAAATAAACAAAGACTTAAAAATTAATTTCATAAAACGCATAAACAACGTGTTGACATGTTTATTATTTAGATAACCAATAAAACACAAAGCAATAAAATCATTTGTCAAGGTTGCCATGGAGATTTAAGAAGATATCAAATTGAAAAAGTTAAAATTGAATTATTTTGAACTTAAAATTCTAATTTTAGGGACAATTTAACTCTTTTAGATGACGATAAAGAGGTGTATGTAGAAATATATTATAAAATTTTTGTTTATTAAGTCGTAATTTAAACGACTACCAGCCATGGACTTTAAATTAAAATAGTATTAAAATATTTTAAATAGAAATATTACAACAATGTAAACTTAAACATCTCTAAGAGAATTACATTACTTTTTATGTATATATTTCATATTTACATGAAAATATAGCCCCAGGCCTAATAAAATACAAAATAATCTTTGAATCATAAAATAATCAACGGTACAACTGATACAGTATTACTGGTTGTATAACTGTCAATTTCTGTTAGACTTTTTTATTTTTTGTCAATAAGCATTCTGAATATCCCTTATGAGAAAAGTTTTGCACTTATAATTTCAATATAACTTTTTATACTCCCAGAAATGACAGGACTTAACTTATTTAGCAGCCAAAAATCTCCAAAATTTATATTTTTTGTATATCCCTCATTTTTTGATAGTTGACAGCGGTTGACAGTGACAGTTGACAGATTAGTTTCCTTTTCGCGAAGCACGTTGTGGAGTACGTGTGAAAAATGAGGTATGTTAAATAATTACAATTATTTCCCTTAAAAACCTCCTAATTTTTACATTAATCCCCCATTTCATCAACATTTTACCCGTTTTTTAACTTTCTTTTGCAAAGGTCTTTGTTTTTGATCGATTATTTTCAGTTGCACAATGTATTGTCAACACAACCTTTCAGGAATTGAACAATCCTTTTTTATTCGTTATACCTTCGAATAAAATGTAATTTTATTGCTTTTTCAGTTCCCTTAAACTTCAGAAGAGGCTGGCAGCCTCTGTTATGAGATGTGGCAAGAAGAAGGTTTGGTTAGACCCTAATGAAATCAACGAAATTGCCAATACTAATTCAAGTATGTATAGCATATGACTTGATGGTCAATTTAAGATACATTTTTTTATTTTAAATAGGACAAAACATCCGTAAACTTATCAAGGATGGTTTGATCATAAAGAAACCAGTAGCAGTCCACTCCAGGGCTAGAGTGCGCAAAAACACCGAGGCTCGTAGAAAGGGTAGGCACTGTGGTTTTGGTAAAAGGAAAGGTACAGCCAACGCTCGTATGCCCCAAAAAGTAAGTGAAAAAAGGACACTTTTTAGTTATTTATTGTAATTATTAATTTTTATAATAGGAACTATGGATACAACGTATGCGAGTCCTCAGACGCCTTCTGAAAAAGTACAGGGAGGCCAAGAAAATTGACAGACATCTATACCATTCCCTGTACATGAAGGCCAAGGGTAACGTGTTCAAGAACAAGAGAGTCTTGATGGAATACATCCATAAGAAGAAGGCAGAAAAGGCCAGGGCTAAGATGTTGGCAGATCAGGCCAACGCCAGGAGGCAGAAAGTAAAGCAGGCGCGGGAAAGGAGGGAGGAAAGGATTGCTACGAAGAAGCAGGAAGTGTTGCAGAATTATCAAAAGGAAGACGAGGCAGCAGCCGCCAAGAAATAAGTTAGCATAGGTGTATGTTTTATTAAATAATAAAAATATTTAAAAATGTGTATTATTTTTATTTCTGAAATTTTAAATGCCACATACACTCTTTTATGTCAATGCCTGATACGTCAAAGCATATTAATAACATCAGAATAACATAAAAGTGAACAAATTTGGCAGTGACGTTTTAAAGAAATATTTGATCAAAGTAATTGCATTTTGCAAACAATTTGAATGGATTCTAAATAGTTTTATGGTTCTGTACATCAAAAGAAAAAACGGAACTTTTGTTGTCTGCCTGACAAGACTTGAAGGGTTGCAATTAAACCATATACTTAGGTCTACAGCCCCTTGAACGTGTGAAAACATCAAACTTCCAAGTTAACGTAAAAAACGATACGGCCGTTTATGCCGAAAAAAAAACGTAGCTTTTGGCATTCTCAAGGGAATTCAAACTAAATATAAAAAAATAATTTATTAAATGTACCTAACTATAAAGTGCATATTCTATAACTTCTATAAGAAATGTTGATGTCCCTATTTCAATAGTATATTATAATATACAGGGCGTTTCAAAAAACATGTGCCATCTCTCGTGAGGAGATTCATCACGTAAAAGTAAGATTCTGCTTTGTTTCGTATCTTTAAAAATCTAAGTATCTAAAAAATTATTTGCTATAGTTTATCTGAAGTCAGTTGAAATAGATTGGGACTCTTAATTTCAGCACTGTCTTTGATCCTCGGGATAAAGGAATTAAGAGTCTCAATACTTCTTATTCCAGCTTATATTTATTTTCAAAAAATTCCTGTATTGATTGCTTTGAAATAACGTGTTTAATGTCTACAGACGCCATGCAAAAAATGACAGAAAATACAATTTGACCGTGAATTAAAGTAATTTGAAGACAACTGTCACTGTCAGATATTCCCTCACTGGCTTTGCTCACTGGACAGACTTTAGCCAAACTTATGTTTGTTATGAACTACACCTATTTAAATTGTCAATTCAAAAACTATCTCTTATTTTTTTGTTTATTAAAAATACAGATAGGCATATAATAAATTTTATTTTATAGCAATAGCAATCTATGAATGGAAACAAACAGAAGAAAAAAAAAAGAAAAAAAAACGGTTTCTAAGATAGAAAATAGTTTATTTACAAATAAAATTATTTTTTAACATTAATAAGTAGGCACTTTCTGAGGTGTACTCATTGTTTCTACTTCATATTCAATTTCAACTCTAGGCCTGGGCGTTTTCTTTGACGTCGATCCACCTAAAGACTTCTTCCTGGGTTTACTAGGTGGAGTCTTCTTATTCTTCGATGATGAACTTGGTGTAACTGCATCCTGAAATTTTTAAATCAAGTAATAAAAAAAATTAGAGGAAATTTATAATATAATATCTTACTTCAATATCAGATCCTTCAGAAGATTCAAAACTGCTGTCCAGATCAACATTCTCAGGTTGGCCACTGTTGCTTTCCTGTAAATAACAATCTTAGATTATATTATATCAGTTTAAATTAAATTTTATATACCAAATCACTCTCGTCATCAGAATCGGCTGCTATGTATTCAACTGCATCATCTTCTCCTTCCATTTCAAGCTCTCGTTCCATTTCAATCTCTTCTTCCTCATCTTCAACTTCATTTTCTTCTTGTGCCTCATCAAAAGCAGTTTGTGGAATATTGTATAAATCTTGGTACTGAAATCATTTATTTTTCATACCTTTTCAAAAACATTATATCAAAATTACTCACAACTCCTTTCTTCAGCCTATCCAAAAGTGTTTTTTCAACACCCTTCTCTATTTTAGCTGCTATCAATGCTTTTTCTTCCCTTCTCTTTTCTCGTCTTTCAACATTTCTTTGTAGTGGTACAATTAATTTTCTGCAAAAAAAGTTTTATTATATTTTCAAATTCAAGGTAACAAATTTAAAAAAACATACTGTCTTCTAAGTTTCAACTTCCTCATTCTAATAAGGTACTGTGTTATTTTAACAAACCTCTGTTTGCATTTTGATTTAATAAAACCCGGCCAGTACAGAAGGTTTTCATTGATCTGATGAATGGCCTTTTCAAAGTTCCTAGAGAGTTTAACTTTTTCCCATAATTTTTTGGGAAATGCACACCTGTTTAAAAAAAATATAATAGTTTTATTCTGAAAAAACTGTATAAATAAAGAAAATTACCTTTCTGCTGTTTTCATATAAAGATAAATGATACCTTTTTCTTCTCTAATTGTTGCATACTGACTATTCGCTAGTGGACACGATGAACGATTACATAAACCGGTTAAATTGTATTCATTTCGACACATTTTTTGTGTTTTTGTACTAAAAAATAAGGAATTACAATGTACCAAGCAGTTTCTTTTTATACATATCAATTAACGTAATTGGTGTTTAGGGAAAAGAAACAAAACTTTCTTTTATCAACTTTAGAGTGAATTAACATTAAGTTTACAACAATATTGAGTACTTACTTAATTTTATAGGAACAGAAAGACTTATTGATAACACTCCATACAACCTGAAATAAAGTTTTTTTTTAAATTGTTTATACATAATTTTGAGTACCTACGTCATCGTGCTGCATCTTCTAATATTCTAATTGTTTTTAAAATCTATAATTAATACGGAAACTTAAGGTATTTTAATTGTTATAAATTTTTAAAAGTACAAAATATAATAAGTGACATAACCTCAGAAATTACGCGTGTTGAGCTGTCACATGTCACATAGCATAGTGGTCAATGGATGACAATAAATGAGGCGTGTTCAGAAATGTTTTTTTATATATGATTTTCGGTATGTCATATTTTCTTATTCTTCTTCTTGATTAGTTTTATGGTCTAAGCTGCGAGTACTATACGGCCGATGGCATATTTTACAAAAAAAGTCTTAGTGCCTTCAAAAGAAAAGAAGAAAGTGTAATTATAACCTCTAATTTTCTGTGTTTTCTCTTACAATTTTAAATAAAATAAACATTTGATTTAAAATGAATTGGACGGCTATTATATGTATTTTAATTTCTTATTTACCCTGTCATACGGTAAGACTCACAGTTTTGTAATTCCACATTTAACATCTCAGTCTTTTAGTTTTCATTAGAACACGACGGATCAGCGATAATTCATCTACAACATGCCTTAACCGGTGGTCCTGATCCCCAATTTAAGGACAGGGGAAAAATTACAGTTAATAGTTTACGTATTGGTCAGGCTATAGTGGACCAAAAGCCTTTAGCTGAAGCAGATCGTAAACTTATCCAGGTAATAACTTGTAATATATTAGATATCAGTTTTTGTTAGTTTATTTCTAGAAATTAGCAAGAGAGAATGATTTGTATAGAATCCAAGCTACTGTAATAGCTAATGATGGGTCTAAAAAGACATTCCTTTCTTCAGTAAAAGCAGTAAGTAATTAAGTTGTAAAGTTCAATATATTTGTTTATTGACTGTTGATTTTAGTGTATGCTAGCTGAAGCAGAATTGGACGATAGATTGTCGTTATCTTTTGATTACTTGGGTCATATTATTGGAGTTTCTCTTGTCATTGCTTCTAAATCATCATGTGAAGGTTCCGATGTACCTCTAGAGAAATTGAAAGAATTCACCACGAATGTTTATGTACGGCATACAGATACAGCTACAATGTATGTATTTTTTAAAGATTCTTACATTGGGATGATTTTATTTTCATTTTAGTCCAGATACTGCATCGTATATTGAGAAAATAGAGCGGGAGAGGGACGCCAAAGAAAAGGGTGATGTGAAAGATAACAAATCTTTTCTTGCTAAATATGTAAGCCTTGTTTTAATTTTTTTTAAATAGTTTCTTATGATTTCTATTTATTTTTAGTGGATGTATATCTTGCCGGTTGTAATTTTAATGGTTATATCGTCAGCCACCAATCCAGAAGCTCAAGGAGGTGGACAATGAAGGAGATGAATAGAAAAATAAGATAATTTAAAAACTGTATTTATACCATTTATTTCCTAGTCATTTAATAAAAAGTTAGGTGTATAAAATTGTTGTTCTTATTATATGATTTTCATTGCATTGATTATATTTAAAAAAAATTACTCAAGCTGTTTTATTTTGTATAGTCTGTTCATGGAGAGTGACACTTGCCTGGTAATAAAAGTAAATTGCTTTTTTCCTGGCAATTTTTAGAAGTATATTAAATAGAATATCAGATTTATTATCAAGTTTATAAAGAACAGAAATGTTTTAAGTAAATAAATAATGTTTCTTATTTAATTCTGTTACATGTTCTCAAACATTTCAACTCTTCGGATGGTGTTTCCTTTACGTATATCTCGTAATGTCTTGAATTTATCCCTGCCCTGTGCCAAGTTGATTCTGTGGATTCTCTCTAATTCGGTCTCTTCTGTACTGTTTCTTGTATCGACCAGTTGCTGTTGTAATAGCTAAAAAGAAAAATTATAATTATAAATTGTTAATATCCAGATTAAATAGTGTGTATATCTGGTTGTCTAACTATTTGTGTAAATCTTTAATTTAAATTAAAAACAAACATTTTTGTTTATCATTTTAATTCCCATGTAAATTGTATTTTCTGGCAGACTTAAGGTACATTATTACCTTCAGTTGTTCCTTTAATTGATCATTGACTTGCTTGAATTCAGGCAAAGTATTGTCAGCGTTAGGTAGTACTTCCAGTTCTTTTTCCGTCCTGGATGCCTCCTCCAACTCCTTTCTTCTACGTTCCTCCTCCTCAATCCTTCTTTCCTCCTCCCTCTGGGCTCTTTCTTCTTCTTGCCTCCTGCGGGCTTCCTCTTCCCTTCTGCGCGCCTCCTCCACCTCCTCTTGAAGTTTCCTGGTCTCCTCGTCTTTCCTGGTTACTTCCCATTGGATTTTCTCTACTTCCGCGTGTTTGTTTCTGATTTCTTCTTCCAGTTTCTGTTTCTCGGCCGCCTCGAGGTTCTTCATTTCTTCCAATCGTTGCATCATGTCTTGGAGCTCTCTTCTTTGGAACTCCAGCTCCTCTTTGCTTCGTTTCAGGTCTTCAAGTTGCTCTTGGAGTTTTCTAAAGAGCAAAAAATTGATTGATTTTAGACAACCGCGTCGGCGATGGCTATGAAATGAAGATCGCTGTCATTCAATTATTTCATCGTTATGTAAAATTATATGCGGAATGTCATCGATGTTCATTTCAGATCATACGTATACAGTACTTCCCGAAACGTTAAGAATTTTTTTGTCCGTTAGGAAAATTTGATTCTTAGTAAATCACCGCTGACAAATGCGAACATTTAGTAGTAAAAAATGATTTTAGAAATTAAAGTATATTTTTTTTACCTAATAGTTCTTTCTGCGTTGGCCAGGTTAGCTTCCTTTTGTTCCATTTGTAACTTTAGTTCTTCCAGTTCTTGTTTGTACAGGGTTTCGCGTCTTTCAGCTTCTTCCCTAGCTACCCTTTCATTATTGTATTTTTGTCTAAAATTTATCAATATTTCCTTATTCCAATTACATTGTTTATTATGAACAAATTGTAGAACAAATTTGGATGCCATTGAGAATTATTTTTATTATAATGGGGGTAATATCGAACTTATTGACAATATCATTTATAAATTCAGTATCTTAAAACACAAACAAATACAAGACATTACAAACTGGGTATACTGCATGGATGTTAACAGCATAATCTATAACTCAAAATATCAAGATCTAATATGAACGATCTACAGTAGATTTCGACTTCCAATGAACGAACATACGTTAAATTTTAAATAATATTTTGTTAAGTTTGGAAAGAAACTTTAACAAAACATGTTTTAAATATTACGAGATCTACAAAAAGCAACAAGATGGCTACATCAGATTCTGTTTTCGGACACGCGCTCAACTTCAACTGAAACGTTCTGCATGCTGTCAACAATCTGCGGAATTTTATCAGTTCAGTTGTGGAAGTTGGTAGAAAATATTTCGGGAGTGGCACTACTAGTTTTATTATACTGGGATAACATCTCTTTGAAGTTTCAAAGGGTTAAGCTATGGGGTTAAGTGTTCCAGAAGTGTCTAGTCCTAGCCGTCAACTATTAAGCTTGACCAATCAGGTTGGTTAGCGTGGTTATTTGGAGTGTGTTAATTCATTTGTGTTTGTCAAAAACTCTAACATGATTGGTCGGGCTTAACAGTTGCCTGCTAGGGCTAGACACAAGTAGTGTTCCATCCAAAAGATTATAAGTTTCATAAAAAGATTGTCATCATAGAGATTTATTTCTAAGTGAGAGTTTTTTTAAAAACAAGAAATTTTGGTAATATACAGGGTTTCTCAGTCAGTTTAGAAGTTTCTAGAGAACTACAATATCTAGCTCGGAGATATTTTGGACATCATTGTTTCACAACGAGACCTATCGATTAAAATATTTTCAATATGGCGGCACTTCCGGAAATACCGGAAGTTGACAGCAACTTTCTTATTTTAAAGGGGTGCCCCCATTTTTTATTACCTACTTAAATTTTAAATATTCTTTTTTCTCCAAAACGGTTAATGTTAGGTATAGAGTGTTTAACATCAATATTCATAGAATTTTACAGAGAATTTAAGTATGTAATAAAAAATGGAGAAAAGTATAATAAAAATATAATAAAAAGTATAAAAATATAAGAAAAATATCTTTAGATTGTGTGTAATAATCATTCGTATAAAAATGATATTTTGAGTCACAGTCTTAGATCTTATATGTCACAGTATACACAGTTAATATTATGTACAGCCTGTATATAGTAAAATTGTTTCAAATTATACGAGAAGAATGTTTTGACTTATAACTTAAAATGTTTTATATAATTAGTTAAGCTTTTATCTCGATATATAGCTGCTATATATCCCCAAGCTGTCTTATGGCATGTGTTAGTTTTTGAAACCAGCTCCCTGAAAATATAATATTCGAGATATTATTAAATTCTGACAAGACAAACTTGAGACAAATTGTCCACACCGCAAGGACAAAAGTACAACAAAGTCAAAAGTTCAGTTGTTGCGAATGAGTTTTACTAACCATGTGGTCTTCTACTGTTGGCAGTACACGCTATCCACACTGCGCCGACAACTTGTAAAATATACGAACAAAACATAGACCCTTTGATATTTACCGACTCGAGTTGTCTAGGTGGTATTGACTCGAGACGGGACATTGAAAAGTCTCCGAATTTTGAAACAAAACAAAAATGAGACAAAAATGTCACAAAAATGTATTGGATTTGTCGCAATTTTGTCGTAAAACATGAATGTTTCTGTCTTGTTGTTTTGTCTGCTTGGTCTGGACCCGGCATTAGAAAGACTAAGGTGTATGGTATATAACGTGTATAAAGTCTAGTCATTTTAGATTAGGCTTTTAAATTTTGCGAATCCCGGGATTTAATATCGGGATTTCGGCAATAAACACACACCGGAATCCCAGTTTGGAAACCCTACTGTACAGGGTGGCTCGAATTCGACGCTCATCATGGGGATTTCGGAAACTGTAAGAGATACAGGATCGGTTAAATGGAGGCAAATTTGCGCTATTTGATGCTCAATAAAATGCCGTATTGCATTTTGAAAAATTCCGAATACTTCCGAATATATTCGAAAAAAAAACGGAATTTTCAATTTTGTTTTCTATTGTTTCCTGGCTTTATTTGAGAAGATAATTTAAAACGTAAGACACATTTTCATGGCCACTTTTTCTGCTCTATAACTCTGTGTGATTAAATATTGACTCTGACGTTTCGGCTTCTGGCGACCATCATCAACTTAACTTTTTTAAATACGGACCTGATTTTTTTTTCAATTTAATTAAATCCCTTCATCACCCTTAAAACACTATATATAATCACTTTGATATTTGCCGACGTTTCGTACAGAAAATTCCATCACAAGAATATTTGCAAAAAAAATAAAAAATAAAAATGCAATACGGCATTTTATTGACCATCAAATTGCGCAACTTTGCCTCCATTTAACCGATCCTGTATCTCTTACGGTTTCCGAAATCTCAATGATAAGCGTCGAATTCAAGCCACCCTGTACAGGGTGGGTCAAATTCGACGCTTTTAAATGGAAACACCCTTTTCTATAGGAGATAGACGAAAACTAATATCGGTGTCTGGAGCTCAATTTTCATTAAAAACATGATGGTGAAAACCGCACATCAATATCTGTTACTGTTTCGAAGTTACGGGGTGTTTTTCAAAAATGTGCATTTTTAACAAATCGCTGTAACTTTTTTGCTATGAAAAATTTTGTATTTCTACGAAAACACTTCCAAAGCACCTTTTTACGTAGAATGTAAGTATAATTTTTTTAAAATTAATAATTTAAGAGTTATCAACAGAAGAATTGATTTTTATTTGGGACACCCTCTATATTTTTAATTAACTGTAAAGAATTTAAAATTACCTTTCCAAAAATATAGCACACTTGATATTTTGTTATAATCCTCTTCGAAATACAGAATTTTTAAAAGTTCGCCACTTTTAACTAGTAGGCTTTTATCACCCCTTATTGCTGATATGCCCTTAATGGAACTCAAAAACATATTTTTTCAGCGCCTCTGAACGCTGAAGTTATCAGCAAATTTTTGCAGCCAATTTCAAGAATAATTGAATAGCTAACCAAGATCCCAGCCGTTGGCCGTCGAGGCCGCCTGACGCCCTCGGAGTGCCCATGGATCTAATCCTATGGATATATTTGAGGAAGAATAAAGGTTCCTTAATCCGTATAATCTAGACAAGAATTAGAAATACTTAGCAGCTATGAGAGGGTATCTTTCACCCCCACTGAGTTAATGAATTCCGCGAGAAATGTTCAAAAACTGCCCCGTCTGTCCATAACAGAAGACGGTCGATATGTTGAACACCTGTAGCAAAATCTCATGTCTTGGTTTGCTATTTATTTTTATTGTTATTAGATATAGTTTAAATGTGTTGATGTTGGTTAAATATATTTTAAATTGTTATAAAATTCTGCATCTCTCATAGCAAATATTATTTTCGTTTTAATTGATGCTCACAGCTAGAATTTTTTTGCATTACAGCCGGTCCCGTTCAAAGCCCACTTATTTAAAGCGGGCGAATTTTTATATACTCTATATCTCGAAGAGGAGTCAAGCAAAATATCAAGTGTGTTATATTTTTGGAAAAGTAATTTTAAATTCTTTTCAATAAATTAAAAATATACAGGGTGTCCCATATAAAAAATCAAATTTTCTGTTGATAATTCTTAAATTATTAATTTGAAAAAAATTATACTTAAACCATTAAATTTTACGTAAAAAGGTGCTTTGAAAATGTTTTCATAAAAATACAAAATTTTCCATAGCAAAAAAGTTACAGGGATTTGTTGAAAATGCATATTTTTGAAAAACACCCCGTAACTCCGAAACGACAAAATTGACAAAAATTGAGCGAATCGACTCGAAATCGACTCCTATTTGACAAAAATTGAGCTCCAGACACCGATATTAGTTTTTGTCTATCTCCTATAGAAATGGGTGTTTCCATTTAAAAGCGTCGAATTTGACCTACCCTGTACATATAGTATTTCGCTAATATTAAAATGCTTACCTAATCAGCACTTTCGTTTTTCTCACTTCGTTGGCTTTTTCTTTCATTTTCACAATTTCCGGGGTGTCGGGCTTCCTCCTACTGACGTACAGTTCGTGATTGCCGATGCCCAGCGTTAAAATGATTTTGCTGATTTTTTCGTTGGTTGTGTGGATGGTGAAATTTTTCCCAGATTTGTCGGTGGGTTTGATGATGAATTTTGTGCCTCTGATTTTTAAATTCTTTATTTCGGACCATGGAAAAGATGTCGTTGGATTTAGCCTAGAAATAAATAAGAATAAATTAAAACTCTACAAGAGAAAGAATAGGTATAATAAAATCTATTGAATAAAATGACTTAAAGGAAGGAGTATAAAGGTACGTCCATAGTGCACCGGTTTTCCGCTTTCCGGTGACCAGTTCTTATCGCTTTGTGAATCTGCGCCATTGAAGCAGGTAGTGTCAATTAACAACCGCTTGCAAGAAGCGGAAATATAATTTGGCATCATGGGGCATAGTGATAATGTTCATATTAAAATGATACTAAAAGATATTAGTCGCGGTCATGAAATTAATCGGCCTCATTTTGAACTTGGGACGTAAACGTTATATCCACAACTCACAGCTCACCATCAAAAATTTTACGAATATTTCCGCATGGAGAAAGAAACGTTGAAGTATATTTCCAACAAAATTGAAACCCGTTTAAAAAAATGCTGCCAGTTTAAAATATATAGATGTATAGTATTTCCGAAGTCAATTGGAAGTACTGAATCCCAATCTATTCTAACTGACTTCAGATAAACTAAATAATAAATAATAATAAATAACGCTTTATTGTGCAAAAAACCAAAATAACTTCATCGACAAAGCATTTACAAAGCAAATAAAAGCACAAAAAATATACAAATAATAAAAAATATACAATACAAATCATACAATTCAAAAAAAATTAAGTCATTAAAATTTTAAATAGAACATACATGGACATTTCAGAATACAAAAAAAGGCATATCAATAAAATTTTACAATAGGAAAATTGTAAAAGGATATAATTTTAAGAGTTGTAAAATATTAAATACTCGACTTTTGACCAGTGTGTGAGATGATCAAAATTTTAAAATTCAAAACTGTTCATGATTAAACATCACCAAAAATGTCGTTCACCGCATATAGGGCTCTCTTCTCCAGTAAGTATGATTTCAGAGCTTTGTGAAATGCGGGAAAGAATGAAAGCGACTTGATATTCAAAGGCAGATGATTGTACATTTTTTGGCATTGTACAGTATGGAGCCTTTAACTAGTTCTGAGCTCGGGGTTAGCAGATAAAGATCGTGCTCCGCATTCCTACGTGGATAGTTATAAGATGGCCTTTCGGGAATAGCAGATATGTGCTTGCGGATTAAGCAAACGGATTCAAAAATGAATAAAGAAGGAAGAGTCAGTATTTTGAAAATTTTAAGGAAATTCTGGCAGTGAGTTCTACTGTTTAGTCCCAATAAATATCGAACTGCTCTCTCTTGCAACTATACACAAGATGGTTATGATTAAAATCGATTAATTTTTATTAATTTTGTATAGTAGGTATAACGTACCTGTCTTCTTGTTTATAAATGTTCAGTCCCAGAGATGTGACTCCCAAAAGTAAATCTGATCCTTTAGCGTTCCTGATACTGAAATATGTCACTCCGTACATTTCCAAGTTCTGTACTAACTTTAGGTACTCCAACATGGCCTCTTCCTTGTCCAACCCTCGATGTTTCAGCCACATATTGACTATATTGTTTTCCCATTCTGCCGGGTCCATTTTATGTTGTTTGATAACTCTGAAATATGAACAAAAATCGTTCTAGAGCGACATACAGGGTGGCGCCTCTCATACGCCATGGAGGCTTCAAAGAGAACGACAGCTTATATTGAAATGAAATTTTATGAGTATATGTAGGTGAATTTAGAGCATTTTTTAAAAATGTGTTTCCCAAAAAAAGTTGTACATCAAAACCAAAGATATTTAAACTCAAGAGATACAATTGTTTACCTTTTTCCTTCATCGGCCATTATTCTACCCCTATTTTCGCATCTCTCTTACACCGAAAACATTTGCCAGATTTACCTGTATATTGGTATTAGTATTCGATTAAATACCACAACCAATTATTAAGTAATAAATAATTTTGTTATATTTCTATAATATACCAAGTACTTTAATATCCTAACGTCAATTTTTTCATTTAATGCTTAACTGCTTAACTATTTTAAATTTTATAATGGAATAAAAATATCATGATCGTGTTTTTTTTAAGAATAAAAAGCAGTTTGGCAACGTCAGTTTTAGAAATATGCCGGCGTAGTACAACGGATTTCGAGGACGAATGAAAATTTCTCAACACCGAACAGCTAACTTCCAAAAATCTTTCAGTTTCATAGCGCCACATTTGTGGAATAATATTTCTAATAACTTTAAATTTCAATCCTTTACAGATTATAAAAAACAAATTAAAAATCATTTACTAAATTCATAACAATAAATTATTTAAAAAACTATAATTTCTTCGACTGATTTGTGAGGTTCTTGTTCTTCTGATATGCCCGTCATTGGTTGCTGTTCCGATTACACTGTTTCGTTATGCCTCTCTGCTTATCTCCGCTCATCCCTGATAAAATTATATTTTCACTTTTTTTATCTAATTTTATTTTTTTTTAATTCTGTTTATTTTTATAATCTAATTTATTTCTATTTCTATTTGGGGCCGCACCACTCTGGTACTGTGTCATTGTATCGGTTTTTTGATCGCGGTGCGATCCCTTTAGACACACATTTTAGTAGTTGTAAAATTCATATATGTATATAATAAATATACATATAATAATAAAGTTTTTATCAAAAATATGTGAAGTCTACAAATATTAGTTTTTGGTAAAATATTGTGTTACTAGGTTAAAATAACTATTTTATTTTGTTATTGCTAATAGAGGGAGTCTCATTCATCGGAGATGAACAAGGTTTGGAACAAGATATTGAAACTGCATTTACTAATACACCCAAAATTTGATATTTTATTTAATAAAATAAAGTAAAAAACGCTTATTGATTTTTTTAATCGTTATGCTTATGTGAAAAGCCATCTTATAAAAAAAATTATGCCGGTTTTTATTTATTTCGCTATCCTCCCTTAACTTATTTTTTTTCCTATTAATATCCTCCCTCAACTTTTTACAATGCGACAAATATGTAAGTGTTATTATTATTTTTTTTAAATTTATTAAACAATTATTTTAATTTCCTTAAAATACTGTCGGTCGATCGGCACGCCACTGGAAATTGACCTCAACCGTCTAATCTTTGTAAACAACCACATTGTTGCCGTTGCGCCGATACCCTATTCCCTTCTTTGTCCATCCTCTCTCGCACTCGTTGATTTTCGCAAACCAATGTGTGAGGAAGGTTTAGAGCGTTTTATGAATGGATCGTTGTATCTCCCGAGTTTAAATATCTTTGATCAAAACTGTGTTTTTTGTTACGGAACACCCTATATATTAAGTGATTTTCGGATTCTAAGGGAAAAATAATGATGAGTTACATTAGAGAAGTATATGACTAAAATGTAAGATTTTTGACAAAATTAACATTTTCTAAAAACGAAGAACAAATTTTAAATTTGAATAAAAGCTACCTAAATTGAAAATTTCCCGGTGTAGCCTAATATGTAGTTAAAGTAACTATTGTACTTTAAATAAAATTAAAACTTGGCCCAAAAAGTTATACAGAGTGAGACAAAGTTAATATTGATTGGTCACATTTAAAAGCAATTTATTTTTTTTTTAATTTAAATTAGCGATGGGAACTATCGAATGAATTAGACTATCGAATGGTTACTGAATGAATGATTTCAACTATCGAATGGTTTTATTCGAATAAAATCGTTCATTCATTTGTATACTAAAGCATATGTGACAACCTCGCCGTGCGGCTAAATGGTTATCGTTGAGCCACGACTATCGAATGCTTTTGATAAATGAAATTTAGTATTCGATTGATTTTTGTGTGCGTCAGTGCATTATTAGTTCTTCCAAATTTTTATAACTTCGCCGTATAAATACTGTGCTATTTTTGCGTTCATTAAAATATTTAAAATACTAAAATAGTAGTTTTTTTTTAATTTTATTTAATGACGATTGTGTGTATGTGCAGGTGGTCAAAATTTTTTTCGAAAATTTGTGTGGTTTTCCATAGTCCGATCTTTCAATTATTTAATTTTATATGATATATGGTCTATTTTTTAATGGGAAATTTTGAGAAGTAGCAATTTTTAAGAGAGATGAGATGAACTTACAATTAATTTTAAAAATGCATATTTGTATTTTAGTTGTTTTAATAATATGAATTAGTTGAACTTAATAATCATATTTAAGTAATGTGGTTAAGTAAATGGGGTTATCGAACTCAAACTATGGGGTGAGAAAATTACAATGAAAGTTTTACACGTGCCAATTTAAAAAAAAAGTTAGCGATGTTTGTATTTTGTTTATGCTAATTCTCTTACATGTAGTTTTTTGCGAAGAAATATTTAATTTATTTTTTAAAGTAAATGCCAGTAAAAGTAAATATAATTTTTAAATAGTAATATAAAGCACCTAATATAAATAATTTTGATTTCTAATTTTTTATTTATATTTTCTTCCATTACATTGCATGCTTAGAAAATTAATAAATGTTTATATTTCATGATTTTAAAATTTGTTGTTAATATAACAAATTAGTTCTGTAATTATTATTCTTTAATAAACCAACGTTGCCAAAAAATTTAGAGACTATATTATTTTTAAATAGGACCTAATATAAATAATTTTGACATCTAATTTGTTGTTTATATTTTGCTACTACTTGAAAAAATGTTTATATTAAATGATTTTAAATTTTGTTGTTAATAGGTATAACAAATTATTACTGTTATTATTATTTATTAAACCAGTCTTTGCTTAAAAACATTAAAAATCATTTTCCTACATCCAAAATAACAAGTATTATTGCAGTGTAACAACAGAATATTAATCAAAAAAATGCAGAATATATAGACATACTATCCCTAACTAACTAAAGGCAAACAATGAATATTCTTTCCTAATATCAACTAATACCAAAATATGGCAACAGCGCCCTTCATAATGTATTTTCTGTGTAAATACTAGCACCTCAATAAAAAAAATAATGTGTCCTTATTTTTATCTGACTCCGCAAAAAATCAAAGATGCCGGCTTGTTTCATAGCATTGCCACCGACCGCTGTCGGGTTTCTCGGAAAGAAACCTACGTCGCCGGGCGACAACTAAAATTCAGTTAATATTTTATTATAATCGATCCTGACGAATAAATGAATTTCATAAATGAATGAGTTTTATAAATGAATGGTTTTTGCTGCCAAATTACGAGAATAAAATATTTCAAGGCAGATGACGGATCTATTCGATAATTTTTATTCGAATAGTTTTCAACGAATGTTTTCTTACTAACTATCGAATTATTCGAATGAATTGCAACTATCGAATGTTTCGATAGTGTTCATTCGATAGTTCCCACTACTAATTTAAATGGAACACCCAGTTTAATAAAATTTCGTGATAGAATATAGAGAAAAATACAAAAAAGTATAATCGGTTCAAGTCAATCTTAATAATGGAACACAAAATTACCATTTTTTAACAGGTAAACTGAGCAAAAACTATCTATCTCTTACCTTTCTGGCAACAGGGTTTGTTTCTTTAAAAAATCCTCATTGAAATCTGACTTGTTGTAATCGCCATACTTGGCTTGAAGTGCGTAGGACACCAAAAGCACCGAGGTATCTGCCGGGCAGAAGATTTCATCGTTGATGATGATGCTTTTGACGTGGTTGAAGAAGTATTCGATGGTTACGAACTCGATAAGTTCACTCACGTCTTCTGGGTAGTACTTAACACTGAAACGAACGTTGCCCAGGTACCTTTGAAGGTAATTTAGTGTCTGAAACAAAGATAAAGGTTACTGTAAATAGTGTTGAGAATAATGGGATGATTTCAATCATCGAGCATCCGGAAACTTTAGCAGCATATTCTACAGATAAAAGTAAGTAAAAAAAAGCAATTTATCCTGGGGTGGGCCTGGGGGAGGGGCCTGGTACGTGAATTTCTCTATCAATAAATTTCATAGACTTGGTTATCAAACCGTGTTCCCGTAGATTACATACCTACAAATTTTCTAAAAAAATAAAAATTAACACATTTTTTGAACACAACAAAATAATATTAACTAAACAAAACTAGAAAACGTCATTTTTACTGCATCACAAGCAAATAAAAATTAATACGTAGCCAAGAGTCATAATTCAGGATTTCTCTGGGGGGTGACCGGCAGTACCTGGGGGGGGGCACCCCTGTAGTTACGCCAATGTCCACTATTCATATTATATGTCATTAGGCCATTTTTTTTTTTAAAATGAATAAGACAGGATGACTTCAGCGATTTCTGTTTATTTTAAAGAATGCTATTAAAATAGTTATCTATTGTACGGTACAATAATCACAAGATATGTTTGTTTTACAGGTCTTATCTTAATAATTTAGAACAACACACTCGTAACCCTGAGCAGGTAATACATTAAAAATAGTAATTTTGTCACTTTATTGTGTATTAAAAGATATGACCGGTAAAATTGTTCAGACAAATATTGACGGGCTTATACAGATCAATCGGAAAAGAATAATATGTGTTTTATTGAATTCCTAGTTATAAATTAACAGGTTTGCTACCAAGGGTAAGGTCAAGGGTATTGGACTACCACAAAATTTGCATGGGATTTTATATGTTTCCAACGACGAGGATGCACCACCTGGTATATGAGCCACTTGCTAGCCAACGTGTTATAAATACCAACTTATAAATAGTTTTTTGGATGATAAAAAAGCAATAAATTTGTACAAAAGTTCAGAGTAGCCAACAAATTTCTTACAGTGTGTAAAGGCCTCTATAACAACAAGTCGAGAGCGTCACATCATGGATCACTGAGCGATCCCTTCCTGACAAATACAGGAGTTAGGCAGGGTTGTGTCCTAGCTCCTCTCCTATTCAACATATTCATGGCAGCGCTCTCTGTTATAGTGGACAGCAAACTGCAGGAAAGAGGAATGGGTGTCAGTCTGTTCAACATAAAAAGACTCAGGACAAAAACACGTATAAAATTTATTGCGTAACCATCTTCTGATGCGTGTCAAATACTCGTCAGCGAGTAATGGCAGTAAGTAAGTAAGTAAATTTTTGAATTACTTACCTTTTTTGATTTGTCTATCCAAACATCCTCATTTTCTGTTCCTTTGTAGCACAGTCCAAACCACCACGTTTCTTGTATACCCAGCGATCTACACAGGGTGTTGAAAAGTTCTCGACCAGTCGTTTTTGGTACTGCTTCTAAATCTATGTCGTGAGATGGCGTGCGTACTTTCAATTTCATTTTTCACCCTGTATATCAAAGAAAATTTAATTAAATAATTTGAAACTGTTACTTTTAGGTATTTTTACTATTTTTTATACAACTTCACTTTTTTATACAAAAAACTGGTCGTCAGTTGAGTTGAAAACTATTTCTATTAAAATTGGTGTAGGGGTGGGGGTAGTTTTTACCCTTCCCGTATGTAATTCTATGTAAGTTCTATGTCCGCGGAATATCGGGACATTCTGTATGTCGTGCTATTTAAAATAATCAAGTTAGGTTAGGGATAATCCAGTTAGTTTTATAATTTTCATAAAACTTACTACACTGTATCTCAAAAGGTAAGATGTTTTGGACATTCATATACAGATATTTTTAGAATAGGTCCATAAATCATCTCTCTAAAATTTTAGCATGTCCTTATGGAATACCCTGTATATACCTCAAAAGCATAAAGTGGAAGGGTACACCTCTTTTCAAAACTTTCCGTATTATATGTATCTTTTAGGTTACTGTTGTTAGTTACTATAAAATATAAATTGTAAAAAGTAATAATGGCATATTTCCAGTTTTCAGCTATACTTTTGACATCATTAATATATTTTTAGAAGGTGGCATTATTATATGATAAATATTTAGAACAATTTAGATATGTATAATCTATGAGTTGGTCTATGACGAACCATTTAGAAACGAAGTAATTAAACCAGCGATATCAGATTATTACTAATTTATAATTCGTAGTAAATTAAAAAAAAATATTGTTTAATTTTCGAATTAATCATTGTTAAAAACTTTAGCTATAAACATAAAAATGTTCGAACTAAAATATTATTTCTACTCTTATGTAGTGTTGGTTTCATTTGAATATACGAGTATTACAACTATGACAAAATTTGTTTTATTCTAACATAAAAATTAACAAGTCGTTTAAATAATAAAGGAAATAAAATAAATAAAAAAAAAAAAAAAATTCCATTATCCAGTTCTTTTTACTGAATCTAAAGGTTCGTCTACACATAACGTTAAACCTGTCAGTCATACCAGTTCAGACAAAATGTAACAAGTTACTTATTCTATGTTCCAGTTTTTTACTCTTCTTATAGAGTCTAATTTTTATTAGATTGTTTTAAATTTCAGTTATTTTAAGAATTCAAGAAAAGCGAAAAAATTCTGAAACTTTCTCTACTTCCTCACATAGGTTGTAGTAAAGATGCCTGTGTCCTTGTAATATTTTTAGAACTAAATATATGTATTACCGATTAGAAATTTATGTAACAATTTTCCCAGACTATCCTTCCATCAACTTCTCTAATCCACTCTCATTAAATAGGTGACAAATGGAACCATAAAAGTATTAATTACTCTAAGGTACGCTTTTTTTTCTAAAAGCAAAGCACATAAATGTGGTTGCCAATACATAACTCAGTATTAAAAAGATATTAACGTTTTTTTTTCCATAATTTCAGATAACAGGTTAAGATTACGATTTACAAAATATTTAGGTACGGTTTATTCATGCACAGTTAAGAAGGCTTATCTGGTAGATAAGATGAAATGTTTTGATAAACAAGGCGTTGTTAAAATTTTGACTGAAAATTTAATGAGGAAGTTACAAACATTTGCAGTTAATTAAGAAGTTACAGGGTGTGTTAAGGCAAAATTTCACCAAGATATTTAGAAAAACTCGAAAATTCACGTTTTATATTTTTTTATGACTCTAGGAGATGAGACATCTTGTCTTTGGTGGGGAGGCTCCTAGTCCTGGTGCTAGGAGAATCCCCTCTGGCATTTTGGCTGGGGCTAAGGAGCATCTAGTGGAAGTAGAATTAGGGAAAAAGTTAAAAGTTTGATAACTTTTTCTACTAATTGAAAATGTCTACCACTAATTTTGACGTTCTGAATGCTTACATACAACTTCTACGCTAATTAAAACCACTAATTGCGAAGTTCTGAATGAAGCTTTACTTCTACTAATTTTGACGTTCTGAACTAAGTTTTTGAATGGTTATATTGAAAGTAAAGGAACAAAGTTCTACGCTAATTGAAACCACTAATTTTGAGGTTTCGAATGAATCTTTGAAGGAAATACAATGACTTGTATGTGTTTTTCAAAAAACTCATATTTAAATCTAATTCAGAATGTATTATTTTAAAAGAACAATAAACCGTGATTTTTCTTTAAATAAAAAGATAACTCTGTTAAATAAGACATTTGTTTAAATAAAACTTGTTATCTGTCAATCACGAATCTTATCAGTCAGAGACGTATGTACAAGAAGTATTTTTATTGTTTTTACTCTTTACAGAACCTATATGGATATACCGGGTGGTGCATCATCGTTGGAAATATCGGAAATTCCATGCAAATTTTGAAATTTCCAACTATTGGCTACGCTATTAATTTTACAGTGTAAAAAATAGGTTTCTTAAAGGTCTGGGTATGCTTAACATGCAAACTTTGAACAATTTTGGATAAGCCGATTTTAAGTAATTTAAGAAAAACTGTACCTATTTTTAAATTAAAACTTTAGAGAAGATTATAGTAGGATTTCCATTACAATTTTTACTAGTTATTTCTTAGAGATCTCATAAATCTAATCAACAAATGAAATCTGGAAATATCTTTTCATAAATAATTTTAATACCTGGATTATTACATTACATATTGACTATTTTAAATTAAAACTATTTGCAAAGTACACACTAACTAATTCACCACAGTACACCAGAACACTTTACTTTTACTTTGCTAACCATGTTAGCATCATCAGCAGATGATTAAAGCTAAAAATTTTGTGCAAAACTAAAGTGTTTTTGTGTATTGTGGTGAATTAGTGTTTTATTTAACCCTCAACTGTAATAAAAGTATTTGGTTCAACATTCTCTATTTTTAAGTTCTGCCAGTGCCTTATAATTCTATTAACTATTAAACAGAAAAAGACTATTTCAGTTAACAATTAAGTTTTTTAATTTAATAAGTTATTTAGCAGTACTAAATAATTAAAACTATTACGGTACCTTTAATATATATCTTGTCCAAAATAAAAATTAAAATCCTTAAATTCCGCTTGTTTTTTTTGTAACTAAAGGAGTTGTGTTATTTTTCAACTTTACACTTGCACTTAATCACATACACTCCCGCAAGTTGTTCTGGAATATGTGACACATTCATAAAAATGTTCCTTATCAACATCGAGCTGATAAGATACACCGAACATGCTCACGTAATCAGAACCTGCATTACTGTACGTGGAAGGCACCGCAGGTATTTAATATACAGGGTGAGTATCCTATAGGAACATACAGGGTGGCCCAAAATGTATTCCGAAGACTTCGGCAGCATATTCTGCACATAAAAATAAGTAAAAAAGTTCGTATAAATGTATGTCCTAAAATTCCTAGTTTCGGAGATACAGGGTGTAGAAATATCATTTTTATTTCGATTTTTTCCAAATAATTTCTGAAGTAACGTCAATATTTTTTTTTATGCTCAAAAGTCGAGTGGCATATACCACCCTCCTAAATGAGACTGTTGCAGTCCGGGTGGCGGGAGGATGCCCGCAGGGGGGAGTTCTCTCCCCTCTGCTGTGGAAGCTCGTTATGGACGGACTGCTTAATAGTCTCAACAGGGCTGGTTTCAACACTCTGGGATATGCAGACGATTTGGTCGTGTTAGTCAGAGGTAAGTTTAACACAACAGTAAGGGAGCGAATGCAAAGGGCCTTAAAGATTGAGGAATCATGGGTGACACTTAGAGGGACTAGTCCCTCTAAGACTCTGCGGTGATGAGATTCCTCTCTCGGGGGAGGTCAAGTATCTAGGAATCACGCTTGATACCAAACTGACCTGGAACCGACATTTGGAAAATGTCACAAGGAGGGCGGTGACTACACTAGCGGTAGTCAGACGCCTTCATAGAAAAATCTGGGGCCTTAGACCACAGATGGTGCACTGGCTGTACATTGGAGTGGTGAGGCCTTCAGTAACGTATGCATCCTTGGTATGGTGGCCTAAAGTAATGTAACAAACAACAATGCTCAGCTTCAGCAAGGTGCAAAGACAATCAATGGAGGCGCTTCTGGACCTTCCGCCTCTTCACATAGTGATCCAGGCGGAGGCAAGAATGGGACTCTATCGACAACAAAGTGTCTTGTCTCTGAGAAATAGGACAGAAACAGGACACTCAAAGATGGGAAATCCTATCAGGGGACCTCTACTCCAAATGAGATCGGACCAAATGACCCCTCTTTATCACTACCACAAACCATTCGAGGTGAACAAAATGGATCGAGGAATGTGGACAGATATAACAGTCCTTCAGGATGGACTAACCTGGTATACAGACGGGTCAAAGACCGCTGAAACAGGAGCTGGAGTATTTGGGGAAAGACCAAGGGTAAGTTTATCCTTTTCCTTGGGTAAACACTCAACCGTATTCCAGACAGAAATCTTCGCCATTCTACAATGTGCGAGAGAAAACAATGGAAGAGCTTATTCAGATAAGCTCATCAATATATGCTCAGACAGTCAGGCGGCACTTGGGGCGCTTATGAGCCCAAAGGTATCGTCTGGGAATGCCTAGGTGAACTGGAAGCTCTGGCTCGACGGAACAGAATTAAATTATTCTGGGTGCCGGGCCACAGCGGCATCCAAGGCAACGAAAAAGCCGATGAGCTAGCTAGGCAAGGATCATCGGCATCTTATCTTGGTCCAGAGCCAGTACTGGGAATACCCAAATGTATGGCCCGTAGTGCACTAAAACTCTGGATCAAGGAAAAGCAGAATGTCCACTGGAGAAACAGACAGGGGCACAGGCACAGCAAGGCTTTTATCCAAGAACCTAGCTCCAAAACCGCAAAAGAACTGCGAATGCTTAGCAGGAATAAATTGCGGATTACAACAGGCCTCTTGACAGGACATATGGCTGTCAAGTGTTACCTGAACAAGCTCAATCTGTATTAAGGAAGTCTTTGCTGCATACTCTGCGACAAAGATCCTGAAACAGCGGAGCACATAATATGTCACTGCGAGGCTCTGGATCGCAAGCGACACTTTTTATTTGAGAAAGCTAGGCTAGAACCGGAGGAACTATGCTCCCATCCTATGAAGGACCTGCCGAAGTTTCCGGAATACAGTTCGGACCACCCTGTATATAAAAATTATGTTTTGATTAAACATATTATGATGAGCGTAATGATTCTACAGCATAATCTATTGTTATGAATTTTTTTCAGGTAATATTTGCATAAAAAATTAAGAGAACTGTTTGAAACATTTAAATATCTACATATTTACACATTGAATTATCATGCTTTGTAAATACCGTATGATCGGAAAAACGGCGTCAACAATGGCTACGAAATGAAGATCGCTGCTTAGCTGCTGTTCACTGTCATTTAATATGTAAAATTATATGGAGAATGTCATCGATCGTCACTTCCAACCCAACTGGCCGCCGTTTTTTTTTCGATCATACAATAGTACCTACCTACTAATTATGATATTTACAGGAAGGGAAAAACATCTATAAATTTAATAATATACAAGGTGAGTCTTAAATAAGTTCAAATATTTTCAGGGCTGGTAGATCTCGATAAAAGAAACATTTTCTCTTTACCATTTTTCAAATAAGTCCAAAATAACCGAGTTATTTAAGTTTGAAAATTTAAAAAAAAAATGTTTTTTTTTGGAAAAATTTTGAGAGCCACCGGATTTTTTCTGTATTTGCATAAAGGTAATACCAGAGATTAAGAAATTATACCGTGGGAAAATGTGCGGTGAACAGGCAGTTCTAAAAAGTTTTCGAAAAATATACAGGGAAATTTAAAAGAAAATGCACGATTTTTAACATCTTTTTTTAGCGAAAAAAACATCATAGACGTGTTCCTGGGGTCGAAATATACCACCCCTGAAAATATTTGCACTTATTTAAGACTCACCCTGTATAAACAGTTATTATTTACATCAACCAAACTCACTTAACAGAACTTAAGGGACAAAAAGCCCATTACTACCGCTTTCCCGTTCAAAATATTCTAATAAGGTTGCGATGACTTTTTTGCAAAGGCTAATAATTTTATCTTGTACAGTTCGCACTAAAAGAAGTTCCAAAAAGCACAATGTTCGACTGCAAAGTAAACAATTTTAAGCTTAAAGTATCACAACACAATTCATTTAAACCAAGAACTCCTAATACAAAACTATAGTGTCAAAACGAATGACAATATCAGGAAATAATTATACAAATGTGGCAACTTAACATTTTTTACGGTAGAGCTACCACCTGAATCCCTAGCGGGAAATTTAAATTCCAGTTAGTCAGGCCGGCGCCGAATATGTCCATGGTTGCCAACAATGCATTTAAAAATCGCGCCTTCGATTACGTAACTAAAAATTTAATCGGTATCGCTGATAATTAAAAATGACGTTATGCCTCATATATAAACTGATAAGAAAATTCTATATATTTGTTCTTAATAAATCAATAGTTTTATGAATTATTATTTTGAATATAAGTTTTCGGAAAGCAATAAATAAAATTTTACAACTGGATTTTCTAGAGATATTTATGGTCATATTGCATATATTTCTATTAACTATATAATTAAAAATAGATATAGTCTATTTTATGACAGTGTGGCAATAAGCTTAAACAGCAATATTTTTAGTTTTATTATTTATTATTTTAGTTGATAAATAGTTTTTAACACACTTCTATTTTAACTCTTTAAGTTTATTTTTTCTTCTTTTAATTTTGGTGTAGATATAGCGTTTAGTTAATGTCAGGGGCGCATATACGGGAGGGGTAATGAGGGTAATTACCCCTCACAGGAATTAATTTATACATAAGATAAAAATGTAAAATAACTTATCGAAAACGTATAAACTGATTGCTGTAGTATATATACAGGGTATCCCAACTAAAAAAAACATAATTTTGCTCCATACTTCGAGAATGACAGCTCCTAGCGGAAAACAAGTTACGCCACTGGATTCTTCGAGAAAAAAGCTTATTTTCGATAAGTTATAAGAAAACCGAGATACAAGGAGAGTCGAAAAATGCAACAATTTTAAATTTGCCCAGTATTTCAGGAACATGATAGGCCAAATCTGTGTGCAGATAGTATTGTTAAAGTTAAAACCACATCTTAACGTGCGTTAACCGCAAAGAAACTGTGACACTCTGTACACGTACCATGCATGAGTTTTCATCCAATCCCCATATTCACCCTGTAGGTATTTGTATGTGATGTCACTTTTGTAGAAAACAAATGACGACATTAAGTAAAATACACCAATTTTAGGTAATCCTGTTATTTTTATTTAAATACTACTAATGTTCGATATAGATATATATGTAATATTACTAATCCATATTTTTATTTGACGTAGATTTGGCTGTTCTGTACCGACATAGAGCAACAAAATCACAATATTTTCATATTTAAATATCAACCTAAAAAGATTATGGGAAAGCACGACTGTCCCGATAAAAAAATACTAAAATAATATACTTTTTAAATTTGTAATTGCCTTTTAAACCAACTTAAAAAAAATATGGCGTTAGAAAATGCGTGCTAATGCATTTTAGTTAAAATTCAAATTTGATAAAGGTGTACTCAGACCAGCATACAAGTTGGACATACGCGTGCTTCATACTTGTCTGTCATACATAGGCTAACTCCAAAATAAAAAAAAACTTCCGGACCAAACCATCTGTGCTAGAGTAACTTTCAGCAAAGAATAATATAAATAACATGACTTTTGAACGACAGTGACATTACAAAACAAAAACAAAATAGCTATTTATGTAACAACACGGGGGTGTCACTTGTATGGGAAAACAGGCAACAGTCAAATTTAAACGTGCCAGGACCAACGACAAAGAAAGCAACATCTGCCAGGCATTGGCTTTCTTTGTCACTCACATTGCTTAAATCATGATACCGCGGCCATTTTGCCAACAAAGAAGCTGACCGGGCTGTCCTGGCAAGTGATTTAAAACAATTTTGCTTTTTTACAATATTAAATTATTAATTTGGATGTATTTAATGCGATTATTCAGTTAACTGGTAAGTCGGAAATTACACACAAATACTTTATTCGTAAATACAACTAAGATGTAAACGTATTTTTGTATTTTTAGATTTCAACTTTTGCGAAGACCCG